TAGAATAGCGTGAATGGCTTAATACATCAAATTGTGAAACATTAATGGAGCACATTTGTTCGCACATCACATTAGCCCGTAAACAAATATAAGTGCCCCCGAATGGAACTATTGTTTTATTGTCTGTATTTCTTTGGATGCAAGATACATACAAAACATGAAAATTGTTCAATCAACTTGCAAAAAGGCTACGTTGTGCATATTTAGTTACATAACATAGCACAAGAGGAACTACTTGCACAAGTGGGTACGTTACAATTTTAAACAAGTATAGAACAACAATGTAGGGACAGTCTGTATCGATTAGCATGGTGCGAAAGAAGTTCAACATAGATAGTCTCCCCGATGATTTATGACCAGGAAAAATGAACACAAACTTGAGCTCTTTGAATTTAAAAAAGAGCCAATGCAATCACAATAATAATTAGCAAAATCTCAAGGCACCATGAGTGAAGAGGACAACGATAACAAGAACCAGGCAGCAAAATAAGAACCAGAGAGGAACAAGGCCAATTAGAATGTGCTATAAACAGATGTGTTTTTCGGCAGGAGTTAAAAATGTCCACGTTATGGAGTTCCACGACTGGGGGCGATCAGTGTCTCACCAATGATAGAGACACACAGCAAGAACACGATTCAGTTTTGTGAGCTCTGGACAAAAACATAGCACATTTGCTGCATGAAATGATTCCACTTTGAGAGGTGACATCTCCTTGCACTAAACCAATGTTCTTCAACACATTTTCAGGGGGGGGGGCAATTTCGCTGATAAGACATCATCAGTGTGAGGGCTACCACACATTTTAAACCATTGGGGTTTCACAGCACGATAATGACGGAGGATGTTTTCACATTTGTGTCTTGTTGGGGGCCGCACGACAGGGGCCGAATTAAAGGCAACAAGGGGCCACCAGTGGCCTGCGGGCCTTGCAATAAAGAACACCGTACTGTACTGATGCTTAAACTTTAATCAACCAACATTGCGTATCCAACTAGGCTAGAGCCGATTGAGATTAATTACGCGTCTTATAAAGGGGGGCCAAAATGCCAGCATTGACACCAGAAAATGTATCATACATACAGTATTCCGTTCCTATTGTGGAATTGTCAACAAACGTTCAAATGTGACGTTTGTAGATTTTTTAAGTGCTTGATTTACCTGTCCTATACTTTGCACTCCTATCGTGTTTTTGTCTTGTTTAGTGTTATAACATTCCGACCCGCTCCGACTGGACATATGTGAAAAAAGCCTTATAGCTCATCGGATTCCTTCAGAATAAATATTCTGATTCTGACATTGTCAAAGGGCAGAAGGCACAGTGTGTGATCCTGTGAGAGATGTAAGTTCTGGGCATGACGGTGCACGCCTGCCTGCTAATTCAGTGTTTTCCAAGCAACAGCAATGGTGGATCACGTGGACGTCATCATGCGCTGCACGATGATGACCGTCAGAAGATGACAGAACGTGAAATTGATTCCTGATCATTGCTGGTTTTGCCTAAATTATCCCTCATGCAAAACACTCCTTAAAATAAAGTAATTGGCTCAGCATTTCAATTCATGACCCTTTTGAAACAGTTACAGTGAAGCTTTTCTGCATATAGGATGGATGTTTATTGTTACACATTGACTGCTGGATTATGTGTCCACAGGCAAATCTAAACTTGACATTCAGCAAATTGCCTTCATGATCAACATCCTCAAACTTGTCAAGATGCGATAACCGTGCCTCGAGTTCTATTGGTATGTGGTAACAGTTGAGTTCCATTAAAACACATCGCTGTGAACTGACCTGATGATGAGAGCCCTCACTGCTGCATTGTTAATGGTGGGGAGAGGGGCTAAAATTTGCGGGCGGCATTACTCTGATAAGTTAAAATTAGGAATACTGGAGGAAGAGGTTGACTGTTGACATTAGGAATGATTGATGAGGGAGAGACAGGACTAAAGTTTAGGGGCTAATATTAGTGGTTACAGCCGGAAACAAAAACATTTTTGGTTTGTTAAACTTCATGAGCAGAAATCACAACTAAAATCAGAGGCTATAACTAATAATGTGCAGAAACAATGATAACAGTTTGAGATTGAGGGATGCCAACCATTCTAAGGTGAATTTGGTAATGTCAAGTTGGAAAGGCAGATGACGGAGGTTCCAAAGTCTGAGTTGAGTCGGAAAAGAGGAGACACGTTCCATGCTGAAGCGAGACAGCCGGACCACACAGCGACCAAGCGAATCGACGTCACCTGAGAATATGTAGGCACACGCAAAGGCACGCGGTTTCTAAACGCAACCACCTTGACTGCAGTGGTAACATTGATGAGTATCTGTAGTGATTCGGAGTCAATCACCAGACAGATTAATCTTAATAAAACGAGATGTGCACAGTGAGCCTCAACAGGATAACAATGTATTTTGCTGCACTGCCCTCGTGTGCCCACAGTGCAGCCCTATAACAACATACCTTCAACACATGATGGTCAACCCCACACAAGCATCATCTCCAAGCACCAATTAAAGCACAGTACCCACAAATTACTCAATTGGGATGACACATTGCAACATCGCCACTCACTGCAAAAATCGCAATGGAGTTTAGACGTTTTCTAGCCAGATATAACGTGTCCATCAACCAAGACCTCAACCACGTTCCTCGCAGCTGACTCAAGCAGCCATCCCCCTTACTGGGGTCACCCTGCCACTATCCTAGAATCTCACCCAGAGCCAGGAGAACACGGCCAAACAAAGTGGCACAACGCGGACGTCCAGAATAACCCCTCTAATTCGAGACCATTCAAGAACATCAACAGGCCCATTCACACGTCTCCTTCTGAAATGAAAATACAAACCACAGGAGTGCGATTGTGGCCATGCAACTCATCATATGGACCGTAAAGCTCGAGACATACAGAGATTCGGAGACGCATAGAGACTGACGAAATCGGGTGGCTTCGACGCCATGTGGTCACAAGCCACCACCACCACCAAAGACAAAATCCCTCCGATGGCCTTGATAGCCTGCCGGGGCAAGTGCTGTTAGTGAGTAGCACCTACGAAGGGTCGGCACGGCACACGAGAGGTGTGTGGGGTGGCAAGCACCACAAGCACGGACGCATTTCTCTCCCAAGTGTCGAGGTTTACACAGAGCACTCAGGCACCCATTTGAGGCCGAGTCGACCAAGGGGGAGGCACAAAATTCGTTCAGATCATCGTAAGCGGTGGTTGAGCGTGAGCGGTAATCGAACTCGGGTGGGCAGGTTCCGCACACACCTGTCAAGCCCTCATCAGTGCCCTACCTCATGGCAGACCAATTCGGATCGTATTCGTCACACCGTGCCCTTATAAATCTCAACGTTTATCCTACAAAGTCCCATCACAAGAGAGAAACACAAAGAAATAAACAAAGCATTGTGCACGTACTGAAGCGGCTGTACGCCGTATGGACCTGCAAACTCAATTTGCCTGTACAAGACTACGGCTAAACCGTACGGGTTGACAGGTATGGTATGGTTGTGGTGTATAGTGTAGTGTATAGCAGTATATAGCATCCTTGTCAACCCCTTATCAGTGCCCTACCTTATGGGAACCTCATTTGCCAGTAAAAATATGATAATTGGTTTTTTACCCTTCTATCTGGCAACAAAAAAAAACAATTATCATATGTTTTCTGGCAAATGAGGTTCCCATAGTGTAGATGCTTGCCCCGAGCTCTCATACTCTGATGGTGCATTGTCTTTGAGTTGTGCGCCTTTTGGCGTCATCTGGTCCAACCCATATGAGACTAGGCTCAAAGGAAAGCTGTCTCGGGTGTGGACCAATCAACTTTAAGGACAGTGCACATTATCAGAGTTATGTTCTTTGTTTGTATTATGACTGCAGGTATTGCGGTCTATGCAAACATGACTCCTTGTAAAAAGGTGTCAGTTTTGTTGCCAGATAGAAGGGTAAAGAACCAATTATCATATTTTTACTGGCAAATGAGGTTCCCATAGTATAGATGCTTACCCCGAGCTCTCATACTCTGATGGTGCATTGTCTTTGAGTTGTGCGCCTTTTGGCGTCATCTGGTCCAACCCATGTGAGACTAGGCTCTAAGGAAAGCTGTCTCGGGTGTGGACCAATCAACTTCAAGGACAGTGCACATTGTCAGAGTTATGTCTTTTGTTTGTATTATGACTGCAGGTATTGCGGTCTATGCAAACATGACTCCTTGTAAAAAGGTGTCAGTTTTGTTGCCAGATAGAAGGGTAAAAAAACAATTATCAGTGCCCTACCTTATTACAAATTCAGACCGTATTGGTCACCCCCTGCCCCTTAAAAATCTCAACGTTTATCCTACAAAATCCCATCATAGGGGAGAAACACAAATAGACAAAAATCTAATTTTTTGCCCGTTTTGAAGCGGCTGTACGCCATATGGACCTGACAACTCAATTTCCCTGTACAAGACTGCAGGTGAACCGCATGGCTTGACAACTTTGGGTTCGCAGCGCAGCGCGCTAACCACTGCGCCACCGCTCCCCACGACACCCACCACCACCACGGGACCGACGCCACGTGAATGACGAACCCCGAGACGCGCGCGGGAACTTCTCCTCCTTGTTGCCCCGGGGGGGGGGGGGGACCGAGACCACCCACACGTCCAGAACCCCACCGCGGCCCTCGCGATCCGCGGCCCTCCTCTCGACGAGACCCAAACAGAACACGAGCGGCGCGATTCAAAGGGCGACAGTGGCGACAGCAAAATGGCAAACGGCGTGGCCGCTAGCAGTGTGCCGTTGTTTCGCCTCTCGCGTTCGAGAGGTGTTTAAACTCTTCACTGGCACAGAGGCAGTGATGACATTCTGTAGGAACTGTGCGGACGCTGTTCCGGTCATTCTTTCAGCCCGCGCCGCGTCCACCCGCCTTTTCATTCTGTCTTCATGACACTGCGGCAGTGTTGTGGCGACATGGGGTACAGATGTGGTGACAGGGCATTATTGTGATGATGGACAAGCCGTACCTTGTACTCTCGTAGCAGTGCCTTGCGTCGCTAATCCGCACTCCGCAAGCCGGCCCAGCCAAAGCCCACCAAGCCGAGTCACGTGGCGTTCCGGGAAATATCGACCCGAGATTGGGGAGAGCTGGGAGAGACACACTGGGGAGACACTGGGGAGTGATGGGAGAGAGACACTGGGGAGAGAGACACTGGGGAGGGGGATTGGGGAGAGACACTGTGCGGAGTGATGGGAGAGAGACACTGGGGAGGGGGATTGGGGAGAGACACTGGGGAGAGAGACACTGGGGAGAGAGACACTGGGGAGGGGGATTGGGGAGAGACACTGGGGAGTGATGGGAGAGAGACACTGGGGAGAGAGACACTGGGGAGGGGGATTGGGGAGAGACACTGTGCGGAGTGATGGGAGAGAGACACTGGGGAGGGGGATTGGGGAGAGACACTGGGGAGTGATGGGAGAGAGACACTGGGGAGAGAGACACTGGGGAGGGGGATTGGGGAGAGACACTGGGGAGTGATGGGAGAGGGACACTGGGGAAGGGGCTTGGGGAGAGTGCCGCTGGGGAGGAGGATTGGGGAGAGGTGGGAGAGACACTGGGGAGAGGGATTGGGGAGACACTGGAGAGAGACACTGGGGAGTGATGGGAGAGAGACACTTGGGAAGGGGGATTGGGGAGAGTGAGGCTGGGGAGGGGATTGGGGAGAGGGATTGGGGAGACACTGGAGAGAGACACTGGGGAGAGGAGGAGAGCTGAGAGAGCGACACTGGGAGTACTGGGAGAGAGCGACACTGGGGGGTGTCGTGCACGGCCAATTCAGAGTGGGGGGGGGGGGGTCCCGCGCACGCGGAAGTGGGAGCCGCCGCCAAGAGGCTCGCGGTAGCCCCCGCGGGGGGGCGCTCGCCCCGCGCGCCCATTGGCCAGAGCGCGCGCGACGCCCCAACCCGATTGGTGCGCTCGCCGCTCGGCCAATGGGAAGCGTCGCTCCGCTCACCCCCTCCCCTCACCCCCACCCTCCCGCGCGTGGACCAATGGGAAGCACCGCTCCGTTCCTCCATTCCCCCCCACCCCCCGCCTATGCGTGCTAAGGAATTGAACTTCCGCTTTGAGAGCGCGTGGGGTTTCGTTTTCGCAGCGCGCATGCGCGTGCGGGCGTATGACGTCACGCGCTCGCACGCGCTTCGGATGAATTTCGTGATTGTGCGTGCAACGGTGATGTAGCACAACGGGGAAGATGTGGCCGCTACTTCATACCTGTCAACCCACACGGCTTAACCCCGTATTCTTGTACAGGGAAATTTAGTTTTCAGGTCCATACGGCGTTCAGCCGTTTCAATACGGGCAAAACAATTGTTGTCTACTTTTTTTATTTAAAGCTTTCGTGATTGCAGGAATTCATATTCTTGGTTCTTTCGGTAAAGTCACGTAGAAGGGAAATAATAAAAATATAAAACAATAAAAATTCTCACGACGTTTTCACACCTGATGATGATGATTGCTTGTGTTGCAGTCGAAACGTCGTGATTCATTTTTTTGTTTTATATTTTATTTTATTATTTCCCTTCTACGTGACTTTACCGAAAGAACCAAGAATATGTTGTCTATTTGTTTGTGTGATGGAATGTAGGAAGAACGTTGATATGTATAAGGGCGCGGGTGACCAATAAGGTCTGTAATAATGTAGGCACTGATAAGGGGTTGACAGATATGCTACTTGAGCATATTGACACAAGACAGAGGAAAGTAGAAACACATGACGAAATGTGCAGTCGACACCTACGGTCTATCTGCCCATTGATAGTGATAATGTTGACAGCCCCTACGGCCCTCCACTCGGATGCATGCACTGGGGTGTGAACCTCTAGTGGGGGGGGGGGGGGGGGCTCTGGTGAAATCGGTCAGAGTTGGTCAGCAGGTTCAACAAAATTTATTTGAAACAGTGAGTTCTGGATCCTGCTGATTGAATTCACGAGCATCAATAAACTCAAACAACCAAGTCAACAAAGTCTCTTTCATAACGTATATGGAATTTAATTGATTTAATTAGTTTTTGGCGAGGGACACCTGAGTCAACTCGTGAAAACGCCACAATTCAGTTTTCATTAGACCTAAACACACAGGCCTATAAAGAGATCTGCAAGTTGTTGTGCACCAGCAGTAGACAGAGACTGTTAAAGCAAGTGCAGTACGGTAATTTCAAAGCATATGAATGTCTCCCACATTGAACACTTTTCTGTAAGATGTGGAGCGATCCCTTTCCAAATGCTGTATTAAATCACACATTGAGAAGTCGTACGAAATCAGTGAGGTGTATATAATTGAAACACCCTTTACATTGAAATTGGGAGGGGAAAGTCACAAATACAGCACACCTGCATTCATGCTTCCCAATTAGTGCCTCGATTTGCACACTCAATACACTTTGTAAATGGAACTCAAGAAGTGCCCCAGTGGACATGAAACGTTTATGTTAATTGGTTGGCTATGTTAGGATCTGAACTTGTATGTATAGATGTTGAACTTCTTTCACACCGTACGTCGATATACGGCGCTAATCTGAGGTGCATTCATATGTTTACATGAATTCGCAGGGTCCCTTGTTCGTTTGTTCATTCACAGCGCGCGCCACCACTCCACAGCAAAAGCCATGCGATGACCACGTGGACGGTGTTTTGTGTGCCCCACCAAACATGGAGCTGGGTGTGTGTGACTGTGGGGCTGGGTGGTTTGTCGGGGTTGCCTTGTATGCGGAGCTGTTGCCAATCCCCTGGATAGAGAGAGAGAGTTACTCGCACGCATAAAGCGGCTACAGCTGACCGGATCAGTGATCGAGAGTGGGTACAACTCAGATCCGTGAGCAGCAGTGTGGAGGGCCATCCAGTACATTGTATAAGAGCGAGCCAACATCTCAACATGAACATCACAGGTGTGGCTAAGTGAGCGGTCTGTAGGAGCAGACGGAGTTCACCTGCAGTGTGGTTCGTGTGGCTTTGTAGCACGACGGTAGTTAACGTGTTTGGAAGTGCTAAGAGAGAAGCATGCTGTCTCATACTGGACTGAATGTATATTATTCTATGCTGTACCTATGTTGTATCTTGATTATATATTTTTTTATAGAATGGACTCGCTACAGAACCATGTTAACGTGCGTTGACCTGACTGACCTGATTCACAGCTTAACACACTGGTCAACAACACTGCCTTAAAAGAACAAACCAAATCTATGCCAAATATGTATTCAATAGCACGTGATGTAGTATGAAGAAGGGCTATTTCCCGAAACATTGCCAATTGTTGTATTTTAAAGCAGAGTCTTTGACGAGTATGAGGTTGTTATTAAGTATACATCTGCCAACGCAGCAGCATCACCAAATAATTTGATTCCCTGCTGCTGGACTGTCGCGTCTAATTGTTGTCACGTTATAATGCAGCGTGTGGTGGTCTCTTTCGGCCATCATCTGCCCGTGTAGAATATATTACACGTGTCAGAATTTAAAATGGGGGCAAATAAAGCTTACATTTCGATGGTATTATGATTATAAATGTAGACCACCACAAATACGAAATGATTTGAACGTGGACCGTTAACTTTGTCACACATGTTCATGTGTTTCTGGGTAGTGGTCTGCTTTTTAAACGAGCGCTCACAAGTTCTATCTTTGCAAAACGCAAGTGTCCTGCTGCTGCTGCTGTTGCAGGGAGAAATGTTGGGTGTATTTTTGGAAAGGCAGCCTGAGAGCGTGTAACTCAAGCCTGGCGAGAAGCGTCGAGTGCCATTCTCACAACGGCACAGTTTCAATCAGACCCTGACAATAACTACCATATCCACTCATAATGATGATGATTTACATTTATAAGGTGCCCTTAAACAATGGATCTCAGAGCGCCATCTATATAAAGGAGTGAAATAAGAGGAAAGTAACTCGGGAGAGATAGACGATATGGGTGCTCTTTATTGCAAGGCCCGCGGGTCACTAGTGGCCCATGGTGGCCTTTAGTGCGGACCCGACAATACACAACACGTGAAAACACCCCCCGGTATCGTGGTGCTGTCAAACCCCAATGGTTTCAAATGTGTGGCGGCCCTCACACTCTTCTTGGTTCTTTCGGTAAAGTCACGTAGAAGGGAAATAATAAAATAATAAAAACTAAACATAATCAAAATTCTCACGACGTTTCGGCCACAACGCAAGCAGCCGTCCTCAGGTGAAGAACAGGGCTGTTGGAAAGACAGCGTCCGAATGAACACCACCAAGCTTGGTGAAAGTGACCACCTCTGAAAATTTGCGAAGAACACTGGATTGAGAAGACAAGATAGAGAATTAAAGAGAGAGTAGGTCTTTTTTAGTTGGGGTCTTCAACCGGGACACCTTAAGTCTTCATTGACTGCGATTTTCTGACCTCGAATGGCAGGGGAATTCCAAAGCCTGGGCGCCGTGCAGACAAAAGAGCGGCGGTCACCCCCAAGTTTGAAGCCTGGAGCACGATACGCTGATCTGGTGGGGGAAAAAGATAATAAAAATAATAACAACATCACGACGTTTCGATCGCAATCGTCATCAGACGAGAGCTGCTGACGCACCTCAGCAGCTCTCGCCTGATGACGATTGCTTATGTTGCGATCGAAACTTCGTGATATTGTTATTATTATTTTTATTATATGTTTTCTATCTACGCGGCTTTACCGAAAGACCCAAAGAATATAAATTCCTGCAGTCACGAAAGCTTTAAGTCAAGATTTAAATAGACGCAGTTTATTGCATGATCTATTTTATTTAAGTGAGAATGTGTGTTGTCATCTGCCGTATGTATATCTGCTGTGTGTGTGTACAAGTCGCTCTGCGTGTGATGCAGCTCTATTTTGGTCAAAAACAAAAAACAAAAAGTGGCTCTTCTTCTTTGAAAGGTTGCCGACGCCTGGTGTAGCTGAACCAACTCCTGGATGTATGGTGGAGCAAGCCAAGCCTTACACAGCGCACTAATTCGGTATTCGCTATTGAAGCATTGCACAATCCGTAGCATATCCGACTCAGAATCAGAATCTTTCTTTAGACTGGAGGAATCCGATAAGCTATGGAGCACTTTTTTACAGATGTCCAGCATGGGCGGGTCAACAAGTTACAACCGCCAAACAATACTTACAAAAACGATGGTAGTGCAAAACAGAGAAAAAAATAAGCAAGTCACTAAATATAAATCAATAATAAATCACTTTTATAAGTTCCATTTGTCAAGCTTGGGCAAGGCAACAACAATAACAAAAACAAACCAGTCCCAGGCCACACCAAGATACTGTAACACTCAGTCCCTCAATAAAATGGAAAGTAAACGTTGAAATATTGATACACAGTCAAAGATCAAAGTTACTAATCACATTTGCAAGATGTGGCTGTATCCAGCACGACTCTTCTGTCTCGGTATATGTTTTGAAGGACGATCTACGATGTTAAGGGACTCACTGGCGACTGAGGAAAAGACGATGTATGAAAAGTGAGAGATATAATCATGTAAAGAAGATGACACAACATGCACAAATACTCCACTGGGTGTGGGCCGTTCATTGATCGGCGCGGATACGTGACTTGGATATCCGGCATACTCCATTGCCATTACGTTACCAACTTTCATTACTGCACTGCGACTTTGTGGTAAACTATTTCTAATTATTGTACGTACAACCTCTGCAACCAATGGCAACTGTCACACCCAGACATTCGCAATCATGATGAAAATAATCATTAAATAGCTGTAAAGCAAAAGCACCGGGCTCCGTGAGTGGTCAAGAGAAAGTCGAGGCATTTTCCTTTTGTAGATTAAATAGGATAAGGAGGAAGACGTGGACGCGAGGGAATGATGAGCAGATCCGTTGAACAAATGAGCTCTGTGTGTCGCGCAGGGGACAGCGATGGCAAGAGGCTGAAGAAGACAGGATGTTGCGAGAAGCTGCTTGGCATTCTCTCCATGGTCGTCATCATCTTGACCTTCCCTCTCTCCGTCTGGTTTTGCCTCAAGGTCGGTCGCGGATCCATCCATGAGCGATCCTTAAATTCCAACAAACTCGGTTGGAACACTTGTGTCTGTGTTGTTTTTCTTCCCCATTGTATGTGTGATCAGCAGCAGGACAGTCTTTTATTAAAACTCCAAAACGCCCTTAGAATAGTAGTCGCTCGTCAACGTGGGCACAACCTGATAGTGGCATCGCCTTTAGGTTGTATACTTTGCACAGACACTCAGCGTCACATAGCTTGTCACACGCACACAGCTACCAATGTGCACACATTTACACCGTGCAGATAAGATAGGCATTTGCATTCAAGACCCAAATAGGGGCCTTCCATAAATGACGCCATGCACTTGGGTGGGGGGGGGGGTCAGACATTTGTGACGATGTGTGACGAGGCGGGGGGGTTTGAAAAATGTGACGTCACATTAAAATGCGCAACTTTAAATAAATCTAGAATTGTTATAACAACACTAATTGTTATAACAACACTCCTACAACATCAGAGTGCAGCGCCACATTAAATACGCACTGCAATGACAATAGTTTAAAGCGATTTGAAGCATGTTTTATTTTCAAAATGGAAATATGGTTTGGGGGGGGGGCAGAGCTTTGTGACGTCATATTTGAGGGGGGGGGTCTGACTTTTTGTGACGCCGTGTGACGAAGGGAAGGGGGGTCAAAAATCGTCCAAAATCGCGTGACGTCATTTATGGACGGCTCCATACCTCCTGGCGTTGACATTCATCGAAGAGACTGATGTAACCATCAACCGCATCAGAACATCAGAATGCCGATGCACACATGTCCTTAATGAATGTGCAATTAGAGACATGAGGCACAGTGCGACTGTGGCCATGCAACCCAAGGTATGGACCAGACAGGAAACCACTGTAGCTTGCGCTCCCCTTCAACGGAGGAGGAATAGCAAAACTACACAAACTCTCTCCTGAAGCCCTATCATGGCGAGCAGACATCGGCATTGTCATTTAGCTCCTGAACACATTGCTGCCACGTGAAACTGAATAGTCATACTCTTTGGTTCTTTCGGTAAAGTCACGTAGGTAGAAAAATAATAGATCACGACGTTTCGATTGCAACACAAGCAATCGTCATCAGGTGGGACAACCACAGCAAGTTGTCTTGCTGATGATGATTGCTTGTGTTGCGATCGAAACGTCGTTATCTATTATTTTTCTACCTACGTGACTTTACCGAAAGAACCAGAGGGTATGGATTCCTGCAGTCACGAAAGCTTCAAATCAACAGAATAGTCATTCGCTTTATCCCCGTGTGCTTAACAAACCTTGAAGCTGGACTGGACTGATTTGTATCGTCTCTTCGTCGATCGGCAGGTGGTGAGGGAGTATGAGAGGGCCGTGGTCTTTCGCCTGGGCAAGTTGTTGCCTGGAGGAGCCATCGGGCCAGGTTTGTTTGCCTCGAAATCGTCGGTCGCGTCGGACAATCCGAGCACCTGCCACGGTGAGGTCCGCGTGGCAGCGCCGTCCAGCGTGGCCTCGTCCTGGATGATCCATGAACAAAGCACAGCGTGGGCGCTCTACGTTGCACGAACATGCATTTTGTTGGTATCGAGAAGGGTTATTTTACAGATTTAGATTTATTTAAATACCAGCTGTGACTCTATCAATGTCTTGCCCTTGCCATGCACCTCCGATTCGCACGATTAGCTACATACAGTGCGAAAGAAGTTCAACATACACACGTACATTTTCTACATAGCCACCCAAAGGAGATGACTTCACCTATATTATTTGGTTGTGAAATCCCTGTTGCAGTTTCATCACCATAATATTAAATATGCTTCAAGATACTAACAGCCCGATCCATGCATTGGCGTAAAGGGCTTTTCTTTGAATAAAAATAAAACAGCCACATCTGAAGGAAAATTTAAATGTGGACGCTTTTTCCATCCAAGAAATGGAGGAAATTGTTATTTCACTAGCACATGAATCAGGCTCCAAATCTCCTTCAGAGAGTGGAAAAGTTTAGAGCAGCGGCTGAGTAGTGCAACAACATTCACTCAGTCGTATTTGGCAGTGGAAATCATCATCATGATCAGCCTTAGTCATTCCACTGAGAAACACTTTGACACGTTATACGAGCGCGCTTCAGATTTAATGACAAAGAGGCAACACACATAGCTTACATCCCCTTTTCACTCCACTGCTGGATGAAGGCCTCCGCACGATGTGTTGGACACGACTGTTGGTTTGGCCATACTAGGCGCACAATATTTCACGGATATAAATGACCGTGACTCTTCAGGCACTGGCCCCAGCTCAGATTGAACGCTGGCGCGAATGTGAAATGGGATGATGGCCCCATTGCAGACAGCGGGAGAGGAGGGGGAGGAAGAGGTTGCGAGTCGGGCCGCTGCTGCTATTGTGGAGAGTTCCACCATGAGACGTAGTGATGGGAGAGCGAAGAGAGATGACCGGTGGACGGCCGAAAGTAGAGGTGCGGTGGCACAGGCAGGTGATCTGCTAGCTGACCCTGCTGGCGATGAGAAGCCAGTGGAGGGAGGTGAAGAAATCTCGCCGACGATAATATCAAAATGTGAGTGTAAGATTCCCTAGTTATTTGAACTTTGACCAAAGCAAGCCCAGGACTGTTGAAATATACATGGATAACGGTTTGGCACAAGTCACTGCATAATATACTGTACACACCGTTCAGGAGTAAAATTCAGCTGCGATAACTGACAAAGCAATCACCTTCGAGAATAAACTCTTTTAAACAATGCTGTGCGAGGATTGTCATTGAAATGCATCCGATTTATTTCCTCTCCCTGCGCCAGGCTTGTTTTTAGTGATGCCCTGCATAGACACTTTCGTGAAGGTGGACATGAGGACAGTCACGTTTGACGTTCCACCCCAGGAGGTGAGGCTCGGCCCGGTTTCTGCTTCTCTTGAGTCAGCAAGGAGGCTTCCACCTAGGCTGGCGGCTCAAATCGTTTTGATGGGAGGAGGGGAGTTGAACCGACCAATGAGAGGCGAGAAGAAGCCCCCCCACGCCCCCACATATACTTTAAATTGACTCAATTCTTATTCAATTGGTTCTATCGGGATAGATTTTTTAAAATACGTGAGAACTACTTACATTTTCAACTTGTGTTCCGCTAAACTATCTTTTAAACAGTTTTTTCGCGTGGTTTTTTAATTTAAAAAAACACAATTTTTTTTTTAATGCCAGTAAACCTTTAGGTGGGGTGCCACTCTAATGCCCCAAATAAAACTATGGCGCCTTAAGTCTCCCTTTATGTGTGACTAACCCAGTTTCCTGACACTGTTTCCAGAACTAAAAAGTGGTTTTAACACACAGGCATTCACGACCAATATGATTCAGAGTTGATTTTTGAGTCAGATCGCATCAGTAAAATGTGCGTCGCACACCCTCCTTCAGCCGATTAAGAAAGTGTTCACGTCAAACAATGTTCCTAGTTTTTACCGCTTCAATAGCATCAGTGTGTTGAGCAATCCACACACTTGTAACAATTGGGGACGACGTTGCGCTGGGTACATAGTTACAACCAGCGTCATCAACTGCCTGGCGCTGCCGATGCAATCTGAATCTTGAAATATATCACGAATAAAAGGTGGCTCCAAGTTTCCCACAGCTTTAGACGACGTGCATGCTGCACGTGTGCGTGTGGGGAGCGGTAGTGTCGCGATTAGCGCGCTGCGCTACGAACCTGGCGACCGGAGTTCGATTCTCAGTGAAGGCCAACACCAGCGACGATTAACTGAACCGGTCCTGGGCCTCCCCTAGGTCGACTCAGCCTTAAATGAGTACCTGGTGCGGTGTGTAAAAACGTCGCCACGGGGTGAGACAAAAGTGGCGGGGTGCTGGCCACACACCCCCTTGTGTGCCGTAGGCGTTCGCTAACAGCACATGCCCCAACAGTCTGTCAAGGCTATGTGGGGGATCTTTGCCTTTGTGCCCCTGGGCATCCGTCGGCTCGGGTGCCGTCCATAAATGACGTCACGCACCTAGGGGGGGGGGTCAGACATTTGTGACGATGTGTGACGAGGGGGGGGAGGTTTGAGAAATGTGACGTCACATCAAAATGCGCAATTTTAAATAAATATAGACAACACGTTCTACTTAATTAAATCGACTTTTGAATAAATGTTATCTCCTACAACATCAGAGTGCAGCGCCAAATTAAATACGCACTACAATGACAATAGTTTAAAGCGATTTGAAGCATGTTTTATTTTTTGGGGGGGGGGGGGGGGGCAGAGCTTTGTGACGTCATATTTGAGGGAGGCCTGACTTTTTGTGACGTCGTGTAACGAAGGGAGGGGGGGGTCCTAAATCGTCCAAAATCGCGGGACGTCATTTATGGACGGCCCCTCGATGCGCACGAATCCACAACCACGCAAACCGCACGGCAGACACTCCGATTGCCCCCGCGGTAGCGCAGATGAGCAGCGCAGCGTCGCCACCCCCTCAAGGCGGCGGCCTCGCCCGCCTCGTTGCAGATCCTGACGCGGGACTCGGTGACGGTGGCCGTGGACGCCGTGGTCTACTACCGCGTGCACGACGCCACCGCGGCCGTCACCAACGTGGTCTACGCCGACGGCGCCACGCGGCTGCTCGCGCAGACGGCGCTGCGCAACGTGCTGGGCACCCGCAGCCTCTCCGACATCGTGTCGGAGCGAGAGGTCATCGCCCGCAGCATGCAGGTGCACGCCTCCAAGCCGCAAAGGTCACGGGGAGACGGATGATCGATGTTCGCTCGCCACGCTGATGGCATTCGCCGTGATTTGTCACTGAACAGAGGGCTCCCATCTTCCACTCCGAAAGTCACCGATGCCACCAGTAGCCTCCTTGCCACCCACCTTCCTTGTTGTAGCTCAATCCTTCGGAACCGTGGCGTGACAACAACTTTGGGAGCGCATGGCACAGTCAACGATATGCAAACGTTAAAACAAATGCTCAACGCTGAAGGTTATGGCCAACTATGTAAAACATGTATTGTTTACTGGAACAATTCACCTGGCTGAGCACTGGAGATGTCCTAATACGCATGGCTCTCGCCGGCCATGCGCATTAGGAGAGGCGGCGATGTCCAATGTCATAATTCTGAACCAACATTTTTGTTAGACTAGACGAACTTGGCGGGAGTGGGGTGGGGGGCAGGTGAGCTGAGCCTTTAGCCATGTGGGGGGCCGGCAGGGGAGGAGGGGGGGTGGCGGTCAGTCCCCTTTGGCCCCCTGATGCTTCAGAGAGCGATGGCACATTGCAGTGGTTGGAGGCCAGCAGCTGTCTTTGCTTTCCCATTGTAGAGGCCGCGGAATGTACACTTGGCTGTGCCCGTGCTGTTATTTTTGTGCTCAGCACTCTGCACTATGCACCCAACGACCTCACTTGTAACTTCCCAGCCTCGGTTGACATCGGGAGCGAGTGATATCTGAACTGGGTCCTGGGCCCCTTTCTTCACCAACCCATAATGACCAGCGTGGTGAAGTATGGTCAAACAATTCCCCACGACCGACAAAGTGGGGAGGCCTTCATCCAGCAGTAGATCGACTGAGATCACGTGCATTTGTCTATTTACAGTGCTACAATTACCAGGCATTTAATGATGCATCAAATGATCAACTAAAGTGCATTATTTCATTAAGAATAGAATTCACATTTGGGGATCTGTCATCCCGTGTTCATGTTAATTAAACGAGCAGGGAAAAGGGGCAAAAGTAGTCAAAATAGTTCAGGAAAGTCTACTACCTACCTTTAAGCGCCTTCTAAAAAAAAATGCATTTAACCTGAACTGAGCTGATCTCTGATCTGGGCTCCACACCTCCGGGTCGCTGCCTTCAGGCAAGTGAAAATTCTGCGAGTTACTTATTACCATTCTTATTACAATGGCCAGCTGATCTAAAGGAGTAGGCCATGGACTATGCCCCTTTGACGGTCCCAATTGCACACAAACAGAATAGGATGCAGAAATGTAAACGCATTCAGAAAAACCTTCGGCACAGGAGTTCCCACCGCTGGCTTAGGGTCACCGATGGAGATGAGAGTATGGAGGCAGATTGAACGTCACCTGCATATAAAGAAATGCAGCACTCTTAATCGTGAACATGCAACAAATCGCTGTCTCCCAGTGATCTTACGGCTCATCACAATAAGGGGTTGTGATTCTGTTGAAGAATTTATCATTTTTGTCCAATTATATAAACATTTTAAGTCACCGTTATTGACACAGGTGTTGAGTTTTTTTGTTTTGTGCTGTCAATTGTTAAATATCATTAGCTTAATTTGACGTAATGTAACATTCTTATTGGAAATATGACTTAAACATTTTAAAATAATTGATTGCTATGCAACACTTCGAGATATGTGTATCATGTTTTTACTGAATGTAATTGTTCATGGCTTTACAGTTGCTGTTTAAGACGGCTGTTAAAACCACGAGTGCCATGCATCCTGAGGTGCGCTCCTGAAATCCCAGTTAGGGGTCATCTCAGCTCCAACTACATTGCTTCAGGGTTGCTAGAGTAGGTACCACTCCGCGGGAGACAACAGCCACCACGCTGTAGAGAAGCAAGGTATAATGTCCACCACTGATTCAGGGTCGTAAATGGAGATGAGTCACCACCCATCGACTTATCGTTTGCGACGGCAGCAACTTTACTTGACCCAGGACCAACTGTGGCCAGTGCTGTTTTTTTTTATAACAGCGATGGCTTCTCCGATGTGTTTTTGTGTTGTAGCGAGTGTTGTCCGGCATGCTGTACAACCTAAAAAACAGACGTGGTAGTAGTACTAGTTGCGCTGGGTTGTCACCCTTATTATCGCACCCCACAGACCAGTCTAGATGAGGCGACGGAGCCCTGGGGCATCAAGGTGCAGCGTGTGGAGATCAAGGACGTGCGTCTGCCACCGCAAATGCAGCGAGCCATGGCAGCTGAGGCGGAGGCGATCCGTGAGGCGCGCGCCAAGGTAACACCGCCTGGCTTGGCGAGCCAATACATCATCCCCGTGGGCTAAGGGTGTAATGGGCTCTCCACTGGAACAATGTTCCATGCCACTCCTCAATGCTGTGTGAACCACAACCCTGTTATTTTCGTAGGCAGCTGTCTATGCTGGATGCTCTTAGAATCCGATGGGGCCCTCTAGGCTTCATCACCTTCACCGTTTGTCCTCCTCATGTGGGGGTCTGCTGCCATCCTGCTTCTCTTTCTCCACTCATTCCTGTCCTGGGCCATCTCCCCATCCACTCCAACATTCCTTCGTATCCTGGCTCACCGCTTTGAACCACCTCTTTCTAGGCCACCTTGGGGCTTCCATGTTCATCACTTTTTTCCAATTTGGTTTCCCGCTTTTATTATGAAATGCCTTGGCCGTCTTGCTTCGACTCTTTTCGGCTTGTATGAGATGGGCACCATTCTCGTCTGCTTGATCTCTTCATTTCTGGGACCATCCATTTCTCAATTGTCAGGACACTTTTGTGGTTGTAATGGTTAGCAGACTAGACTCCCAATCCAGAGGTCGCCTGTTCGATTCAAGCTCCTTGCGCAGCAGTCGAAACAATGGGGCAAGTATCCTAACTCTTTCTCCGTCCACCCAGCAGCTTAAATGCATATACACAGTTTCATCGGCAGGTTGTGCATGTTTGGGGTAAAGTATGGGCACTAACACATTCCTACGGAGGGAGCTGGTAGGAACGTTGGGTTGCTCAGTCAATGGCCAGGGTCAACGGCGGCGTGGTGTATTCCGCAAATATGCCCGACTGTGAGGGCGGGCACAAGCCGGCGTGAGTAGGTTAAACGTTGAGTTTTATAAGAGCACCACGGGGTGACCAGCCCCTCCCCACCCAGCCCCACCCCACCCTCCCGACCCAGCCCCTCCCCACCCAGCCCGTCCCCACCCAGCCCCTCCCCACCCAGCCTCTCCCTCCCCACCCAGCCCCTCCATGCACGACGGACACAATAATCCCCTGTGGGCTGGTGTAACCAGGAGGTTCCTACCAGTACAAGTCGTCTAACCAGTGTAGAATAATGGGTCAATTATACTCAGTGGGAGGGTGGTGCTGCTTCTACCAAGCGGTGGTATGACCCAAGAAATCACAGGGCTGGACCATGACCTCGTATTTCTAAAAAAATCGGACCTATTATCTCCCGCCTCCCCTGGACTGGCAGGTTGTGTCGGCGGAGGGGGAAATGAACGCGTCGCGTTCCCTCAAGGAGGCGGCCATCGTGCTGGGCGAGTCGTCGGGCGCCTTGCAGCTGCGCTACTTGCAGACCCTCAACAACATCGCGGCCGAGCGCAACTCCACCATCATCTTCCCCATCCCCATAGACATCCTCAGCGCCCTGCGCAGCAACAGTAACAGTAGCAGCAACATGCTCTGATGGCTCCCAAGCCGGGACTCTGCCACACTTTACAAAGTCTGGGGAAGGGTGGGGGGGGGGGTGTTCTATGAGTGAATAGTTCCCGGTGGTTATTGGTTAGAAATTAAATCCGTGAAGTTTGCCCCCCACTTCGATATGCATAATAGTTCCAATGTACTTTAATTGTATTACATTTACACAACTGCTGGCTGCTACTGGCTCAGCACCGAGTCCGTTTGTGCACCTACTATGTATTTACAGGTTCCATCATCGACAAAAAAAAATCAACATTGTTCCGAGGTTAATGACATAAAGCGGGCTTGGGCAGAACGTGTCGCTAGAAAAGATGATGAACGAGGGTCAAGAATGATAATGAAGTGGCTGCTAAGGGATGGAAACGTCCGAGAAAAACGTACACCGAGGAGATGGAGCAATACGTTGAATTCAGTTCACGTGCCTTCATCCAGCAGTGGATTGATGCAGGCTAATAATGAAGAAACGTAAGCGCGTTAACTCTGCTCACTCGAGGCTTCAGTATCATTTCTCTGGTCACTCAGCAAGCATCGATCCTCACTGAATATATCTGTGCATGTTTTGTTTTCACACGTGCCAACGTGAAAGCAATAAAGGACTTTTACTATGGCCATAAGTCATTGTACGTATGGTGAACTTTTTTCTCAGCGTACGTAGCTCACCGTGCTAATTGTAACCCCAAGAGAATTTGCCGACAATGAGGTGGTTTCAGTTTTCATGGCTACTTCCCTCATGTTACTTCCATCTCTCCTTTTTAGAAACTTTTTATTGATGCACCGAATGCTGATAATCATGGAAACAGTTTACTATGTTTAGCGCTTGTCCATTAACATTACAATGTGCCAAGCTTCAAACACATTGCAACCGAAATTAAAACAAAACAACTTGTTACATTCATATTCGTCTCAGTCAGTAGAAAACAACGTACACAACCAGCGCAAAAAGTCAAATCATAAAAACACTCCGGCTCAGCTGCTAAATCTGACATGACTTAATATATTTGTGAATTGTGCATTGTCAACGTGCAGTCTCATCAAAGATTTGTACAAAAACATTTCAATGTTGACAGCACGATGGATTTCCACAACGCCTGCCCTCTCCAACTGAAGGGGCAATAGACAAGGTCGGGACAAAAACACTGCCGACTCCTGCCCATTTGTAATCATGAGCGTGTGCGTGTTTTATATCCTCCAATCACAATGGGAGATGTGGAAACCACTATCACCCACTGCAAAGTGGTTGTTATTTTTTTTTTAAACAACAATTCACCCATATTGTGTGCAAAATAAATTACATGTAACCAATGTATCACGTTCTATCCAGTTTTGTTTCCAAAGGCCGACATAAGGGTCACCACGGTCAGGTGTATTGGACTATTATTGATCGCGTTAGCAACGCACATTTGTCAAGGCGTCTGTTACTTGGTGTGGATGCATTTCTAAAACAATGTAAAACAACAATGTGTCAGAATAAACGCTACATTTACCCGAATGAACCAGACTTATTTTCTCTCTAAATACTACACATTTTGTTAAAGACGGCGATGCTACAATAGTCGCACCAATCAACATAAACGTTACAGAGGCGGTGATGCTGTTAAGAGTTGCGCGTTATGATCGTGCGAATGGACGCGTGTAACAGACGTTACACGTTTTGGGAGTGGGAGCACACGAATACCTCATAATAGCTACAGTCTAAGAAACTCAGGTTAAATTCTTAGCAAATTAAAACACCACTGGAAATTGATATTTCATCCTGGCCTGAGTCTCTAACTTGTCCAAAGAATGAGTACGTGGTCGGGTGTTTGTCAGTGTCACCAGTGGGGACGTGACTCTAGCCAGGAGCATTAAACACTGCTTGATGAAATTATCCCAATGCAGGGACACACTTCTAAAAGGGGGTCTTCTCTTAAGAGTCTTTCAAGTTTTTCTTGATAAATAAACGACAGTGTTGCTGCTGGCTATGCCCTCCTCCTCATGTTCCATACTGGTCCTAACGAGATGATCACGAAAATGACTTTTCCCCGATAGTCCCATAGGATAAACAGGATAAACAGGATAACGTTTGTCTGTGTGTGACTACACACCCAGGTATGGTTATGCTGCGACTGTGTTGTTGTCTATAAACGGTAGCTGCATAGTGATTGCTTGCGTCTCTTGACGTAGTTGCACGCTGGCTCTCTGTGTAAAATGACGAGCTGCGTGCTCGCCAGCTTTGCGAGTGCACTGCATATCCTCTACCGGCATGCTCGCTGTGCATGCACAAGTGTGCGTTACCTGCTCCGTGTATCCCTAGGCTGCGCACAGGCTTCATGCGCACGGCCGGCTGCATTGCCAAACACCCTTGCCCATCTATTTCCCCGCTCGCTTGCACGGGCTAACTGCTGGCGGGCTGCACGGGGGGCACGGGCAGGCCATGCGCGTGCTGGCTGTGCGTGGGCCGGCTGTGCTGCACCAGCACGGCGTTGATCTGCGGCAGCGTGGCGTCCGTGCGGATGCTGGTCGGGTCGAAGTGCGTGCGACTCGCCCGGAAGCCGGCTTCCGTCAGGCTGGCCAGAAAGTGGTTGAGCCTGGGGGTTGGGGACCAGGCCCAGCGTCACTCATAGGGCGGCACGAGGACAATTCAAATCACAACAACAATGCCCTTAGCGGTGGCGGAGGTGGCTCAGGGTTACTGTGTATCGCCATTATGATAGCAATTAGCTAGCGCCACTAAGGGCCACGTGCCTAGTCACGCCTCGCCTCTGGCTTGGCCTCTAGCACTGGAGCCGCTCGGTGGCGAACGCTCGCCATGGCCATCTCGAAAGAGTAGCTCTGAAGAGTATTTCTCAAAACAACGTTTGCTAATTTGCCGACTTGTGGGAGACTGCTGCGCACTCACTTTGGCATGTTCATGCCCTTGATGCTGTGTCGGTGGATGCTGTAGTAGAACGGCGGATGTTCAGTGGAGAAGCCTCCGTCTCCGCGCTGCCTCTTGCCGGCACCTCCGGCCGCTTCCTCCGATCGTCTCTTACCTGCAAAGAACAAAATCAAGCAGGGACCGCACATTTACATGAAGACCCTAAGAACCAGGCCATGGCCAACTTGACAGGACATCGCGCACGAGTGTGGCTTCAGTTAGCAAGATCTCCTCCGCTTTTAGAAAATCAACAGGGTGTCTTATATCCACAAAGTCACCAAAATCACGTACCGTAACAAAAACGAGAAAGTGTTGGAGCTCAAACAACCTTGAGGTGTGTGCTGGAATTTGTATTGGTGACCTTAAAGCCAGTGCTGTAAATTGCACACATCCAAACAAAACATCTGTGCTAAGCACCTCATGCTGCCAAATCAATCTTGAAAATTTGCAAGATCAAATCCTCGTTGGGGTCTATCCTCTTATTTGGGATCAAGAAAGAGAGTTCCACTTTGTGGGAAGTCACGATTATTATCCTGTAGTTTAGACTGTCCTCACAGAAATATTTAATTTTAGCACAAGTTAAAGGTCACTAGTGGAGATGAGTAACATTAAACACTCCTTGGAATATGGAGACAATTACTTTTTTCAAACCCTTGAAAAAGTGACTTGAATATTGGGTGATTGATTGAAACAGCTTTTCACCAATTCTCATGGCCAAAACAGAAATAAATTTTATAGTTTTTCTCCAAAATGTCAGCTGCGACTGCCTTGCTTTCAGCTTTCCTTAAATCCTGCTGCCACCAATGTCTGGCACTTCCACCACTGCTGAAGCTATCCGCCTGTTCGAGACTCCTCTACATTTATCTACATCACATACTCCATGCTTATAAAAAATATATCCCCACCCTAACCCTTCATGTGGTTTCCCCCTCCTCCCAATTCTGAATTATTCACACGGCCCCCCTTAAAAACCGCAGTACCGGGAGAAAACACACACGTGCAAGGGGGGTAACATTTGATGCCCGTACAGATGAGATGCAGATGGAAATTAAACAACTTGCTGTGCTACTATCATGCCCTGGCAAGCCAGGAGATGGCGACCTCATCGCCCAGTGAGTTTGGGAGTTCGTGCAATCCACTAACCCTCACTGCCTCCACAGTGCCGTATTACAGGAGTGTGTCGCCACTATCGCCCGGCTGTGAATGAGGTGACGCGCACAGGCTGGAGGTAACCATGCGGCCGTGGAGCCTCACCCATGGAGTCGGTGGAGGAGTGGACGAGGCCTTCGGAAGTCGGCCGTGCCGACAACGTCGTGCTGATCACCACACCGCTCTCCTCTGCGAGCACGGGCACCACACGTTACACATGAGCAGCGGCTACGGCGAACGGATACGCTCACCGCCACACAGTTACAGCTCATGCGTTACGGGCCTGTCAAAGACTCCACTGAAAAGCAGTGGTGCACAAGGTCCATATGCTGGTGGACTTATATGTTTTTTTATTGAATCTGTTTTTGGAACTGAATCAACAGCATGTATGTATTTATTAATGTACAGTCATACCTCGGTATACAACCGCTTTGGAATACGCCGAATTTGGTATACGTCGTGTTTTGACGAGAAAAAAATGTCTTGTGATATGACGTCTTGCTTGGGATACGACGCACTTGCTAGAACTTGTATGGGTCGGGATGAGTCACCGCGTAAAGTACCCGCGTACACAATACTGTTACGGCTCTAACAAGCCGTAACAGTATTGTGTGGAATGACCAGACAATGTCACACTTCAGGAACATTCTTAGAAGAAGGGAAAAACAAACTTCAATGGATAGGTTTTGAGTAAAACTCAAACCTGGTGAACCTCAACCAGGTCCAAGTCAAGAAAAACGACAGAAAAGAGAAAGAGAAAAAACCCCAAAATTTCAGCTTCCTGAAGTTTTAATGGAAGGGGACTCTCCTTCCAAAAAATAAAATCTCCTCCTCCTCGCCTTCCTCACCACCATCCTCGGAGGCTATCAACTCATCTCAGCAAGGTATTTCTTTCAATTTATTTTAATTTATTTATGCATTTACTTTTATTTATGTATGCATTTTAGTAATACGTAGTGTCTAAATTATTTTATACAACCCCATTAATGTATAATATGCCATATAAAATAGAATTTCTTATACTCTGGAACGGATTATTTCCTTTCCCTTTATTTCTTATGGGAAAAATTCGTTTGGTATACGTCATTTTCGGTATAAGTCCTACCTTCTGGAACGAATTAACGACGTATACCGTGGCACCACTGTATTCATTTTGTACAACTTGGGTTTTCGCTATTGTGCTCTTTAGCGCTCGGATGAGCGTCCGGGTTGTACCGCGTATTGTTTGGTATGATGTCCAACATTTCACTGCTCTTCAGGAACCGAATTCAGTTCCAGAAGAAGCTCCCAGCACGAGGAACATCATGCAGAACAACAACATGGGGTACAACCAGATAATGTAACGGAGAGTTATATTGTGTTAGCACTTAGTACATCTTGCATTCATAATGGACTTTGTTAATTTGTTACAGTAAAACCCTGGTTAGCCAGACTAAAAGGGGGGAGGCCCAGATCCAGTTCCATCAAAAGTCTGGCTAGCCACAATTTCAATAAAATCTATGCAAAAAACAAAACACGTGTATGCGTATTAAATATACACATACATGCAATATACAGCATGTCGAAATGTTGCTTTCTATTATTTATTTTGTTTTCTTTCTACAAGACTTTCCCGAAAGAACCAAAGAGTAATTCCTGCAGTCACGAAAGCTTCAAATCAAGTTTGAACCACCTCGACAGGGAGGATTTCCACACAACTCACACTGAACTTCAAATTTTAGCAATCTTTGGAAGAACGTAATCAACCAGTTAAAGTGTTAACTGTTGTGTTAACCGACTATCTGTGTAACATTGCATTACATTTATAAGTTTACTAAGTTTGTTTTCTCATTCATTCACACCTGATGACAGTTGCTTGTGTTGCAACTGAAACGTCGTATTATATTATTTATTTTATTTTCTGTCTACGTGACTTTCCCAAAAGAACCAAAGAGTAATCTATGTATATGTTAGGGTCCTTATTTAAATGGAGGACCATGGTAGCGACCCCTAAACATCCTTGGATAGGCTGCGATTTCAGTGATGCAGATTCAACAACAGAATCTGAATATTTATTGAGACTCGAGGAGGAATCCGATGAGCTACGAAGCTCTTTCTCACAGATATCCAGTCGGGTCGGGTCAGAACGTTACAACAACAAACATTACAAAAACACGATAGGAGTGCAACGTATAGGAAAGGTAAGCAAATCACTAAAACAACTATTGGAAATCATTACCCTGATATATACACATAAAAAGTTAAAATACATTCTGTATACAGTGGTCCCTCGGTTAACGATAGCAATTAGTTCCATGAAAACTATCGTTAATTAAAATGATCGTGAATCGAATATATAAAATACATGCTAAAGGCTTCATTTGTTCCAAGATGATCGGAAGTTGACCTTTTTCACCCTAAAACATAGTTTATAATATTTAAACTTGCAATTTTTATAAACATTATCAGAACATATTCAAGTATTAATATTAATAGAAACATGGATTAATAATGAATAAATATAGATTAGAATTTTATTCTTACCTTAGGCTAAGAAGATGGATAGCTTAAGGGGTTGATGGAGAAGTTGGGGTGGGAGAAATTTAATTTTTGGAAGGAGAGTCTCCTTCCATTAAAACCTCCGGAGGTTCCTCACTTTCTCGTCTTTCTTCACATTCATTTTAGGTGCCAATGTTATGTATCTTATTTAACTTTAAAGTAAAAAACACAAATTATTCAAGAGAGCTGTTTCCATAAGCAACGCACATCAAACATTGAAAAGCCAGCAAGGCAGTTGCTCTCAAAACGCTCATAAAAGGGCATCACTAATTGGCTGAGGTCTCCTGCCGAGTCCACTTAGGAGCACCCTGATTGGCCGAAATTGGCAGCTTCGTGATATCGTACAACATATCATGAATCGAAAATGTATCGTGAATAGAAACAATGGGACCCTGTGGGAGGCGGATCGTTAGTCGAAATATCGTTCAACGGTGGCATCGTAAACCGAGGAACCACTGTATTTACGTTGACTGCAACTTCATAGCCGTGCTAGAGAGACCGACCTTGGCTGGTGTGGGCGGCCACGTTGGTGAGGGCGTACTTCCTGACGTTGGTGCACTCCGCTTCGCCCGCGAGCGTCTTGAGCAGGGGCTGCACATCCTCGACCTCGTGCTGCACCGCCTCGAACAGCATCCGCCGCAGGAAGCCGCTGTTGAATAGACTCCCGGACCTGCCCCGCACCCCACACACGCACATGAAGAACAAAGGCAAAGATCCCCCGCGTGCAGCCTTTTACAGACTGTAAGGGGGAAAAGTGCTGGTAGTGGGTGCCTATGAAGGCCTGCTCGGCACACGAGGCGGTGGGTGGCCATGTATATGTGTATGTATGTTTTAACTTTTTTCGCACCGTACGTAAGCCAACCGTGCTAATCAGAGGTGCGGGAAATCAGAGGTGCGGCCAGCGCCACGTCTGGCCGCCTTTGTCTCCCCAGTGCTGATGTTTACACACCGCACCAGGTACTCATTTAAGGCTGAGCCGACCTATAGGTGGCCCAGGGCCAGTTGCGATATTCGTTGCCACACACAAACTCACACATACACATACAAATACAAAGACACACACACCGGCGACACGCAATGATGAATTTCCAGAAGTATTTGTGAGTACTGAGTGCTAAGGAGGCCAGAAGTATGTAGCAGGGCTTAGTGTAACTTCAACACCCACCCTCGCTCCACATGGCCTGCTTGCTCAGTTGCTTTTTTAACAATGATGCCGATGGTCATGAAGAAGATAATGAGAGTTGTTTTCAGCAATGTGGAGTTATATATCCAAGTGATTCCATGTTTGGGACAGATTTTGACAGCACTCATTCCCATTGGTTGACATGAGCTATTATCGACAATTCCTATGGTCGGGGCTAATCCGTACAGGACAAACAATGTTGACCTATCACAAAATGGTACTCATTGTATTGACCTCAAATGTATGATGGACCGTGTGAACACTCGACTGTGTTTTTAATTCGCAACCTCGTAAATGCGAGTAGAGTGGGAATGATAATTGGTTCTTTACCCTTCTATCTGGCAACAAAACTGACACCAGTTTTGTTGCCAGATAGAAGGGTAAAGAACCAATTATCATATTTTTACTGGCAAATGAGGTTCCCATAGTGTAGAGTGGGAATGTTTCACTGCAGATCAAGAGGCCAATGCTGGCAACGCTTATGATTACCATCACACCTTGCCATCGCTTCTTTTCCTCTGCTAGATCCTGTAGTTGTGTAAAGTCAATACACGACCTCTACATTTAAGACCTAAGTCAGGTCTTAAAAAATGCCACCATCTGGCTTAAGGTTGTCCCAGTGACAGGTCGAGGAGTCCGTGCAGGATAGGGGGAGTGCAAGTTCCCAAGACAGACATTAGTTTGGAAAACAAAAGGTCTGAGACTAAAGGAAAGACATAAAGCCAGATGGACTGCGACTGTAACATCAGATATTGATGGGTGGATGTTAATTCTGCAACAGCTAAGGTATACAGCAAAATACATTAATGGTAAGAGACCTTGATGACCTTTTGAGGTCTTTGTAAAATAGATTTATTTATCAGCTGGATCTTACCTGGCGAAAGATATCCATACACCTATTTTGAAGTGATGAAGCATTGCATTGGCTGGAATATACAACTGTGAGTATCTGGTGCAGTGTGTAAATATCAAAGGCGGGTGAACATGGTGACAGGCACACCCTGGTGTCTGGACGTGCGGTGTGCGGTGGGAGTGATGCTCACCACATCGGGCCCAGCTCGATGGCGGTGCGTCCTGGCATGCTGCTGTGGCAGTCGCAGGGCAGCACACTGTAGGGGTTTTCTGAACACATGGCGACAGCACGAAATGCACAAGCTACAGCACCCAGTGCCACTCAATGTTCTCAGGGTCACCAATGCATATGATTGCCATCAAATGTTCATTTCAGTGAAAATAACACTGACTTTATAACTTAAAGTCTAGTGCCATGACCGATAATCCTCACAACCCCCTACATGCACCTTCTTAGGTTTACCAATCTTGTTCTTTGATATACAGATGAGGCCGCTTGCGCACCGTGTGGCAATCACGGAGCGCCGCACTGCAAGTCATGGGGGGTTGTGAGGACTTGACTGTGAGGAAGAGCAACCCTGGTGGAAAACGCCCAAAAGTCTACTCACTGCTCGCCTTGACCGAGCGGAGCCAAACCTCGATGCCGGCATGGGTAGGCGGTGATGCGGTGACGTGATGCCGAGGAGGCGAGAGACGCGGTGGGAAGGGGGCGAGAGACGCGGGGGGGGGAATGCTGCAGATGGGGAGGGGGCAAGTGATGCGGGTGGGAGTGGGCGAGCGACATGGGGGGGGGAGAGGGGGCGAGCGACACGGGAAGATAGGGGCGAGTGATGCAGGGGGGAGCGACGGGGAGGAGGGGGGGGGTGAACGACGGGGAGGAGGGGGGGGTGAATGACGTGGGGGGGGGCAAGCGACGCGGGGGGGGGAAGGGGCGAGTGATGTGGGAGGGGCGAGTGATGTGGGTGGGAGGGGCGAATGGCACCACTGCGTGCGCCACTGCATGTACCGCTCAGCATGTGCGAGTCGGGAGCGAAGACGCGCTCCTCGCACCACTGGCAGTGCACGAGGCGGCGCAGGCGGCGCGCGCACTCGTCCGCGTGGCCGGGCCCGCGCAGCACCCGCACAACCACCAGCACAAAGTGCTCCAGCGCCACGGCCAGCAGCACCTCCACGCCTTTGTTGCAGCGACCGGCCGCCCTGCATAAGCATGCACAAAAGACAAAGATCCCCCATATAGCCTTTAACGGAGCGTTAGGGCAAGTGCTCCCCACATTCTGCACCGCTATACGGGACGTGTCTGCGTGTGTACGCGCGAGCACGGAGCTTGACTGCGCTACCTGACGGCGGCCGTGAGCACCATGCGTGCGGCGAGCTCGTGGTAGTACTCTGTGCGCACCAGGTTGCAGTGATAGTGGCGCAAGGCCACGTTAGGCACTTTGCAGTAGAGCGAGCTCAGGTCCGTGCTGGTGATGGACACGATACCGTGGTTGCGGACGTTGCGGAACGCGGCGTCCAGGTAGTCCACCGCCGTGCCAAATGGGTCCAGGTGGCTGTCGAGCAAACGGGAACGGGGTTAGAGGTCCGGCGTCTGACGTGGTCTGGTGGCTATGATTCATGTGCGTTAAGAGATCCGAGTGTGTGTAGGCATTTGTATGCATAACGTGTGTATGTTAAACTGATAAGTGATTTTTTTATAAGGTCACGTGAGGCCAAAAATCTCTTGTGAATCATATTGGTTGGGAAAACCGAGGCGTTAAGTGTGTACGGTTGTAAACGAGTGGAGGTGCATTTGTGTGTGAGTTCGTGCAATCGGGAGCTGTAGTGTAGTAGTTACCGTGCTGCGCTAAGAACCTGGCGAACCGAGTTCGATTCCCGCTCACGGCCAACATCAGTGACGTTTATCTGCACCGGTCCTGGGCCTCCCCTAGATCGACTCAGCCTCACATGAGTACTTGGTGCAATGTGTAAATGTTGTCACTCAGGAGACAAAAGCAGCCGGCCGTGGTTCTGGCCATCCACCCCCTCGTGTGCCTTGCCAGTCCTTCACAGGTGCTCACTAACAGCACTTGCCTCAACAATATGTTGAGGCTGTATGGGGGTTCTTTGTCATTTTGTGTGTGTGCCCACGACAGTCGGTTGTGCTCACATGTAGTCAAAAGCGCGTAGGTGCATGAGCACGTTGGCATCGTACTGCGTCACCTCCACCAGCCGGTCCTCCGCCTCGCCCTCGCCCTCTACCTCCTCGCCACCCTCTTCGCTGTCCGGCCACGACTCCGTCACCGTCATCCCGTTGAGGCGGCAGTTCTCCTCCATCATTCGCACAGACGCCTCCGACACGTCGTTGATGGTGACAGCGCACCGTGCTGCCCAGGTGCTTGGCCCACTGCAGCCCCATGATTCCTGTGTGCGCACGTGCAGGTCACTTGGCAGGTGAATGGGTGGGTGATCGAGTGAATAAATTCATGGATGAGTGAGTATGGGGTGGTTTGGTTGGCGAGTGGATCAGTTAGTGGGTGGATGAGTGGGTAGGTAGTTGATTGTATAGGTCGGTGAGTGTTTAAGTGATTGATTTAATTGGGAAAGGTAGCGTAGTGGTCACCACACTGTGCGAGTAAACAAATGCGGCCGCCAGTGCTGGGGTGAATAGGTGGTTACTAACAGCACTTATCCCAACAGGCCGTTAAGGTGACAAGGAGGATCTTTGTCTTTGTGGTTGGGTGGGTGGGGGAGTGGCAATAGCCACCTCCAGGCATGGTTAGCAAAGGTATTGTTTTGTCTGTGCTCTGTTTAGTCAAATGAGTCATTGAAGCCTCCCAGCCATTGACCAGGCTCCACCTGTGGCTCCAAACGCATCGAGGCACGCCAGGGGCTTCCTCTCCTGCGTCAGTGCTGCCAGGGCACAGAACACCAGCTGCCTGCAGCACACACGCAGTCTCTGGGTCAGCAACACTCACACAGCCCTATGTACTGCTACACGTACACACACACAGCTTGTAAGTACTTAACACTCAAATACACACGGCCTCTAAGTCGTTAATACTCACACACAGCACCTAACGTGAAAAACAATCATTCAAAACAGTGTTTTGTACTACGCACACACATTCAGCCTCTGGTTATCAACAATCATACAGTGCAATGTCCAACACGAACAATCACACACACAGCTTCCTAAGTCATTAACACTCAAACACACACAGCCTCTAATCCAGTCAAACACACACAACACACACAGCCCGGTGTACTAACTGTTTGAACACACTACTTATTAACTCATAAACATACTCCTATATACTAGTTTAACAGTATCTATATTATAGATCCCATATACTACAACAACAACCGAATTTCGCCACTAAGTTGCGGTGACGTCACCACGACGCTTGTGCCAGGCTATGCGCAGGTTGAGGCCACGTGAGGTGTCGAACGCCCGCTGGCAGGAGGTCATGGGGCAGACCCAGATGTCACGAGTCGACTGACTGAGATGACCGAGATGAGTGGCTGATGCACCACCTGTGCCCCCTACTGTGCCAACTTGCTGTGCTTTAGCCACCCGGTGCTCCGCTCGTTGTTGTGAGCGTCGCTCCTCCCCCCTCCGTTGTTGTTGGAGGGCGACTGCCTCCAACTGCCCAGTAGCGTCCTTCACGAGCCTCCTCCACAGAAGTCTATCTTGACATCGCTGGTACCAGTCATCGGCAAGTCAAATCAGCTCCACATCCTCCTGTACCACATCACTCCATCTCTTCTCTAGCCCGTGCCACGCCCAGTTTAGCCCCCTCGATCTGGCCAAACAAAAGCTGTTCAGGCATGTGGTGGCTGGGCATGCGGGCTCCATGACCCAGCCAACGCAGCCTTGCCTGGCGGAGGAGCTCACCGATGGGACTTTGTCCAGAACTTTCAAGGATATGTGAGCTCCTCACACAATCCAGCCTGGTTAAACCCAGGATGGATCGTAGGCAGGCCAGCCTGTTTCTAATCGGCAAAGATGTTCCATTCGGAGGGGTCCACGTTTCGCAAGCGTAGAGAAGAGAGAGAATGACCTTGGCCGAGAAGACCTGAAGCTTCGTGCGGAGCGACAGACCAGGTAGCTTTGACACAGCCTTACGCAACCGATGAAAAGATAATGCCGCTCGACTGATTCGGAGTGAGACCTCAGCTGCTCAACCGGAGTCCGGTCATGAACACACTGCCCAGGTATGGGAAACTCTCCACTCTCTCCACAACTGCCCCATCACCAATTGGGAGTTGTGATGACATAGTGGTTATTGCTATACCCTGTGACCTAAGTTATATTGTTGGCCATGACTAATATCAGTATTGAGTGTTATATGAACCAGTCCTGTGCCTCTGTAAGGTTGATTCAGCCATTAATGACAATGCACGTACTGTACTGTGTAAATATGAACATTGGAGAGACAAAAGCGGCCGGGCATGGTGCTAGACACACTACAGCATCGTATCCCAGTGTGTGCACGTGTGCAACGGTTAGCCCGCTGTGCTACGAACCCTGTGATCCAAGTTCGATTCCTGCTCACGGCAAACACCAGTGACAATTATCTGAATGAGTCCTGGGCCTCCCCTAGATCGACTCACACTCAAATGGATACCTGCTGTGGTATGTCAACATTGCCACTGGGGAGACAAAGGTGGCAGGGTGTGGTGGTGGCCACCCATCCCCTCGTGTGCCGTGCCAGCCTTCATAAGTGCTCGCTTCGAGCACTTGTCCCAACAATCTGTTAAGGCTATAGGGGGGGAGGGGGAATCTGTGTTTTTGAGTAGAGCTGACCGGTTGGGCTTCATGCGTGGGTTGAAGAAGGAGTCGGACTTCTGCGGAACGCTGTGATTGGGGAACACGTGCACGCTCGTGTCGGCCTCGCTCAGCACACTGGCCGCACGGCGGGGAGGCCAGCATGCTCCCCGCACCAGAGCTCACCGCTACATCCAGCGGTGAGATGCACAACGCACAACAGATAGTCAACACGACGCCACCCCCCGCCCTCCCACTTCCATGCCATACAGGGGCAGCGACCTAATGTGACTACGCTTGTAAAAGGCATCTAAGTGCAACGACATCACGAGACCTGGTACATGAGTGACTTGGCTCAGCCACTGCAGAGGTTCACAGGTTCGAATCCAGCGGCCGCCCTAATTAATATTGCAGGTGTATTAACATTTAAAATACTAGCCCTCTGCTTCACAATGGACATTAAAGATGGTGTGACGTCATTCTCAAGAGTAGACCATTGTGTGCCGGTGTCATAGTCCAAATCTGCCATATTTGAAAAAATGACATGCAAATTACTCAATTGGAATATACGTAGCAATCATTGCCTCCAACTACTAAAACGTTTGAAAGTACTGTCCTGAAAAAGAGTGCCGAGGCTAAGTGAGGCTTTCCATGGCAAACAAGTGGAATCATCATAATAACACCAGTGGAAACACACCAGCTGTGGGGAAAATTGAATGAAGGGAGGGTAAGAGGGTTCTGCTATAGAAGACACTGGATGGAGAGAGAATTAATCATACGTAGGCAACGATGATGGATTACAGAAATTATGCAACACTACAAAAGCCTCCACACTATCATTATCAATGCAGTCAGTTAATTTCATAATATAAATTGTTCTATTATAAGAGGGCTCATGACAAAGTAATTCTGTACAATTTGGACATTGTTATTGTTTTGGTAAACGGAATATTGGTTGTTAATATTGCAATTCCTTTTTACATGTCCTTCATTCACTAATTATCTCGCAATTGTGTTATGAGACGAGGTCATTTGACGTAATCAATTTATAGCAACGTCATTGTCTGCGGTCCCAGAGGTTGAGTATTACGGTCATCCATGGACAGGGATGACGGTCAGGGTTTGTGGGTATGCAGGTGGCTGATGAGGCCAATACTGGAACCGCATGTCTCGTTATAGTGACAGCGTGTGTTGTCGTTATTGATAGCTTGGAAGCTTTGAGAGTCCTGTCTGGTCTGGGTGCATTCTTTCCTTCGTCCACTGGTAACTTACAGGCAGCAGCGCACACACTGCGTTCAACCACCACACTGCAGGCGATAAAAAAACGTATCTTTGCTGCTTCTTTCCATGCACCGATTGTGCAATGATTGTGTTTAGTTTGTTGTCTTTCCCCCGCACCTCTGAGCACGGTTGCTGACGTATGGTGCGAAATAAGTTCACCGTACATACATACACTGCGCTAAATTTTGCAATCCTCTCCCACCGTCTCTTTTCCCCAAGTTCATATAACATTCAATAACGCTGTTTGTTGCCGACTGCTTGACATAATGGGCCTGTGCCAAGTAATCATTATATAATATTTTTAAATCCCTGGCTGGCAAATCCCTTGCGTGCCTCTGCCATGGCCACTGAGCTTCAGCGGCAGCAGTGGGCATTACCTTCCCTGTAGTTGCCGTATGTCTCGCCCCGCTTGTAGTGCCGGTGCAGGTGGCTGAGCATGTCGGTCTTGCGGATGATAGTCACGGAGCACACGGCGCAGTGGTAGTGCGCAGCCATCTTCCCCTGGGCCTGTGCCAAAAAAACACGGGCGGCTACAATCGGCACAGCCAAACGCGCCGCATCCAGCCACAGTTGTTACACTTCCACGCAGGCCACGGCCGTGAAAGTTCACAGGCGGGAAATGTAATATTTTATCAACGGTACAGGTACGATATGGAAAAAAGCATTCACACGATGGTCAGCTGCTCATCAAGAGGGAATGAATGCTAATCAAATACGTGCAATCACCTCAAGTGGCAGTGCTCACAGTTCAAATTCCAAACTTATTTTAAAGGATGCAACCAAACGTATTAGTTGCGGCTGCTGTTGTGTTTCTTGTCAAAATAAATACCGTATTGATGCGTGGAACTCGAGCAGTACAAATCTGATTCTTAAAAAAAAAATTGACCGATTCAACTCTCAAATCCGAGCTCCCGGTTACAACAAGGCGTTCCGCCATTACACTTTCAACTTCCCCATGCACTGGGCTACAAAAACTAATATGGAGTGACTCCCACCATAATCCCGATACATATGTTGTGACGTACCCAGGGTCAAAGTGCTCCTGTCATGGATGACAGAGAGGACTCCGTGTGGCTATCGTATTGCTAGACAAGGGCACTGTGGCGGTGTACCTGAAAGTCACTTGGCTGTGTGTTTACATTATTTGCTCATTAATAATCCCAATATGTATGTTCGACAGCCGATGCAAGGGAGCTCAGATATGTACAGTAATATCCTGGTTTACATCGGGGATGCGCTCCTGAAAGATACGACGACTATCGAAACGACGTAAATCAAAGCAATTTAGAAGGTAGGTGGAGGCGCACTTCAGTTGGAGGTTGACGTTCGAAGTGGACTGCGACCCTCAAAAGAATGGTACTGCCCCCTGTGGTTGCCCCCGTGATGCATGGATCAAACAAATCACCGGAAGCACCGGTGGATGGCAGCAAGAGCAGTTTATGCGAATGCTGTTGCAAGAGGTCACACGTTTGGCGCAACGGTCATTCGCTGACTATGCGTGATGATGGAGGCGAAGGCTGAGAGGAGACGGATACGAGAAAGGACGGAAGCTGTCAGCGACATAAGTGTGGGTTCAGGCAATGCAAATTAGGTAGCGGTATTCATAAAGTGACAACGCATTTGCGAAACAACGTAAAAAGGGGAGACGTAAATCGGGGTATTACTGTATCTACAAGCCAACAGCCTACTGTATTAATTTGTGAAGTTTTGCATTCTTTAAGGTAGTGTGCAGACAGAGTAATCGTATTCTGAAAGTGCTGGATGAGTGGCTCACTGGGACTTGGACACAAGTTGGCGGGGAACTGTTCACCGGCTCAATTCCATGGGACTGCTTGTGCAGGCGACACGGCAGGTGGCAGATGCACATGCCGCAGGCCTGCAGACACACAGCACCAGCAAACAACATTGCAATGGCTCACACTATTTCATCAATATTATTTAATATTGCTACTTATATATCCCAATTGTGCCATGACATCACGTCGCAAGACAAATTACCACGTGGAACGCTTGCAGCTGGCAGTATATGACCGTCAGTCAAACGAATTACCCTGCTGGGATGATGTCACAAAACCACTGTAATACCCTGGGACTGCAAACAAGTTGGTAAATGAACAATTCACTTTAAGAAAAAAAAACGGATGACACACTCTACGTACGCACCCCTATTCTATGTAGGTACACAATAAAGTCTGCTTTATCGACTAATTTATAAGTGTTTTGCTCTTATCCGTGTTTCTGTTTAATATGGGCCAACCCTCTGCACTATTACTTCATCGAATGTAGTGGCACATATCATCATCAGCAATGATATTCTATCTACTATTGTTCATCATAGTTCTGCAATGCCCCCAATCCATCTCGAGCTGCATCTCCATGGTGGTGGTCCCTCTGAGTGTGATCCCTCCTCTGTTTTCCACTGTGGAAATTTGTTTGGTTTATGATGAAAGCTCATCCTGAAGTAGGCACGTCACAGCATAATGGGTTGACTGAACTATAGTATGAGGGAATTAGGCAAAACAAATGGGTCAATGTTGTAGTCCAGTGTTCTTCACTAATTTTCAGAGGGAGGCCACTTTCGCCAATAAGACATCAGTGTGAGAGCCACCACACATATGAAACATTTTGGTTTGACAGCATGATGGGGTGTTTTCACATTTGTGTATTGTCGGGGGGGTAGGGGGAGTGCAGCATGTCAGAGGCCTGCACCAAAGTACTACCAGGAGACGCCAGTGGCCCATGGGCCTTCCAATGAAGAACACTGTTGTAGTCAGTGTAACATTAACTATGTTTCAATATTTCATGAGCAATGAAAGATGGCTTACCATTGCACTCCAGGGACACTTTCCAATGCAGATTCTGTAGGTGACGCTTGAGCTTGTGGTTGTACGTTGGTCTGAACTTTTCCTCTGAGCAGAGTGGGCAGGCTCTCTTACCTCCTGCTCAAAAACACACAAAGTGGCAATCTTCTTCCATAAAGCATGGCTGATGTTGATGTAGAGCAACAACTATAATTTCACCGTGAGCTGGTTGAGCCAGGACAATTGCATAAGCAGTAGCAAATGGAGCATATCGCTGTGATGCCTCCTTCGTATTTGTAAAACGGCAATAAGTCACTGACAAGCAAAGTCATGTGGAAGTGTCTCCCTGTTCACAGCAGCGTGGACCGGTGTTCGCCTCTAGTGGTGGCCCTTGAACGGTTGTTTCTTATGGATCCTATGCGAGTGCCAACAATGACATTAAAACAGTCCCACAGAAGGGGTAAGTCATGCCATAGGAAAAGCAATGTTGATTTTCCACGAGGTTGATACTCATGTTTTTGACCCTGGAGAGTGGAAGACAACATAATGGGTATTGAACTTGTATAATATCTATTTTATAAATATGTTTTTCCGTTTAAGGCAGTGTTATTGACGAATGTAACGCTCGTACCCGCCCTGACTGGACATAGGTGAGAAAGAGCTTTATAGCTCATTGGATTCCTCCAGTATAAATACATTTTCGGATTCCGAATGTGTTTAATTTTTTTCGTTAAAATAACTCTGCAGTGTGTGTGTAACAATACATGGTTTTATCAATGTCCATTCTTAAGCTCACAATACATACACAGATTTGCTTACAGATCACAAATGTAATGGGTTCACAAAACCACTCCAGCCACCAGAAGCCACTACATTAATCACTACATTAAAAACGTAGATTTTTTAATAGAACCATGACAACTGAATGACGATCAGGGAAAATCATCACACGCCACAGTACAGAATCCACACAAACCGATCCGGTGCTGGGCATGCCAACAACTGGGCTATATCCAGTCACGTACATTTGAACAGGTTCTATGCTTTTCACATGCGACGTGCCATGCTCTACACCTACAGGCACACACAGACTGCTCCAAACTCGGAATGTTTTGGAATCAAGAGGTGAAGGGAACTCACCAGTGTCCACCTGGATGAGGTTCTCCAGATCCTCCAGAGACTCCTGGATGGAAACGTGCCTGTCTGCCGTGACAAACGTTGAACGAGAGGTGGGAATAGATCAAGTGAGCCCGACGAGTAGGCCAACTGAATCCTGGAGTCTGCGACCGCCACACCTGATCCTCACACAATTTTTTTTTGCCTGAGTTGGAGTGCCACCCAAGCAGAACCTCCGATTTTCAACTCTCAATGTGTCGACGGGGGAGTTTGGAATTTTGCCACAGTAGCATTTGGCCAAGGTACGCTCTTGTGACTTTTACTGGTAGGAACCACCTGGTTCCACCAGCCCACAGGGGACTATTGTGTCCGTCCGTCCTGCATCCAAAAATGGGAGGGGTGGGGCTGGGTGGAGAGGGGAGGGTGGGGAGGTGCTGGGTGGGGAGGGTGGGGAGGGGCTGGGTGGAGAGGGGAGGATGGGAAGGGCTGGGTGGGGAGGGTGGGGCTGGGTGGGGGGTGGGAGGGGTGGGGCTGGGTGGGGAGGAGCTGGTCACCCCGTGGTGCCCTTATAAAACTCAACGTTTAACCTACTCACGCCGGCTTGTGCCCGCCCTCACAGTCGGCCATATTTGCGGAATACACCACGCCGCCGTTGACCCTGGCCATTGACCGAGCAACCCAACGTTCCTACTAGCTCCCTCCGCAGGAATGTGTTAGATATCATTTAAACATGAGTTCAAGTTGTCTTCAGCTCACAATTCTTTTGCTCGCATTTTCAAATGACAATTACGAAAGAGGAATCGTTCAAGAGATACCTGCGGAAGATGAAGCCGAGACGACATCGGTGCCCTCCTGTGTGGCTGCACAGTCTGGCTGAGGGAGGGAAACCTCCATGGGCTCCTCCAGCTTCAGAGGGACCATCTCCATGGGATCGGTCTGAGAGTGGTCCACAGCCACTGCACACATGGCAAAAATCCCCCTCACCGTATGAGCCATGACAACATGCTGGGGGACACCTAGGCAGGTGCCATGCACCATGCTGCAGTGCCGTCCGGTATCAAGCATGAAGCTCCAAGGCAGCACACAAAGTACAATGTACTCCTTCAGAATCATCAAAGATAAACTCAACGATGCTAATTAATTGTATACGTAGGCTCTCACAACCAATATTTATTCATAGTTAGTTTTGGAATTAGATTGTGTAGGCATGTACATTTTGGCTTTTATTATTTTCAATTTATTATGTAATTTTTTATTGTATTATTTTTTATTTGTATTTCTATCTACGTGACTTTACCGAAAGAACCAAAAATAGACATGTACATTTTTTAATATAACCCTCCACAACCTGAGCCAATGAAATACATCTATCACGTGGGCAAATGTGCCATGCGATTTTGGTTTATCAGTAAAAGCGAAATGATGGAAAGCAAACAATATTTAAAATAAAGTACGACGTTTTGCTATAGACTACAACCAGCGCCGCCAGGTCTTAACGCGAGTGGTGTAGGGTTATATAGTAAAGTCTGGCATGATACCTTCTCGATCTAACCCAAAATAAACGACTTTAATTATGAATCATAATGTCCATTATTCAGTAATCGACGTGGGTGGTGCATTCAACGCAATGACATGCACTTGTTTCATGAAGTAGTGTCCAGCATTCAAAGGTCAGACTATAAATCAGGCAGCAGTGCATCATGAGAATTGGGTTTGACGGCTGCTCCCTTCCTCGAAACATACTCTGGATGGACAAACATTTCAGAAAACATCTCGAGCGGTTCCAAAGGACCCCCCCCCTGGTTTTTTTGTTGTTGCTGGAAATCAATTCAACGTCGTCATAAATTAAACTAAATTAACTTTTTATTTTACCAAGTAAGCCCTACTGAACTATATCGCTCTTTTTTCAGAAGCGACCTGGCCACAAAAGATAGCTCAACGAAGTGGCTTATATCATGTGGAAATGTACAGCGGCCAAATATTCTAAACGCGTGATGTTAATTCTAGGGAAAACCCGGAGGACCCAGAGAAATATCCACGCGACCACGGGGAGAGACACACACGCAAACTTTATAAATATACAGCAGGCGACTGGGGGTCGTGATCGAACCCACGACCTCCTGCACACCAGGCGTGGGAGCTAACATCTCGCCACCGAATCAAGACCCATCACCATTGCAAAGTTCGTGGAATTTGGGCATCGGGCACGACGCCACGCTGCCCTCTAGACACGAACCGGGAGCTCACCCACCCCTCGCTCTCTCCAGCCACCCATCTCGCCATCTCACGCACAGTCTCCAGCGGGAGTAGAGAGCAAGCTCAGGGCAATGCGTCTCTTGAGCTTGTGCGCAGCTCTGGTTTGTACATCCACCACTGCTGGACGAGCCCCCCCCAATAACAGCCGTGGGCAGTAACGACCATACTTCACCACGCTGGTCACGGCGTGACGGTGACACGAGGCCCGCACTGCAGCGCCCTCTGCTGCCTGGACGCGGAGCTTCGCGCGTGTTGGTCTCTCATCCAGACGCGGTCCAGGCCCCATCCTGCTTAGCTTCGCGAGACTCTGGGTCGACATCGCCGATGGTGGCGGGGGGGGGGCGAGCTGATCGGTTTGGAGCCAGCGACGGAGCTCCGCAATGGGCCCAGCTACCTGAACCTGCAGCCTTGCCCCGTACGCACCGCACCTCACCCGCTGCCATCTCCTCACCCCGACCCCCCCCCACCACCACCACCACGAGGACAGAGGAGAGAGCGGAGAGTGAGCGGGCGTCGTGTCCACCGCGCCTCACCTGAGCCCGGCTGCGAGGGCTTGCAAGGCACCTCCACCTCCTCCAGCCGCTCCGCCATGTCGCCCACGCGTGACGTCACCTCCTCCAGGTCGCTGTGGCCCTTCAGAGTTTAACAGATGCCCCCAGGGCCGACAGAGCGTTGCTCGGCTCAAGCGCGTAAACACGGAGAGTGCCCCGGAGGCAGCAGTTTGTGCTGGAATGTCTCGTGCCGTCGTGCGGCCTCTGCCTCGGTGCAGCTCCGCCAGGAGACCAAAACCGAGAAACGGAGCTCCGCGTCCTGCTCCGGAGCCCATGGGACGAATGTTACTTCTCACGCCCTGGACTCCTTTGTAAAAAGAGTCAAATTGCCTCTCAAGCTTTCACTTTAGTTTTGAAACATCGGCAGGATTTTATGTAAAGTTTTTAATACTTATAAAATGTTATTTAATACAGTAGTTTTTATTACCTTTTCTCAATTTTGCATTCCTATCGGGCTTTGTATTGTTGTAACTCGCTAACCCACCCCGATTGGACATTTGTAGTAAAGAGCTTCATAGCTCATCGGATTCCTCCAAGATTAATATTCTGGAAGATCTGGTTTGGGCTTGTGGATATAAACGAGCGTGCAGCGGGGTTAATTTCCATTACCAACGATGGAAACTCGACATTCCCATTGACGGGGCTGATTTATTCCACAGGACAAGCTATTGCTGTCCCACGAAGGCTCAAAAGTGATATATGCCACTGTAAAATAATTGCGCAAAAATGTCAACGAATTACGTGAACACGTCGGGTATAAAGACAATGCAATACAGCATTTAGTATATTTACAATCACAAACCAAGCACTGTACTGTCGTTCAGGTTGTCGGGGTTATTTGGTCATACTTCACCATGCTGGTCAGTGTGGATTGAAGGCAAGGAAGGATTGAAGTACTTTAATTCAATGGATTTTGCTACGCTGCTAACTACGTAGCTAATTAGTAACTTAGCGATTGATAGACATTCTATTTAAGCTGGCAAAAACACAATGAGTTACGAGCTAGTGGAAATTGTAGGTTACGTGGGTAGATAAACTAAACAATCGTACGTAAACACGAACAAAATATGAGATTATGGAGAGGAAAAAAAATCTGCAAAAGTTTTACACACTGTAAATTAAACTAATGACACGTGAAATTGCAAATATAAATTGAATTGAGTCTGCATATACCTTTACATAGATCCCAACAAAAAACAACGTAGAAACAAAATTAACATTTATTACAAAATTACAAAGAGTGAAAACCAGCAGGCTTTTGAATGTTACATGACAATAAAAACAGCACTTCCCAACTGCATTGCACGAGGCCCCACCCACAATGATGCACCTAAAGAAAGTCCAGTATTCTCCACACGTATCATGCTCGTTCAATCTCATGTGTGGACATGTGTGGATGCGCTCATGCAAAGTTGGGCATTGCGATTGAAGACCATGAACCAGGACCCAAAAACAGGACAATGCTTTTCCCAACAGTTAATCTGCATATCATGAACATGGGTCGTGTGTCCAAATGCCCCTAAATGCAGATTGTTTTCAGACTTCTTGTGTGGCTCCTGATCTTCGGAACAAGAATTCAGCTGTGCTTCCGGATCATATGCACGGCGATCTCTTGTCATTCCGAAATGCACGTTCTGCTGTGTTGTGTTTAAAGGATATGAGAATAAGCCTCTGGTTTACATGCAGCTAGGTGACCTCACGTGTATTCACACAGGTGACCGCAGCCCGTGGGGCAATAAGGAGATGTTTGTAGCCAGTCCATAATATGGTTGAGGTGGCCTCCATGGCTGCAGCCTTGGCACCACACAAACAGGCCCCGCACCACATGGTGGCACACGGCACACACGCTGGCACATTGCCGACACCTGCAACCAAGCACACACAGACACATAAGTAGTCACCTACACAGCAAATACCCATATATGACACCCAACAGAATGGACCAAGTGAGAAGCAAGCACACTAATGGTCCAGTAAAAGAGGTCATGCTGTAGTGAATCAAATATTTGTGATAGATGGGTGTACAGGTAAATAAATATTGATTTTGTTCTTACTTAATGTTCCCAATCTTAAATCTCAGAAACTACGCAGGGGCAGAGCTTGGATCGTGCTTAGATGGGCAACCACCATGCACGAATGTTTTTACAGGCTTGTGGGGATACATGGTGGGGAGTCGAGGGCGGTTATTCACCTTGAAAAACCCACAATGATCAGAATGGTTACGTATGGTAAAATAACCTCCATGACCTGGATGGTGTGGGGAGGCCCTCATCCAGCAATGGATTAACAAAGGGCTCAACTACCCCAGAAGGAGATCAAACCAGCTAATTCTGGATTGCAAGTTCACCATGGCAGCACAACCGATCGTCAGGTCGCACATGGTGGAGTAATGTGTGGGCTCTCCCAACGCTTCCAAGATTTCTGGCCAGCGTGGAAGAGGTCAAAACATCCTCTCGATGAATTCTCGAGCTCCCAACACGTGGTGGTCCTTCTGACAGCAGTAGGATGAGCAATTGACCGCTTCGCCTTGACGCTTTAACACCTTGAACCCACACGCAAGAGGGCTGCTGCACAACAATATGGCTGCTGTCAAACATGTTGAGCAACCGCTGGTTCTGTTTCTTCCTTGGTCAGAATCTGAGTTCCTATCAGGTCCTAAAGAATGACCAACCCCACCAAGGCTCTGTGTTGGCCCTGATATGTTGCAATGTATACATCAGCGATGTCAGATACCTATGCTGATGACTTAGCTCTGACCACACTGCACATCGATTTGTAGCTGCTACTGAATCCATATAAGAGAGACCCCATACACCTGACATAAAAATAGATACAGTTCCCCAAAATTACCTTTAAACGCCTGTGGTGATGTGTGCTGTTAGTGAGCTCCCATGAAAGCTGGGATGGCATGAGCGGGTGGGGGGCTAACAGCACCCAAACTGCTTTTGTCATCCCAGTCCTCATGTTTACACCCCGCACTAGGTGCTAATTTTTAAGGCCGAGTCAATCTAGTGGAGGCCCAAGACCGGTTTAAATATTTGCCACTGTTATTAGTCACGAGTGGGAAACAACCTCAGGTAGCCGGTTTCCTAGTGCAGTGCGCAAACCACTACACTGCCGCTCCCCACACACACACACCCAGTGATGTACTCACTTGTCACAGAGCCAACCCTTGCCATCGAGTGAGCGCTTGCAGGCGCTGCAGTTGAGATGAAGGCTGGTGGACGTCTGGTTGAGGATGTTCACAGCCTCACACGTACTCAATCGGATCACCTGTGTGGCTACAGACCACAGCTTAAAGCGGTGCAGTAACTCCAGGTATGCCGTGTACCAGTGTTCCTGTGTACAGCCAGACAGCCACATGCAGACAGGAGCATGAAAAGTAGACGTTACAATTTACAACAAGTGGAGTATGATTGAGTTTAAGATTTAAAAACAATTCCGCCATAGGATTTTCATATTTTTAGGTAAAATGTATTTTAATTGCATTTTAATAACTTTCATTGTTTATGTGATATATTTAAGGATTTAAAATATTATTCAAGGGTAAAGTAATTCTTTAAGTGTGATTTTGAAAAATATATATTTTAGTAATATAATTAAATGGAACCTCCTGTGATAGCAATTTTGGTGGAAAGAGAGTGGACGTGACATTATGTAAGTCACGTAATTTCCCGTGACATTACATCTTTGGCTAAATTCCAACTAAATATTTTTCAAAAGATAAATGTCATATCTAGGTCCGCTTTTCAGATCTAAAACCTAGGACATGTCCCGAGTGAGTATGTACATCTGCCAATGACCCAGTCTGGGAAGATGCAACTTTTTAGAAATGTGTTTCAATCTATCTTCATGTGTTTATTCATTTCGCAAAGACCATGGTTGTTCAACAGTTTGAAAATCCTTTATTCAAAGTTCTATGAGAAATTTCTCATCAAAGCCTCCGAAAGCAAAGCCGATCCTCTGCCCTTACCCGGATCCCCATTCATAGTGCTGTACCTGCACAGTCTGACTGACGTGCTGGCCTGCCCTCTGGCCCAGCACCAGCAGAGCTGACACGGCCATCTGCACGTCGCCCATCTCCGTATAGTGCTCCAGCATAGATGTAACTGTGGGAGAAAACCTATGGGGCACGCATGTGGGAATCCAGCACACACACAAACGTCAATCCAATACACACAGAGGGAATCCAGCACACACACATGCACGTTAATCCAACACGTACAGGTGACCATCAAAGACAAAGATCCCCATATAGCCTTAACGGACTGTTGGGGCAAGTGTTGTTAGCATACATTTATGACGGCCAACACGACTCACTAGGGGGTGGATGGCCAGCACAACGCTCGGTCGCCTTCGTCTCCCCAGAACTAATGTTTACACACCTTACCATTTACTTATTTAAGGTTGAGTCGACCTAGGAAAGGCCCAGGACAGGTTCAGGTATTCGTTTCTGATATTGGCCGTGAGCAGGTTAAGAACTCGGGTCTCTGGGTTCATAATGCAGTGCACTAACCATCCCACGACCTAAACAGACACAACTCCAGCATGTGCGTATCCTGCCTGCAGCCACAGGTCCAAACACGCACGTTAACACGGGCACCTTCTTTACACTGTTACCTGCTGCAAGGAGCTACTTTGTATAAACGCAGCCCATTGCGCAGGGAGATAGAGGATGTACAAAGCCATTCACAGAGAACGCCTGAATGTGGAGAGAAATCATTATAGATAGAGGATTGTGCAGGGTAATATTATAAGCAAGATTCTAATCTTGAAAAAACGTAGCACCTAGTGGACAAATGTTTTCAAACGTAATGACCCCAATAAAGAGAGAAATAAGGCCCGTGTGTGCTGATAGTGATGCCATACGGACCCTTCAACTGGCAGGGACTGTCCGAACAATGGGCGCGACACAGATATGAGGGACACACTTTCGGCAGGTGTGATCCCTGCTCCCCAAGCCCCCAATCGCCTGCACACCACAAACACAGACAAACAACCATCAATACACATAGGCCATGCTTTTCATTAACTACGGTAACTCAATTATATCAGTGATCAGATTATAATGGTTGTGGATTAACCATGCTGGTGAAAAAAAGTGTACGCACACGCTGCTCTAATCTCAGTCGTCCGCTCAGTAACTTCGTGCCCGCGTGACCACAAACATGTTCACAAGTAAACCGCTAAGTTTTAGTCGCGATAAAAAGAGATGACGTTCTATCCCTAGTCCGCATAGGTAAACAATTAATATATTATGATGGCCTAGTTTACACATGTTTGTCTTATCCGTATACAGAAAAAGCTCTCTTATACGGCACTTTAGCATCCGGAATGCTCTATTAACCGGCATCTGTCATAGACGGCAATACAAATCTTCCTTCACATATCCGGAAAAATTCCAACTGCCATCCAGCATCTTGCTGTGCGCTTATCATATATCTGTTGTTTACGGAAGCTTCAGGACACTGCCGAGTGGTGGCATAAGCAGAAGTCTATACATGGAGTACTGTACCTCTGTATACTATACTCTAAACTGTCCCACTGCCTCTCTACAATCAACTTAGAATGCTCTACAACTGACTTGTGAGTACCTCTGTAAAAGAGTATGTTATTTCTTACATCATAATTAAAATGTAGGCTTCACTTATTTCTTGAAAAGTTTTATGTAAATGGAAAATTTGGTGAACCATCAGTATATATTTAATTAACTGGCACCCTCCATTTTCCATGGATGCCTGATAACTGACATTTTTCTGTCTATATTTTGTCTGGGCCACCACTCTCGCCCCCCGCCCCCCATTACCCTGGAAAACCGAGAGATTATCGCACATGCATCTTTACGATCATGTGTTGCACGTGCATCAGCTATTGTAAGCGTGTCCATGTGTGTGCGAGCGACACGTCTATGAAGGAGGCTTGTGAAGGATGCTACTGGTCAATTGGAGGCAGTCGCCCTCCGTCAACAACGGAGGACAGATGAGCGACGGTCGCAACAACGAGCGGAGCGCCGGGTGGCTAAAATGCAGCAAGTTGGCACAGTAGGGGGCACAGCTGGTGCATCTGTCAGTCATGTCCGTCTGTCAACCCATGGCACCTGGGTCTGTCCCGTGATCTCCATGGCCTCAGGCACCTTGGTGGATGTCACCGCCACTTAGTGGCGAATGGCGGGTGTTGTTGTTGTTGTCGAGCGGCACGTCTGTGTGTACGTACGCGAGTCCGTGAAGGGTGTCCACATGCGTGCAGTTCACGTGCGTGGGTGTCGGCGTCTGGGTGTGGCCCCACCTTGCAGCTCCCCCGGGTCGCCCAGACCCCTCCTCCACGCCCCTCTCCTCCTCATCCGCACTGAGGCCCGAGTCCCTCCTGTCCCCCGTGAGCTGTGCAGGGGCGGCCGCAGGGCCCTCGGCAAAGTCATGGCGGAGAGGGAATGCTTCCACCGGTAGTGAGAACTCCCGGAAATCTTCTACGGTGAATGAGTGGCACAGCAGAGAGAAGCCGTCATCGTCACTAGCATCTAGGCACCGAGGAAAACTCTCATCATGTCCCACTTTAATTTGTGCATGCCACTTAAGTTGTGTGTTGTCGCGTTTGCGACCGTCTTAGTGTGCTCACCAGCGGGTGTGTCATGTGTGAGGAGCTCCAGGCCACCTTCTTCCCCATCCCCAAAGAAGAAGTCGGTGGTGCCTCCCTGAAGACCAGCTGCCAGCCCAGGCAGCGTCTCTGCATCACTGCCCTCCGTCTCATCATTGCCGCCATCTGTGCCGCCTGACAGAAGGGTTGTCCACAGCTGAGTGTTTGTTAAGCAACTCTATAGAATAGCGAGGCACAGGGTATTCCATGAAGGGTTGTTGTGTTAGAAGGTGCTGGTTCAGGGACAGGTTTGAGTAGAGTGGTCATGACCATGGTGGACAGCAGTGGGGTGACAACTAAGCAGACACTGACCATCAGGTGGGGGGAAGGTGGAGGTGGAGGAGTCTCGGAGCCGCCCCTCTGATCGTCCTTCCCCACCCAGCACCGGCACCCCCTCCTTCACGCCGAAACTAAAACAACATCAATAGGACTCACCAAACACAGAAGCTATGCCGTAAATCTCTGCTGCAAGAAGGTGGCGTGGTAGCTTTCTGGGTGTGTCCGAAAGAGATGGATGCAGGCGCGCAAGCTGGAGGAGAGGGGGAGCGGTACGTGCCCGCACGTACATGCTGGAGGGCGGCAGCGCAGGCGGTTTGGGAACGAGGGAGGCGGGCGAAGCCGAGTGGTCGCCGCCTCCGTACAGCAGTTTGAGCATTGTCCACGTCTGCGCCACCTGGAAGCGGCGGAGGCTCCCTGCCACGCGCGCGTTGTGGTCGCACAGCTCCCCGAGAGGCCTGCGCTCACGTTTCACAACCAAGTCACTCCACGGGCATTTCGCTCAACAAGCAGGGCTGGTTTATTATCTGTGCTATACCGCATAACACATTTCCATGAATATTTACAACTTTGTCATCCCACCGCTGGATGAAAGTTGAATGAAGGCCTCCCCACACCGTGTCTGTCACGGGAGTTGTTTGACCATACTTCATCATGCTAATCAGTGTGGGTTGGTGAAGGGGGGAGCTTGGGACTCGTTCAAATATCACTCATCCCTGACTCAAGCCAAGGCCGGGAACTGAACTCAGGTTTCTGGGTTCAAAGCTCAGTGCGCGAACCATTGGGTCATCGATTCACCTCGTTGCCAAATTAATAGACAAAAGAATATAGGTCATTTTGAGCAGCTGACTCTCATCATAGTACAGGAAGATGTATTATCTGCAAAAGCCATGAAGATGAATTATGATTGGTGGCGATTACTCCAACCAGCCATTAACAACCCTCACGAAGACAGTGTGATAACTGTCGCATAGTGACGGTGGATGCCATGCCGTGTACATATGCATGACCAAGATTACCTGCCAGCCAAGCAGTATCGTTGAGCCGTTTCCACGAACCAGTCCGTATGCAGCCCTAGCACCGGGTCGAGCCCTTCCCCTCCGTGGGGCTCGAACACACTCAGCACACTGCACACGCTGCAAAACCGTGGTACATGGGACACTGAGCACACTATGCAGTGGTGCGAGCAGCACCACAGATAAAAAATACTAGAGTCCCTTTAACAGCGCAAATATGTTTAAAATCATCACCCTGCACATACATATTCAGTCCATTGTTGATCCACTGCTGGGCGAGAGCCTTCCCACTCTTCTGAGGGTCGTGGGGGTTACCCGAGTACGGATTGATGAAAGCACAATCAATTTGTCTGCACTGCCCTCTGATGCCCACCACGTTATACCTCAGCAGCCTATAATACGAACTTAATGTATGTATGTTGAACTTCTTTTACACTGTACATAGCCAACCGTGCTAATCGGAGGTGCAGGGGAAGGACAACAAACTAAACACAAAAAGCAGTAATAGATTGTTGTCGTCCATCCAAGAACGACCTATGCTCAACCATGCTTTGGTCAGAGTCTTCAAGCTCTTCAGGACCTCAAAAAACTACCATTCGCTCCTCTAGCGACACCAAATCTAAAACTTTTGTTGAGTTATCCAAGATCCCAGAGGCCTCCCCAAAAACTCGTGAGGGGCCTCTGAACGATGTGCGAGACCACCCCCACCTGGCACACGTGTTCTGGGCGGTGGGAAGCTCTGGGCTGTCGGAAGCTGGTGGCTTGCGGATGAAAAAGAAGGGGTAGCGGCGGTCACCAGCAAAAGCCTTGCGGCCAGACTCTAAAGCGCAGAGACCCTCCTTGGCTGCAAATGCCAGGTCACCCCGCGGGCCCACACACAGCCCCTCAGGGTTGGCACTGTCGGCTGGCCGGGATGCATCCTGCAACAACGAAAACACATATAAATTAAAAACAAACATATACATTATATATATTTTTTAATGTTAAATAAAAACCACGTAACAATAGCTTCATAAAAATACTCCGATTACCAACAGTGGAAACACAATTTAACTGGAAGGGAAGAGGATGCTCAAGGAAGGCAAAGTGCAGGAGTTGCTGAAGGAATAAAGGTGGATGAGGACGAAGGTCGAAGCATGGAACTCAAAGCATCGGATCGGGCAGGAGCTTTGTTATCTATTGGATTCTAATCCGGATGATCACTAAATGTACTGCGGCATGGTATTTAGTAAAACTCTACGAGCTGTCCATCTTACAATCTGCCACCAAGGTATAGATGTGGACCAAACCCATGAAGCTAGCAAAGGTATATAATTCAAGAAGCACCAAGTTTTCTTCACTCTTTGTTAGGGCTGGCCTTTTAATTCAAGGGAACCTTCAAATTAAACATGACATTATCTGCAGGCATATTTGGTCTTAAAGGCAGAAAGTTTACAGGAAATAAATATAACTTGTTATAATGATGACTCAGACATTTAGGAGGAAAAGCATGTTACTTAAAATGTCAGAATCCTCTAAATGCTGGGGGGTATTGAGAATACGCAGCATGATATTCAATGTATTTATGTTAAACTTAAAAGCTGATACCTGACCATCTTCAGAAAACTCATGAAGACGCCGCGGAGAAAACATGACGAAAACAGCACCGCAAGACACCTCTGCAGTGGGAAACGCCGGCTCGAGATGAAAAAAATATGGTAAAAGTTGTCCTACACGTTTCGGACCGGCCAAACACAGGCTTATCTGTTGTCTTTAGGCAAGAAGATGATGCTTATATGTGATTTTTTTTCAGCCACATCAGTGGGAGGGGCTCACGTGACCAGCAAAAGTAGGTAATTGGTTAAAAAAAAGTAAATGTTTGCACAAGGAGGCAGTGTAGTTGTGGATGTGTATTGTGTCTGAGGGGAACAGTGTGGGGGGGGGTCTGGAGGCCAAAGACTTATTGTCATTTTCTGCCCACAAAATCACGTGTTGTGGATTGTGTGGTTGTAAGGTGTTTGTCATAGGTTGTAAATGTGCGGGACTTTGTTGTTCACTACCAGTGGTATAAGGAGAGGAAACAAAGTGTTTTTGAGAATTATATTCGGGATCGTGGCTGAGGGTCTGTGGTGGTTGTGGTGATAATGTAAAAGCGAGTGGTGAAATGAGTTGGAGTTATGGAGTTGTGTTGTAGGCCCGTGTTTTGGAGTGTCTGTGACTTGTGAAATGTTTAGGTTGTGAAATGTTGTGGACAATATTTCTTATATATCTAATAGGGCCCCTGTGAGAGGTGACTTTAGGAAGGCTTCACATTTGTCAGTAGTGGAGTTCTGATGGGAGATTTTTTAATTCTTTAGTGTCATGATCTTTAACACGTAGGTGTTCGTGACCAATATCATACATAACAGGTTTTTTCGGTTAGATCTAACCCAAAAAAACACCTGTATTATGTAATGATCTTTGTTTGCAGTGCATTGAAATTATTCCAGGAATTTACATATGGTTTGGGGGTTGTGCTTAGATTATTGACCCCTTTGAAATCTACAGAGTGGTTTTATTTATCCTGTTTGGCAACCACATTCTTACATGTCCGGTAATCTGCGTCCTGTTTCTCCTTTGTATTGCAAGTCACAGACTTTGCAGGGTAACAAATAGACCACACCCCTCAATTTGGGGGTGGTCACAGGGTCCTTTGGTTTGGAGCTTTTCTCTTAATACAGACGCCTCACAACCACAATAAACATCACGTGATTTTGAGGCCAAGAAAATAAAAATAGGTCTTCTAATTACCCCTCCCCCTTTCAGCCTCCAGAAACCACAACATTGACCCCCTCTGACACAATACACATCCATAACTACACTGCTTTTTGCTTAAACCCTTAGTTTTTTTTTACCATTTACCTGCTTTTCTGAAGCACATGAGCACCTACCATTGACATGGCTGAAACATCGCATCAAAACTATTAAACTATTAATTATTTGTATTTCACCAGGTAAGACCCACTGAGCTGTATAGCTCTTTTTCAGAAGTGACCTGGCCACAAATGACAGACCAATGAAGTGGCTTATCATGTGGAAATTTATAGCAGCTAAATACTCATAACACATGTTTATAAATGTGGAGGGAAAACCGGAAGACCTGGAGAAATGTTCACGTAACCACAGAGAGAACATGCAAACTCCAAATATACAGGCGTCAGGGTCAGGATCGAACCCACGACCTCCTGTATAGCCGGCAAGGTGGTAAACATCTCGCCACATAGCCATGCATTCAGAGGGTCTCAGCTCCTGACAAAGATAAGCCTGTGTTTGGTCCCTATCCGAAACGTGTACAGCAACTTTAACCACCTATTCTCACCTCCAGCTGGTGTTTCTCACTGCAGAGACATATTTTCAGTGCTATTTTCATCACCTGACCATCTTGTTGAATTACCTGCTAGAGCTTGCCACCTGACCCACCAGGGTCTACAATACAAACAATACTGTCATAGCTATATGATAGTATTGTCCAGAGCCATATGCGGATGTCTTCTCCATTTATATCCAGCAGTATAAATGGCTACACCACACCACACCTCTGATTAGAACGGTTGACTATGTGCGGCGCCAAAGGAGTTGAACATACATATGTACAAGAGCCTGAAGAAATGTACTAATTAGCTTTCTTTGCCAGTACCAAAATTTTAACTGTAGGTAAGTGAGAGAAAGTAAAAACGCTAGTGTGGTTATTGTGCTTGAGGAAGCGAGCTCATAGCAACACGGATCCAGGAAGCACCTTGAAGGCGTGCTGAAAGAGGGTACAGTCCTTGGAGCCGGAGAGCAGGTAGTGGGGGTCGTTGCGCCACGCGATGCCTGTCGTGACGTCGCGGTGTTCTGGAAATGCAGCAAACGGGATGTAGGGCCGCCGCACGTCCCACACGCTGACCGAGTGGTCCACCATCATGGAGCACGTGGCCAGGTGATGGCGGCGTTCTGGCCGCCACTTGACGCGCGCCACGGAGGCGATGGTCTGCACGCAGTACTGCTCGCGCGCACGCGCACTCGCCACGTCCCACACCTTCACCAGCTTGTCGCGACCACCCGTGGCCAGCCAGCCTCTGCCAAGGAGTCGAGTGTCGGCAAGGGGAAAGACAGAATCAGAATCTTTATTATTTATCCTGGAGGAAGCCGATGAGCCATGGAGCTCTTTTTGATCAATGTCCAGCAGGGACAGATCAGAAAGTTACAATAATATAAAAACCAACAGGAGTGCAAAGTATAGGAAAGGTAGGCAAGTCACTAAAAATTAAGTATACAAGTATATATTTGCATCAATTCCTGCCGATGATTTTTCAACAATAATGCAAGCTTGGGCAAGGCAGCAAACAACAACAAAAACAGTCCCAGACTACACTTAGACAACACCCGGGCACTGCACAGGAACAGAAACGGAGACCAGAGATACATAGTGTAGATAAGATTTCACTTTACTACTCTTATTTCCCTTCAACTCGTATCCACTGTATCTCTCTGACCTCTATGTGCTATGAAGAGGGCCCATTGCCTAAAACGTCACCGATTATATATTTCCTTTTAAGGCAGAGTTATTGACGAAAGTGATGATTTTTTCTATTTGTGCTTGTGCACCACTGCCAATGCGGTGTCAACAAATAATTTGTTTTCGAGGAACAAAGAAAACAATCAGTATTCTCCACAGGGTGCTCCATGGGTGTGTAGGTATGTTGAACTTCTTTCGCACCTATGGGACCTTTTTGCCAGTGTCCAAGGTGATGAAAAAATAAGAATAGGTTTTACCCTTTCTGGCAATAACACAGGTGTTAAGATGTTCAAACACAAAATAGATACTTTTCAAGTCTGCATTAACCACACGTATTTGTTGTGAAACATGCTAACAAACATGCTCTGCCAATATATGCATTGTTTATGAATCTGATTGGCCTACACCAGACAGCCTTCTTTACGGCCTTGTCTCACCAGCGTTAGACCAGAGAATGCCAAAAGGCAAACAGTAGATATCTTTTTGATATCTTCCTAAGTGCAGATTATTTATTGTATGTACAGTAAAACCTTGGATTGCGAGTAACTTGGTCTGCGAGTGTTTTGCAAGACGAGCAAATTTTTTAAATAAATATTAATTTCATAAACGAGCGAGGTCTTGCAATACGAGTACTGTAGTACGTACAGTATACGCTTTGTCTGCCGAGCGTCACGTGATCACAACTGAGCCGATGGTTCTTTTCTCTCTCTCTCGCTGCGGGATTGTGGGTAATCATCTCCCATGCTCGGTCTCAGTCGGCGTGCCTCACTCGTATAGTCAACATCCGTGCGAGCGTATACTGTTTACTATAGTGTTGTGCCCACGAGTGTGTGCGTAAAGCATTTTTTTTGTGTCCAAGTGTAGCGACTGTTCTTTAGTAACTGTACTGCAAGTGAAAGTCGTCCTACACAATAACCCGCCTCTCCTCTCTCTCACACCAGCCACGATTAAATTTAATTAATAAATTTGATTACTTTATATTAAATTTAAATAATAAAAATATAAAAAGGTATTTTGTATTAATCATTTTTATATGAATACAGTATTTTTGGGTTGTGGAACGAATCATCTGAGTTTCCATTATTTCTTATGGGGAAATTCGCTTTTATATACGAGTGCTTTGGATTACAAACACGTTTCCGGAACAAATTATGCTCGCAATCCAAGGTTTTACTGTATGTGAGGACTTATTTCTCACCATACGTAGCCAACAATGCTAATCGGAGGTACAGGGGAAGGGCAACAAAACTAAAACCAGTTCTAAAAAAATTAGTTTTCAATCCATAGCTCCAGTGGCTTCCTAATATCACGGGCATACTGTGCATTACTCTGAAGTGCAGCAATGAAAGCCAAGGAAAGGAGGTTGTAGATCAGGGGGGGGGGGGGTGGGGAGCCCCTCTCTCACCTCTCGTCAGGGTGCCAGTCGCAAGTGAACACGGGCCCATTATGTGCCGTGAACATGCGCTCCACGCGGTCTGATCGCCGAATATCCCACAGCTGCACGTTTCCATTCTCAAATGTGGCCGCAAAGGAAAAGCAGTCCCTGGGGCTGAACTGCACGTCGCGTACGCTCTCCGACTGGCCTGCGGATCACGCGAGACAAAAAGAAAAAACATGTTACCTGTGTAGGGATGTTGGAGAGAGGGCCGTTATGCATGGCAGCCTATGGGAAAGAAACACAGTGGGCGGGGCTACGTGTGTGCACAGGGAGATGCCCTCTGCGACGTCCGAGCCAGACACCCTGGGGGGGGGCTGGTTCGGCGTTACGATCCCCCGGGGCCCCACCCCTCAAGGAGGGTTGGGTATAAAAAGGGGTCGTTATATGGGCTTAGTCAGTTATGTTATAGTTAAGCTAAGAAGTCGGAAGACGTCGTAGCTAGAGCCCTGGACTCCCCCTGATCGCCGCCCTTATCAGGGCCCCACGGGATCAGGCTCGAGCCAGTGGCGTGGTCCCGTGAACCAGAGCCAGTGCTCTGGGACTCCGGGTACCGAGCCCGATTACCAGTGTCGGGCCAGACAGCCTCCCCTAGCTCTTAGTGGAGGACTCAGGGGATAGGCTATGGATAGCTAGGGGTATTCCCTGAGTTATACGGGTGAGGGGGCCGCTACCCCCTCTAGGGCTGTCCTGTACTGGCAACTTGTTAAATAAATATACGTGTGCCTCAACTCCGTTGTCAAGCGTCCTCGACGGGTACTTCATCTGGCGTCAGAAGTGGTAAAAATGGAAACGCGCCATACAGCTCGGACCAGGGTACCACAAGAGGAGGACGCCGCGGAGATCGCCGAGCCCGAGACAGAGCAACAAGATGGGGTGCAGCCGGAGCCTGGCGCCTTCTCACCGGGACGTCAGCATGGAGAGGGGCCGCAGCCAGATGCACTACGACTGGCTCACGAACGGCTGGCGGAGCTACTTTATGCCGCTGCCGCCACACTGGAAGGCATTACGCGGTTGGGGGTTGGTGGTCCACCGCAGGGCGAGGAGAACCGGCGGCCGGAGCACTTTCCCGCCATTTCAGAGACTTCAAAATTTGAATTTCCCGCCATGGACGCCGCGGCTGTTCGGGGCGTGGCCAGCTTAGACATCGGCTCCGACATCGCCGTCGCCGGGGCTGCAGCGTCATCGCAGCCGAAGGATGCGTCATCGCTGCCGCGACAGGCGATGCCATCGGCCAGTCGCGCCGAGGCACCGCCAAAGGGAGGTGAAAGCAACCTGCGGGAGTCCACATCGACCGCTGCGCTTCACCAAAGACTGCCCCCGCTGAAGGAATTCATCGGTGCGGAGGGTGACTGGGGCGGCTTCCGGCGACGCTTCCTCGCCCATCAGGAGATGGCGCGGTGGTCCGACGAGGAGGTCCTTTGCGCGCTGCCGGCGCTCCTCGATGGGGACGCGCTCGCCGCACTCACGTCGGCGCCAAAAGAGAAGCGGGCTACACTACCAATGGCGCTACAGCTGCTGGCCGGGGTCTATGGACCTTCAGCCGAATGCCGTCAGCAGTTCTACGATCGCAGGCGGGGTGAAAAAGAGTCGCCTCTGGCTTTCCGGACAAGTCTTCTGGCGCTGGCAAAAACAGCCTTTCCCCGCATGGACGACGACGGCGTGGACGCAATGGTCGCGGAGAAGATCCTCCTCTTGGCGGACGACCTCGACATCGTCGTCATCGCACAAGGGGATGCAGAAATGACCTCCCTCCAGGCTGCGCGACTCCTCCACGCCAACCTTCTGCAGCAGCGGCGAAAGGCAAACAGGGCATCGGCTGGGCGTGCGGTGGCTGCAGCCACCCTTCCGTCAGAAGAACTTTATGCCGTCGACCATCGACGGCAACAGACGACGGGGGCGCGGCCGGGTCGGGACGGCCCGAGGCGTTTCGACCGTCCATCGTCTCCATCGGCGCTCCCGCGGTGCTTCAACTGCGGCATCCGGGGCCATGTCGCCTCGGGGTGCCGTTCTCCTCGACAGCGGGGGACGACGCCTCGACAGGACGCCGGCCCTCCTCTTCCTCCTCCCAAGCTCCAGCACCATGATCCGGCGAGTCGCGGCACCTCACATGTTTGGCCAACGCACCCACCTGTCGCACACTCTCGCACCGTAACGAACGGGGGGCCGGTGGGGCGCTGCGATGGACCGACGCGGATCACTGCGGGGACTCAAATCGAGCCCGAGCGGTGGTCCGTGTTGGCCCATCGCGTGGTGGCCGCGGCGTCGGGATCGTCGGCCGTGGTCGGTTACATTGATGGGGTGGAGGTACGCATCATAGTCGATACAGGGGCATCGGCGACAATTATTTCGGAACTAATTTACAATATTCTACCGGTGCAGAGCCGTCCTTTGCTACCGGTTAATGTCCCTTTCTATGCCGCGAACGGGGGCTCTCTCGGCATCGTGGGACAGATTCGAGCGCAAATTTCTATCGGGGACATCAAATTGTCGGGGCCGATTTTTGTCTCCTCCTCACTGGCAGTTCCGTGCCTGCTGGGGACGGACTTCTTGGGCAGGATGCCAATTCGTATTTTGATCGACCAAGGATGCATTGAGCTTCCGTCGGGGCGACGTATGGCGTTCCTGCCTTCCCCTGTAGCGACTCGGACGGCGTTCGCGACGGTACCGGCGTTCGTCGTAAAAACAGTGCGTGTGCCGCCGGGGGCACAAATGCTGGTACCTCTTAAACTTCGTAGGCCCTTCGCTAAGGGTGTTGGGGATCAGGGTGTTGTGCTGGGGCCGTCTAGGGCCGGGGTTAATGGGCCTCATTTAATTCCGGCCCAGACCATCGTAAGGGGGGACGAGGACCCCTTCATCGCGGTCCTCAATGTCGGGTCGCAGACAGTAGTGGTTCCCCAAGGGACTGTGCTCGCTCACGCGACGCCGGTGCCCTGCGAGGAACCTGCCGTGAACCACATTGACACTGCTGCTCGGACGCACCCGCATTCGGACGGCGATGAAGGGTGGCTCGACGCGCTTTGTGCGGGATCGACGAACCTGTCCAATTTAGAGCGCCAACGGCTTAGATCACTGCTAAAGGAATTTTCCGACGTTTTCAGCCGGAATAAATACGATTTGGGTTGTACTCACCTGCTGCGTCACCATATTGACACGGGTGACAGCGCGCCTATTCGCCAAAATCCTTTTCGGTTGAGTCCCGCCGAAAAGGACCATGTCAAATCGGCTGTCGATGACATGTTAGCCGCCGACATTATCTCTCCCTCTACCAGCCCTTGGGGAGCACCGATTGTCCTGGTTAAGAAACAGGATGGCTCGTTGCGGTTTTGCGTAGATTTCCGTCGCCTTAATAAGGTTTCGGTTGCCGACGCATACCCGCTCCCACGGATGGACGAATCGCTGGACGCCTTGGCGGGAGCGCGATTCTTCTCCACACTAGATTTACTTTCGGGATTCTGGCAGCTTCCTCTGGACGATGATTCGAAGCCTAAAACCGCTTTCCGTACACCGCACGGCCTGTTCCAATTCAACCGGTTACCGATGGGCTTACACTCAGCGCCGGCAACCTTCCAGCGGTTGATGGAATTGGTTTTGGCTGGATTGCAATGGGAATCGTGCCTGATTTATTTGGATGACGTAATTGTTTTTGGAAGAACCTTTGACGAACATCTCCAGAGGCTGCGGGCGGTTTTCCAAAGGATGCGGGCTGCTAATTTGAAATTTAAGCCCCAAAAATGCTATTTGTTTCGCGAGTCAGTGCGTTATTTGGGGCACATCGTAGGGCGCTCGGGTATTGCTACCGATCCCGCCAAAACGCAGTGTGTCAGCTCCTGGCCAATTCCGACCTCGGTGGGGGAGGTGAGGAGTTTTATTGGCTTCGCTTCATATTACCGACGGTTCGTCGCTAATTTTGCTACAATTGCCAAACCCCTACATGCTTTGACATCAAAAGGGGTTCGGTTCCACTGGGGTCGGGATGAGGAAGTAGCTTTCTGCTCCCTTCGGGATGCATTGGTGAAGGCTCCTCCTTTGACTTACCCCGATTTTTCGAGGCCGTTTTTGCTCGACACCGACGCGAGCAACACAGGTATCGGAGGCGTGCTTTCCCAGGTGGTTGATGGCGTGGAACGGGTGGTTGCGTACGGCAGTCGGGTGTTGTCTCCAGCGGAGCAAAAATATTGTGTCACCCGTAGAGAACTGTTGGCAATTGTTTTCTTCATCCAACAGTACCGCCCATATCTGTACGGTCAGCATTTCACTGTCCGTACGGATCATGCGGCACTGCAGTACGCCCTGAAGGTTCAACAGCCATCGGGACAATTGTCCCGATGGCTGGAGGTCCTCCAGGATTTCGATTTTGACACCACCTATCGTAAGGGCATTCGCCACACAAATGCGGACGCTCTGTCGCGCATGCCAACCACCTCCGAATGCGCATGCCTCCTGGGGTCGGGGCGTTGCAAGCCAGCTGGGGACATGACGGTTCCAGTCCTGGCGGCCGCCGCCGATGTTGACACATCGCTCCCCGATGAGATCGGGAAACAGGGAAGAGATTCCCTGCTTGGGTTGCCTGTGATTGAGTGGGGACGCCTCCAGATGGAGGACGCCTCCCTCCTCGCGCTGCGTCGTCGCGCCAGGGAGAGGGGGTGTGGGACGGGTGATGCCGACAATTGGGAAATACACGCGGGCTTGCTCATGCATTGGGACGGTAAATCCCACCGTCACCGGCTGGTAGTTCCTGCGGGGTTACGGGGTAAGGTGGTGTGGGCTGCTCATGAGCGCCTCCTCCACCTGGGTACCCAAAAGACCCTCGCCTCGCTCCAGCTGGATTTTTTTTGGCCGGGCATGACACGGGATGTCACGGATCTGCTGGCAGCATGCCCCCGGTGTGCGCAACGCAAACCACCAGCTCGGGAGTCGAACCCGCCGTTGCAGTCCATCACAGTCTCCAGGGTGAACGAACTCGTAGCGTTGGATATCCTGGGGCCGTTTCCCGCCACCCCTAGGGGCAATAGATATTTGCTAACAGGGGTCGAATACTTCACACGCTGGCCTATGGCCTGGCCCCTGGCAAATCAGTCGGCAGCAGCCATCGTGGACGCCTTTGTCCAAGGCTACGTCATGGACAAAGGTGCTCCGGAGCGGCTGCTGACCGACCAGGGTAAAAATTTTTCCGGGAACCTCCTCAAACAAGTCTGTGATCTCCTAGGTACAAAGAAGATTCGTACCTCTCCCTATCACCCACAAACTGACGGGATGGTCGAGCGTCTGCATCGTACCATCACGTCTATGTTGTCGCACCTGGTTTCGGAGTCACAGACCAATTGGGACTTGCAAATTCAAGGGGTCCTGGCAGCATATCGATTGGCCCCCCATGCTGCCACGGGATTTTCACCCTTCTTTCTCATGTATGGTCGCGAACATGACCCACCTGTTCGGGCACAGCTGCAGATCCCCGCGCCTCTAGGTAAAATTAAATTGGACGAGCACGTTAAATTTAACCTTCAAAAGCTAACTGAGGCGCGGGACGCTGCCATGCTCAATTCCCGCATGCGCCAAAAGGCGAATGAGCGCCTCAGACTCGCGCGCGCGCACGTGCTGCAGTGGAAGCCAGGGGACAGGGCATGGCTGCACTGTCCCCAGGTACCGCTTGCGACCTCCTCGAAACTGGTACGGCCATGGCGGGGCCCCGTCGAGGTGGTCGAGGTTTTGCGACCGCAGTGCGTTCGTATCAAGTGGGGGAGGCGCCGGTGGTTCGTTCACCCCTCTAGACTAAAACCCTTCGTTGCGGTGCGGGACTCTGCTCCACACGCGCAGGGCCAAGCATGTGAGGGGTCGACCGACCCGGAGGGTCCGCCTCTGTTGATCTCACCTGACGTCTTGCCGGTTGCCCCGCCCCCAGGTTCTCCCGGAATGACGGGCTCGCGCACATCCCTCACGGGGGATGCCGAGGGTCCCGCCACTCCAATTGCGGACTCGCCTCGGATGGGACAGCGGCCACCGAATGGTCCGCCATCTGAGGTTGGCCCTTGTGACGGGCCTGCGGCAAGGACGCGCGCTAAAATGCGCAGACTCTTATAAAAACACTGGAACGCGAACAAGAAGTGAAAACGAAACGAAAATAAGAAGAAAATGTTTTTATTTTTTTTGCGTTTTCTGGTACACTTTCGTGTGCTATTGTTACTGGACGCTGCGTTCGTGTGGCGCTCTTGGCGCGTTGTTGTATTATGGCTGTGTGTGTGTGTGCGTCTTGTGTGCGTGTTGTGCGTGCGCTGAGGGTTCCGGGAAATGTACATATCTTGCCTCTACGGATTTCGTATTTATTCGGGGGGGGGGGCGCGTCGGTTTGTTCTCCCTTTAGGGGCATTGTTAGTGTTGTTGTTCAATTCTCGTTCTGTTAAATGAAAAAATGGGGCACACACGGGGGGAGTCAAGGGGTAAAGATTCATTTGTTGAAATTGTTGCAGCCGGGACGGCTGCGAGCTATGCGGGGGGGAGTGATGTAGGGATGTTGGAGAGAGGGCCGTTATGCATGGCAGCCTATGGGAAAGAAACACAGTGGGCGGGGCTACGTGTGTGCACAGGGAGATGCCCTCTGCGACGTCCGAGCCAGACACCCTGGGGGGGGGCTGGTTCGGCGTTACGATCCCCCGGGGCCCCACCCCTCAAGGAGGGTTGGGTATAAAAAGGGGTCGTTATATGGGCTTAGTCAGTTATGTTATAGTTAAGCTAAGAAGTCGGAAGACGTCGTAGCTAGAGCCCTGGACTCCCCCTGATCGCCGCCCTTATCAGGACCCCACGGGATCAGGCTCGAGCCAGTGGCGTGGTCCCGTGAACCAGAGCCAGTGCTCTGGGACTCCGGGTACCGAGCCCGATTACCAGTGTCGGGCCAGACAGCCTCCCCTAGCTCTTAGTGGAGGACTCAGGGGATAGGCTATGGATAGCTAGGGGTATTCCCTGAGTTATACGGGTGAGGGGGCCGCTACCCCCTCTAGGGCTGTCCTGTACTGGCAACTTGTTAAATAAATATACGTGTGCCTCAACTCCGTTGTCAAGCGTCCTCGACGGGTACTTCACCTGCACTCGCTAGGCTAAATCACACATGATGATTTGATTTCAAACTGCCTCTGTGGAACACACAAACATCGAATAGGTTTGCTTTGGCTGCCCAGCCTGTGAAACATGTTCAAAAAGATGCACCACCCTGGCTTTTAATATGGTATGGTCAACCCCGAGCAATGCCCTAAAAGAGTGTTCTTCGCTAATTTTCAGAGAGACGCCACTTTCGCCGAGAAGACATCATCAGTGTGAGGGCTGCTACACTGCCACACCACCTGCAAGGGGTGTTTTTACATTTGCGTATTGTCGGGGGCCGCACGTCAGGTGCCGCACTAAAGGCCACCAGGGGCCACCAGTGGCCCGCGGGCCTTGCAATGTAAAACACTACCCTCAAACAACAAATAATGAATTCACAGTATTTTTGACCAACAGCTGGATTCAGGCCTCCCCATGCCTCATTGGTCATAGAAGACGTTTGACCATACGTCACCAAGTTGGTCAGTGCGGATTCATGAAGTGGGCGTCAGAGAATGGTTCAGGTATCACTCGCCACTGATGTTAGCCGTGGCCGAGAATTGAACCGAGGTCAACCCGATTCATAGCGCAGTGCGCTAACCACTCTGGAATTACATTGCCTCTATTTTACAAACTTGACAGGTGCACCATAAACAACTCGTCTGGCTCTTGCGACTTGGCAGGAGGAGAAAACTGGGGGCTGGGTACCATTGAACGTGCTGGCGCTCTCCTTGCGCCGCAGGTCGAAACATTTCATGAAGCCATCCTGGGAGCCGCTCAGCAGCATGTGCAGCTCACTGGGGTGGAAGCACACGCGGTTCACCGTCCGCTTGTGCTCCGCAAATAGCAGCTCCTGGAGGGGAGTTAAGAGGTGGTCAGTGGTACAAAGTACAAGACACGGTAACAAAGTTGGGATAGAGCTATGATAACGATATGGTTTGAGCTCCAATAAAATTTGTATCGATATAGCGTATAAATGTGAGCACATCTGAAATGTTAGAGGTTTATGGTTATGCGGTTCGGAGTGGTGATGTCAGTACAGCGTATTTTTGACAATGTAAAGAATGCAAGTTCACATTTTTGGCAGTAGACTCGTCTCAAATTGAGTAACACTTTACGGATAGTCAACGGTGACATTGTTATGTTGAATGACTACCAATGGTTTACAGTGATGGACACTGTTCCACACTTTGCGCAAGGAGACACTGGCGATTTGATAAAACTCCAGTGCGTGGGTTAAGGAGTGGGACTATAAGTAGGGGGGAAAGTGAATTTGTGGGATAGTTCCACCTGTTTGTTGCGTGACGCCTTTCCCAGGTTCCAGGTGAGAACGGCCCCATTCGTGGCGGCCGTGGCCAGCAGGTTGTCATCCATTTGGTGCCACGCCACATCCGCACAGCTGTAGTTGAGCGACGGCTTGCGGCCCACACGCAGGTTGGCACGCTCCACAAACTCACCGTCCTCGATGGCGTACAATTTGAAGACATTGCGACCCGCCACGGCCACCTGCAGCCCAAAGTGTTACCTATGTGAGCCGTGCTCGCAAAAGCGCTGCGCTCTCACCGCAAACCACACACCAACTGGGCCCCAACTCCACTATTAGCATGGTTGGCAATGTACGGAGCAAAAGAAGTTCAAAATACATATATACAACACTGAACTGTGCATTGTGGTCTTATAAGAATGCAATTGAATGTGGGAGATGCTGCCTTGATGTAATGGTGAGCACAGTGGACTTGTAATTCAGAGGACTCCGGCTCGTTCTGCCAGTGCGGCAATTGAAACAATTGCCAAACTTCTTAAAAGCTTTGTCCACCCAGAAAACCAATGGATAAACCTTAGTTCATTGGCAGGCTGCATTTATACACATGTATGCTTATGTTACACTTAGGCCTCAGTAGCAAAATAACATAAAAAATATAAATCAAGAAACAATATATTTCAGACAAAAAAGACAAGGGTTTTTTTCTTGAATTGAATCACGACCCTAAATCATCATAATGTCAAATCACCAGGGGTAAGTGGGTGGTGAATCGTTACAACTCTAAAAAGCTTTGTCTGGGTCAACCACTTCTCTAGAGGACCGATCACGTGACCGCTGGGGTCCCTGTGCAGAGCCAGGAGGAGTGTTGTTATTTCTCATACTGTGCCTAGGCTGTGTGTTTAATAGCGGTGATGAAGTGATTGTCACCTGCGAGCCATCTCGGCAGACGCTAAGGGCGTTCGCGGGTCCATCCAAGCTGATGCTCATGGTGCGGCCACTCATGCTGCTGGTGCTGAACACCTGAGTGCCACGCACCGCCATGGCTGCAAGTGCTGTCTGCCTGCACCCGACACAGCTAGAGAAACACGGCGGAGAGTTACACCGACCCCAGCAATACACGCACCGCAGCGATACACAGATCCAGCAATACACACACCGCAGCGATACACAGACCCCAGCGATACACACACCGCAACGATGCACAGACCGCAATGATACACAGACCCAAGTGATACACACACCGCAACGATGCACAGACCGCAATAATACACAGACCCAAGTGATACACACACCGCAACGATACACAGACACCAGCGATACACACACCGCAACGATACACAGACACCAGCGATACACGCACTGCAGCGAAACAGATCCAGCGAAACACACACCGCAACGATACACACAACGCAGGGTTATACACACCCCAGCGATACACACACTGCAATGGAACACACATGTCAATGTTACACAAACCACAGAGAAACAGACACCGCAGAGAAGCACACACCGCAACGATACACACACCGCAATGTTACACACCAGATCAATAGACATCGCAGTGATACACAGACTACAATGATACACACAGCCCAGCGATACACATAAAACCTGCATACAGCACAATGATACACACACCAAAGCGTTACACACACCACTGGGATACACATGCCACAGCGATGAAGCACACAGCAGTGATCAACACGCCAACTTTTTCCGTGACCTTTATGTGAATAATTGCTTTTATCTGGACCTTAGCCCTACATTTGACGAAAAATGCCTAACCCGTAGCCTCGCTGTTGTGTACCCTGAGCAGATGGCAACCTGTGCAGCCACAGGCGATTATCCATGCACTACCACCACCTTCAGACACGGCCAACCCACTGTTGGATGAAGCGATATACAGCAACCCAGCACACGCACAATGGCCGATTCCATCGCTCCATCTCCCCTGTATGCGCCCCTCTCGCACACGATCCGTCCCTTCCAGGCCGGCACGTGTCCTCCCTCCCCGGGCCCCACTCAATTCTCTAAACGCTTTAACCTGCGTGTGTGCTCTAATCCAAGTGTTACACTTTCAGTCTCGCTGTCATCGCAAGGATGCATCTCCGCATGCAGCGTCAAGTGAACGCGGAGTTTCTGAGCAGGGCAGGTTACAGCACACACAATATCGATGACAAACTTTATTCTTTACGGCCACATTGCCTTGCCCCGTAATGTAGGGTAGCAACTTCCTATCGTCAAGCTGGGATTACCAAAACAAACTCCACTCAAACCCAGTTCTCAGCCGTGCATCTTTTTACTCATTTATAGTGCTGTCTGCAATAGCTGCCCCGGGTAGCAGCCCATGTGCACCACGGCGGTACAACTAAATACACACACATATTGAATCCCACCGATGCAATCAATCTTTAATTGAATCTTTGGAGTGAACTCATCGGAACGAGCCAAAGTTATTTTCGCACGTGTACCTGGTTCGCTCTTACAAATCGAGGGCTCTACCCCAGGCTCCGAGAACTCTCACCTGGATAAAGAAGACACTCTGGACGGTGAAAAAACAACAACAATACACCGAATGTCAAAAGCGGTCAGTTTGCTTGTCCCAAATCAATGCTGCTGCAAAATGATGCACTCCAGGTGAACCCATGGGTCGTGTTAGAGATACTTTAATTCACTGAAGAGTGAGCCGTCGCTCATCTGTTCCGCAATTTAAAAACACAAGGGTGGGAAATTCGTTACGGCGAGGAGAGAATGAGAAATGTGAGTCGGAGGCGACTGGCGTGGAGGTGGATGTTGGGTTGAGCGGCGGAGCTCCGCGCTGGGGCACCACAACCCTTCCCCACACCTCCTCCCCTCCGCGTCTCACCCCGACCCTCGCCGTCTCCTCTCCCCCACACCACAGGGAGGAGACACATGGCGACAGAGGGAGAGAGAGACGAGGAGGGGGAGCCGTCATGCGCCACGTCCCTCTCAAACCCTCACCTGAAGCCCCAGGATCTCACGCCTGCTCCTCCGCCTCCGCCATGCCCGCCTGCGTGACGAGACGCCAGCGGCGGCGGTCGCGAGCGAGTTTAACAACTCGCCTCGAGGGCGGCGCCGTGCACGCGCACAGAGACATTCGCTTCGCTGGCGATGCCCTGGGAGCGTGTGCGCAGTGCGAACGTTGTACGCGGTTTTGTGAGGTCCTCCTGGTGCAGCTCCACGAGGAGGCCACTGTTTGTTGTGCAGTGAACGAGGGCCCAATGAATGCTATTTAAACATGTTTTAATATTTTTACCCGGTAAGGTCCATCTGAGCTATGTAGCTATTTTTCAGAAGCGACCTGGCCATTTCAAATGATACCCCAATGAAGTGGCTTTAATCGTGTGGACATTATTTTATGCCAAATTATCTCTAAACGCGTGACGTTGATTCTCAATGTGGACATCGAGAAAAATCCACGCGATCACGGGGATCGAACCCACGACCTCCTGTATACCGGGCGAGGCAGTTAACATCGCCTATAACTGAATATATTTTCCATTTTATTGATGAACATGCTGATTTTATTTTATTTCATTTGCACCACTACCAATGCGCCATCAATTACTTTGCGTGATATTGAATTTCTGATATGAGTTGGAAGAAAATTAAGATCATGCGGGAGAAATTGACATTTTGAGTTGCATGATGTTGATATTTGCAGAGAACTGTGAAATATGAACATTTGATGCCAGATACGAGACTCTGTCATGCTGCAGTCAGCTGCGCCAGGAGAGGGCTTTTTACCAGATAATGAAAATTGCTCTCCTCCAGTAACTGCAACAGGTCACTGTGTCTTTTCTTGCCTCTGTTCAAAGTACCTACAACTTGGAAACATTACCAGAGTAAGAGCTGGTGGGAGGTTAATCTCCAAAATTTCACGAAAAACTATTGGTTGGAAAACATCCGAATGGAAAGGAAGACATTTGCCAATTAATTACCCCTAAAATTGCATGCATCAGTGCACGACGCCGGCTCTGCATACTAAACCTGTGCCATCACGTATCAACCTACCAACTGGAGCACAATAATTTTGTGAAACACCATATTCCACAAATGTGTGGTGCCATTGTTGGGACCCATATTCCTGTGCATGCTCCACAAGAGAAATAGTGCGATTTTGTTCATCGGAAACAATGGATATTGTTTTGCAGGTTGTTGTGGACAATCAAGGCCTGTTTAGAAATGTATCTGAAGGATTACCTCGCAGTGCCAACAATGCTATAGTTTTGCGTTCATCCTAACGTTCTGGATGTATCGCCATCCAGAACGCCACTCACAATCTACAGTTAACATTAAAAGGTGTCCCTCCATTTAGTGGTTGTATCCTGCCTACCCATTGTTACCAAGGCTGACAAAGGCTTTTCATGGACCCACATTGCTATAAGGGTAAAGGTTAAAAATGATTTTGGGCAACTAAAAGGAAGGTGGTGAATGTTGTGCAAAAGGTGTGAGTTAAACCACAAGTGAATGCCCACTGTTGCAGCAGCTTGTTCTTGCTCTCTGCACAATGTTTACGAAACGGTGGGTCAAGGCTTGGCAAATGATTGGCTTTCCAAAAGTGGAAGGACGGAGAAGTTGCTCAACCCGCAGCACTCATGAGCAGCGACCTTCTGAGGCAATGCTTGCTCGTCATGCTGCACTTATGTTGCGCATGATTTCCGCGGTCGATGGATGAATAAACAGCACCTTTTGTGATCACTACATGTGATCACAAACAACATGTTGTAAATGTTGGTGTTAATCTTTGGGACGTGTGTTGGCTGCAGGTCAAACATCCATTGAGATCTCATCTTGGATTTATAAGTCACAGAAAATTATAAAAGGTTAAAATATGTACATGGTTTGGGTCAGAATCAGGATCTTTATTTATCCTGGAGGAATCTGATTAAGCTCTTTTTCAAAGATGTCCAGTAGGGATGAGTCAGCAAGTTAAACAATGCAAAATAAACAAAGGATACAAGAGTAAGATCGAGAAAAGTTAAGCATGCCACTAATTTAAAAAAAATTGTGTTAGATCGCGTAAATATAAACGTGTCGTTAAACCCGCCACTACGCAACAAAGCCACTTATTATGGCTTGTCACGTAAACAAAACATGCCAATTCGTTACTAGTTGAGCACACCAGTGTGTTGGAGAGTAAACTCACATTTACAATTTGAGTACTGTACGACGTTGCGCTGGTAATTAAAACCAGCCTCAACAGCAACAGCCAGAATTGTGGAGAAATCCTCCTGTTTCGCGATCTGACGCCAAAAACACTTATGGATATTGGTCGCGAAAGCCTATGTGTTAAATATTAATAATGTGGTTGTAAAAATTGGCCTCATACATAAATTACTGTAGATTTGTCAAGACCAAATGCAAGCTTGGGCAAAGCTCAAAACAACAATCCAAGAACACACTGACACAGTCTGTCACTGAAAAAAATAACTCCAGTTATGATTGATTACATGTTGGATAATTGAACCTCATGGCGGGACCCCGGGGTCCCGCCATGAGGTGAAATTGCATTGCTATTGCAAAAGCCAAGGTGGAGCTCACTGGCCACATGAAGTGCATGGAGCCACGTGATAAACTAGTCGGGAGACAAGAGGGCCAGGCTTGAAGAAAGCCACCCACCCCCTCGTGTGCCGTGCTGGCCTTCACAGGTATTTACCAATAACACTTGCCCCAAGTCTGTTCATGCGAAACAGGGGAACTTTATCTTTTTGGTGGGTCGTAGGTGAATGGTGATGGTGTTTTGTCTTTGATGGTGGTGGTGGCGGATAACGGTTGTAGTGATGGAGGGTGATTGTAGTGGCATTTGGTGGTGTCACAATCGGATATGAACACAACACCGATGTTTTCCCTGCTGAAGTGGTCCATGGTCCAGGCTTGTACCCAACTGCACACACCAGCGCGTGTGATGCGTGTGTATGACGATCGCAGATGCAGGAGGCGGCCGCGTAGTGCAGTGCTCTTCAACATTTGTTTCACTCCACGACACACGGTTCTCTGGAGTTTCCTCGATCATCGCGGCCACACCGAGCCAAACAACTCACTGTGGGCCCGGGTGGGTGGTAAAGTGTTCCAGTTATAATATAATTCACTCTCTCTTGCTCATGCTTATCCAAAACAAGGAAAAGGACTGATAATGCCAAAATCCGTGACAATAATTTTCCCAACTGCACGTGTCTTGGTGTCTGTCTCCGTATCTTGGTGTATCTCCTTGTCTCCGTATGTATCTCCGCGTGTATCCGTTTCTGCTTGTCTCAAGTGTCTGCATGTCTGCGTCACTCCACGTGTCTCCATTGCCCTCATCCCCTCCTTGAGAACCCAAATATTGGTATTTTATAGATATTTACCAGAGACAATACGTTTAATGTTTGTATTATTAATAATCTAGAGCCCTATTTAACACGCTGGAGATGTATAATTAGGGAGGAGGAATGTGATGATCAGAGAACCAAGGAGATGGAGTAAACAGTCGTGATGATACATGAAGGATGTCAGAGCTTGGTGAATGGAAGTTATGGACTTATGTGGTTAGAAGGCAGACAAATATAGGATTATGAAGCATGCTTAGGAAATGTATTTCAATCTCGTTTAAAATAATCAATATCCAGCTGGTACAGTGGGTTTACTCTAAACACCGAATAAAACATATGATCCTACATCTTAACTGCTTTAGTTCATTAGGGTCTAAGCATCCACAATATTACATGGATTCAGCTTTTCTTAAATACAACTCAAGGCCAACAGTTTAATTCTGCACTTTTATTATATTAACAAAAATCAACATCCATAGTGCATTTCACATGATCAATACTAAAACTGATTGTGTATTTCACAAAACTAAAACCTCAGGAATCGCAAGAGTACTGTACCAGTTTGATTTTAAGAGCAATTCAAGTACAGTATTTGTAAATCATTTGAAAAACCTCAGCATATCTCTCCTTAAAAGACCTGGTCCAAAGACAACATTCAAGTCGCCATGACAAATGTGATTCGGCAAGATATGTAAAAAATATCAACATAGATGAAATAAGAATTTTGAAAACTGATATCTTCATAATCTACATTTTTATAGTGGAGTAAATGATACATTTACTGTAATTTGCTATGATAATTAGATGACAATAAAATAACAATTTTCTCTGTTTTGAATCTGTGCTGGTGCCCACTTCTCTGTTGACACAGAAATATTAAACATTATTTAATCGTCAATAGAATGATGAACATTTGTATTGGGCCTTTCCAACACTTAGAAAGCATCCACAATGAAAGCATTACGGTGTTAGTTTTTTGTATGAGCGCACAATTCCTATGCACACACAGGACCTCGGCGCACACACTGAAGAATGTTCCTCGTCAACCAATTTCTGAAGTTGCGCAATGTCTCCACTTACTCACAATGGGCGGCATATTGGCAATGTGTTTTCGTCAACATATGAATGCAGCTCCTATGACTTTTACAAAAAATACCCTTTGGAGTTCACCTTGGCATTTTTGGTTTAATAAAAATCAGCTTGGAGTTGCAGTCACCTGCAAACATGCAGACTGCTACACAAATGCAGTGTGTAATCCCAAAGCCTGCTATCCGATTCCTTTTTTTCATTCAGTAGCCTGTTGCATAAAACACCATCAGCTACATTTACACTCGGTTTGTAATCTAAAGCAGCGTCATCTAATGGGCATAGCCCATATGTTTAATGTAACTAGCCATAGCAATTCACAACTGCCGATGACAGAAGTTACTAAATAAGGAGAAATAAAAATGCACATTTGTGCTGTTTCATGCGCAAAATGCCTAGAACTGAGTGTCACTATTCACATGCCCTCCACAACTACTCACATGCATCTCTTGAGAACCTCGTGTGGTTGACCATATTTAAATCAAAGACCTTAGTAGTGTTGTTGTCCTAGCGCTCTGATATTGCCATTAGCCTCCAAGAACAGCCCAGAAATCTTCTATATAACCTATGTGTCAACTCGGCTGAAGACCCTGATGTAACGGAAACCACATGCATGCGTCTCGTGGGCTGCCCAGCGGTAGACACCCCGAATCGTGTCAGTCTCTGCAGGATGCAGACGTCACAGTGCTGACTTGAGCTGGCTGGCCGCTGCTTTGTCCAGAAGCCATAGCAGCTCCCCGTTACTGGGCTGCACCAGGGCTGCAGGAAGGGGGTGCTCCTCATGGCCCTCCAGTACTTGCTGCAAAGAGACCAAGGGAGAGGCACTTTCAAGTGAGTAACCTGCAGAAGAGGCAGTTAAATTTAGCACTGCAGCTTTTTTAAAGGCAAGATATAAACATTTTTTTTTTGATCCAGGAAAAATTCACCAAGCATGAAGACATTTTTAGGAGGTTATTAATAAGTATGTTTGGCAAAATTACATTTTAATGAGGGTTTTGTAAGTGGAAGGGAACTGGAGTATCTGGGGACAACTTATGAATATAAGGGAATCACACTCAGAGGCACAAGAATCCGCATGCTCTACATGACACTCAAAAGTCCAAAAACCCACGAGCTGTACTGTCACCTCCTGGGCTACTCACAGATCTGTGGGGTTGAGTCACACAAACGCATCCACAAAACCTTGGCTCAAGTGCTGTTACTTTTTGCATTCCATCTATTCACGAGTTAAGTCATCCGTACACCCCCTCAAGGTCGTTAAGATTTGCAGACTCTGCCCTTGTGTACGTACCTCGATCCCGGCTGCGTTCCTGGGGTGAGCGGGCAGCTTGCTGTGTCTGCGCCTTGGTTGTGCAATTCCCTACCATTGGAAATTCGTTTAACCGACAATGTGGATACTTTTAAGTCGTGTCTAAAAACACATTTTCTTAATTACGTTTATTTTATGTAGCTCTACTTCTCTCTTGGCCTTTCCTTAACCTCAATCTTGCACTAAGAACGACGAGCCATGCCGGTGAGAATGCGCTTACCTTGAGTATCGCCGCCTTGCTCTCGCCCATACTGATGAACATCACGCATCTGGCTGCGTTGATCACGGGCAGAGTGAGCGTGATTCTCTCTGGCGGAGGTTTGGGGGAGTCACTGATGGGTGCGACCAGCAGTTTCGTCTCCTATCATTCAGCATGCATGGCAAACAATCAAATCATCAAAGCAAACTTTTAAGAAATAGATAGTCTGTTTTCCTATAACACAGTAGTTGTGTTCCTGAAGAGCACTGCGTTATGTAAAAAGCGCGGTACTATAAATAAAATAGGATAAAGCAAAGTCCGCGATAACACGTGAGATGCTAATACAGGCTGAACAAAGAATGAGGCACGTGGGTAGCATCTGAAGCATCTAGCAGCATCCCGCTTGGCGTAATGTTACGTCGAGGCAGCCGTACAACTGCTTATTCCTACTTGCGCGACGTTGTTCTGTTAACTCAATCGCGTAATATATCCAATTCGTATCCGCTTTAATAAAAATGTGCTCCCTAATACATTCATCGCGTTATAATCCAATTTGCGTTATGAAAACAACACGCGGTACAGGAGAATGGACTGTATCTGTATTTAGCAAAGTCCCTGAATCACAATAATATTTTCCAGCAGGAGGTTTAGTTAATTTATTTTCACAAGCATTTTTGCACGTGGTCAAACGGTGCCTGGAAAACACCCACAACATGACAACAATCAAGCGCAGCAGAGAGAGGTCTAAAATCACACTCAGTCCCTGGGCTGTTACAGGGACGCTCCCCATAACACATCTGGTAACCCATTATCGTCCGTTGAGACACAGCGATATTGAAATAATTCCAATGTTTGCCTTGGTTAACAACTGCTACTGACAAAGATTAATCTGGAAAAACCATTGTTCATTTATATTAAATGCGATTTTCATATTGGTGATGAAAAACAAACCTTGATTTATTATTGAAATATCAGTTGAACTCACAATCGAACACTCATTTTTTTAGGAGACATACTTTACTGCTTCATTGGGCTCCCTACTAACATGCAGGTAAGCATCTCAGCCACAGTACATCTCTAATCTCTGCATGACCTACTCGCGCTGGATTACAGGCGTATACCACGGCATGCAGCTAAGAATTTTAACGTTGTGATTTTATAATGCGTTCACAGTCTTGTACTGTATTGTGTGGCTCTGTAATACTGCAGTGCGCGCTATATATTTCAATCCCCAAGCGCTTAAGGGAAATAAATACTGTACATGATCTGGCTGATCTGGCTGGTGATATTGCAATGGTTTATGTAGCGTAATGTAGACAACACTTCCATTATGTGTATATGTTGAACTTTTGCCACCCGAATAAAATATATTGGCAATACATTGTCCACAGTGTTTAATACTTCTAAGTAAATCAAACTAACCACTCCATTCCAGATAAGAAAACAATGTGAAAATACCAAAGTTGTAGAGCCAAGGCTTAAAATGCCACGATATTGCCCACTTCGTTTAAAGTATTTGAAAACGAAGACATTACATTTTATCAGGTTTAGACATCAATACCTTATGGAATTTAATCATGTCATTGCTAAATACATGAAGCGAACAAAAGGTAAGAGTGCTACTTCATATATCCTTCTGAATGGGTGACACAAAATACCATTACACAGCATGTGTGGAGTGTGCTAATATCATAGCAGGACACAGCCAGGACATCACAAATGCAAAGAAAATAATGGCTGTGTGTAGATCTATGCAAAATAAATATCAACTCCCATACCAAAATATTTCATTTGGTTAAATGCAGGATTGTAGTTTTTGTGAATTAAGGGAAAAATTAGTTCAGTGTTTTGCACATTCATAGCAAGAAGTTATCTACAGGTAACTTGTTGCTTCTCCACCACAAGGCTAGATGAGCAGAGAATATGGAAATACAAATCAATATCAAACTGATTTATAAACATTGCCTACACCTGTCTGTATGTGTGTAGGTGTATGTGTGTATGTGTGCAAACGTTTACCTGCAAAAGAGGGTGTGAAGGAAACAGGGAGCAAGTGTGCCCATCCGGTCCCATCCCTAGCACGAGTAAATCAAAAACTGGAACGTCTTCTCCCGGGAAAACCTAAAACACAAGAGTAGAGTCCACTGTAACGACAATATGCGACATTGTCATCTTCAAAAGCTGCCTTAAAATATGCAATACAAAATACTGCAGCATTATTAGAGTGTTATTGCTCAGACTTGTGATTGGCACAACCCGAAGAAAGAACTGGCTAATTTTTTTTTATTATGCAAAGTACTCGACATACAAATTATACAGAAGGGTGTTACTCCAAATTCAAGGTTGCTCTTTTTACACCTCCTGGTTTTATTCATTTGCCTTTTAAAATAAAGCCACTTTGATTTGGTTGTTCAATGGCGTTGAGACATGCATCACAGTAATACATATGGCCACAGTAGAGAAGAGGAGATACTGAACAACTTGTACACATGAACATCTGTGAAAAACAGCTTTATAGCTCATCGGATACCTCGAGTATTAATAACTGTTCTGATTCTGAACATATTAGAATGGCATTTTGAGCATTTGACTTTGCACTAAAAGTAAACAATTGAGACAATGTGATCTAAGAAATCTGAGGATTAACTTTTCTTTTGCATATTGAGTTACATGACCAGACAAGACTATATAGGATTTAAATTGTGATCTCATGTGGACTTAGATCTCCACTGCATCCCCAGAATGTTGCTCAAAGTCCAAGGGTGATGTCTGGGCCTTCGCTTCCGTGGGATCTGGATTGTGGAACTCTGCCGAAGACTGTCAGGGAATCCGGTTCCATTGGGATCTTAAAGTCCCTCCGCCTAAAAAACATTTATCTTTCAAAAGGAATTTCCTATTTTAAGTCAGAGCCACTTCTTTCCCAACCTCACCCCCATTTCCCCTGATGTAAAGCACTTTGAGATTTTATGTATGGATGTCTAGATTATATTGTACAGATGCATTGGGTTATACTATTAAATATTGTACATATGCATTGGGTTATTGCACAAATGGAAAATTTAAAACGATACAATGTGTGACTGGTCATCCAGAACAGACCATGCAGCAAATAACGATGTAATGCCCGAACCACAAATACAAAGGAGACATTACAGCGATACACTCCGCTGCTCCTGACACAGTTGTCTGGCTTGACCACATGAATGTGAGATTGTGGTTGTTGCTCTGCACCAACATCAGCCATACGAAGAAGATTGCTCCAAGCACTCCCTTGAACTCATAGTGTTAAGCAGGGCGGCAGCGGAGCTCAAAAGCGAATCTCTGCAATGATCGACAAACGTGATTCTGCTCCTCGGCCAAGTCACCTCCCCATTGCACGATAAAATATTTTTTGTTAAACTACAGTACACAAAGTGGTGGATGAGTGGTGTAAAGTGTGGGTTAAATATTATTAAACTAAACTTTTTATTTTAGCAAGTAATGCCCACTGAGCTATATTGCTTTTTGTCAGAAGCGACCTGGCCACAAATTATAGTTCAACAAAGTGGCTTATCATGTAGAAATGTACAGCATCCGAATAATTTAAACGCGTGATTCTAAATGTGGAGGGAAAAAACCGGAGGACCCGCGAAAAAATCATTGGGAAAACACGCAAACTCCAAATATACAGGCGTCAGGGTTGGGATCAAACCCACAACCTGCATACCAGGCGAGGTAGCTAACATCTCACCCAATACAAACTTGTCATAGGAGCTTTATGGGTGGGGGTTTGTAATTCTGGGGTGAAATACAAATACCCACATTTATCTAAACACATCTGACCAGTATGGGAATTATTTGATGGTACATTAACATTGGTGCCCAAGCGCAATTAACATTTCACTTGTCAAACATTGCCTGAAACATCGCCGAGATTTTTTTTCTTTTCAAGCAGTATTATTGATGAGTTTTTGCTGACCAATATGGAAGAGTACATTCAATGTCCCATGAAGAAGGGATGCCGTGAATTTGCAGTGCTATCAGGCACAACATGTAACCAGGCACACATATCTGAACACATTTTTTTAGCAGATGCAAAGCTCTGCAAAGTTACAAACAGCTGCTTGACTGTGTTAACCCATCACGTGGTGCGAAGTCTCACTTCTCTCATCCTGCGCTCGTAATCTTGGGCTGCTTCCTCCACAGACAGTGAAGGGTTAATTGCTACGACCTGGGACTCTGGCAGGGGGACCTTTCCCAATAAACTGGCCTGAAAGAAAAGGCAGAGAACAGACATTGGATTAACTCTGTTCTGGAAATTATTATTCACCACACAACTATTCATCACATTTTTATAAATGTATCCATAGGATTATCATGCACAGAAATGCCTTGCACTCTAGTGGCAGTGCCTTACGCCAATAATCCCAACTTAAAGCCCACACGTCCGATTAGCACGGTTGGCTACGCACGGTGCGAAAAAAGTTCAACATACATATACATACATACAAGCCAGCTGGCAGGTTGGCCGGCCAGTGTTCGGGAAAATTAATCCACCACCACCGTGTCTCATGCACACGATGACTGTGCATCTCAGCGTGATCCACCAACCCCACCTCCAAGAACAGACAAGAGGTAGTAAGCCTGATCAAAGCCAGTGCTTGACCTTTCACAAGCACTGGTGCGGCTCTTATCTCCGGCGGCAAACTCTGTGCCCGCGGTGGATACTCCACATTTCGATGGCGAGGACCGGCAAATCCCAAGCCAAGCCAGGTGGCCCTGCGTGCGGACGTGGTGCGGAGTGGATTCGTGGTGGTTGACCCCTCGGTGAGCGGTGGCAGAGCGGTGGCAAAGCGGTTAGCGCGCTGCGTTGGTGCGATTCCCGCCCAGGGCCAACACCGGTGACGATTATCTGAACCGGTCCTGGGCCTCCCCTAGGTCGACTCGGCCTCCAATGAGGAGTACCTGGTGCGGTGTGTGGTTAATATCGCCACTCGGGAGACAAAGGCGGTCGGGCATGGTTGTTTGCCCACCCCACACTCTCGCGTGCCGTGCCGGAATTTCATAGGCGCAACACTTGCTCCAACAGTCTGCTCATCGCCTATATACAGGATGCGTGTGATGTGTGGTGTGTGCATCTCTGTCGGTCTATCGGCGGCACCTTGTACTGGCCGTACGTGCTGTCGGGGTGCTGGTGCGGCACGAGCCTCTCGTCGCAGAACAGCAGCCACGTGCGCGCCCAGGGCAGTCCGGGGAGGCCGGGCAGCTCTCGGCCGAACGCGGCGGCGACGCTGCCCCCGGAGAGAGCGACACGGAACCCCCCGCGCTCCGCCACGGCGCGCACCGCCAGCTCCGAGACGCGACGCGCGGCCCACGCCGCCAACTCGCCGGGCTCCGGGAAGACGCGCACCTGCCGGCTGGCGAGCGACATTGTCGAGGGCAGGCGGGAGGGAGGGAGGGAGGACGAAGGTGGTTGAGTTAGAGAGAGAGGTGGAAGTGAGTGAGGCGAGCGCGGAGGATTGGAGGGAGGTTGGTTGGTTGGACAAGATGGGAGAGGAGAGCGGGCGGCTGGACGAGGGAGGATGCGCGCCCCCTGCTGCTGCTACACGCGCGTCATTCCGCGCCACGTGCAAGTGGGATGATGATGATGGTGGTGGTGGAGGATGTGGCCAGAACCGGCCCTAGACCTTTGGGGGCCCTAAGCAAAATTTGGTTGGAGGCCCCTTTGATGTGTGATTTTTTTTCACCCACTAGCTAGCAGTGACTCTAGGGGGCCCTCTGCTGGCCACGGGGCCCTTTGCAATTGCAAGGGTCGCTTAGTGGCTGGGCCGGCTCTGGATGTGGCACGTGGGGGCCGGTAGCGTAGCGGTGAGCGCGCTGCGAACACGGCAGCCCGAGTTCGATTCCCGCTCGCGGCCAACACCAGTGACGATTATTTGCAGCGGTTCTGCCCCCCCCCCCTAGGTCGACTCAGCCTCAAACAAGTACCTGGTGCGTTTGTGTCTAAACATCTTCACTTGGGAAACAAAATCAGACGGAGCGTGGTGCCGGCTACCCTGCCCCTCTCGTGTGCCGTACCGACCTTCATCGGTGCTCGCTAACAGCACTTGTCTCATTGAAACCTCCTTTGCCAGTAGCAAAATATAATAGTTTTTTTACCCTTTTATCTGGCTCTAAGAAAAGCTGTCTCGGGTGTGAACCAATCAATTTCAAGGACAGTGCATATCATTATCAGAGTTGTGTTTTTTGTGTGCATTCCGACCGCAGGTATTGTGGTCAATGCAAACATGACTCCTTGTAAAAAAAGGTGTCAGTTTTGTTGCCAGATAAAAGGGTAAAAAAACAATTATCAGCACTTGCCCCCACAGTCTGTGACGGGCTATCGGAAGGGCGAGCGTCCCGAAGCGCATCTGAAAGCGCGCGATTCGGTCACCGCTGTCTTTTTATTCGAATGTTCGCCAAAAGCCGCCGCTGCGAGAATGATCGGAGTTTGCATGATCGGGGTTCATGCTCCTTCACGAGATCAGCAAGGTAGTGTGGTTCATTAGTGGCACGCACTTTGTGTGTAATGAGTGCGAACTTATGTGTTCGTTATCATCGGGGTGGCGAGGGGGTACTGCAGAGCCCTCGCTTGTCCCAGTGACCCCCCTGTGACCCTCCTGGCCACCACCACGCCACCCTCGCCTGCACCACTGGCCACTGCACGGACACCCATTTGAATATGGACACGACACAGATACATGATACCGGTAACGCTGTGGGTGCGATTTCAACATCCACGTTTGAATTTCTACCGCACGTAATTTTATTCGAGATGTATCATCGATAATTGACATTCCTCTTGTCAATCCACTGTTGGATGAAGCCCTCCCAAAACACCATATAGCTCATTGAGTTGTGTGGCCATACTTCACCACGCTGGTCAATGCGAGTTGGTAAATGGAGAGGTGCCGAACACCGGTTCTGATATCACTCGCCACTGATGTCAGCCGTGGCCGGGAATCGAGCTGAGGTCTCCGGGTTCAAACTTCAGCGTGCTAACCACTTCGCCACCGCTCCACCCATACGTGCAATGTACATTAACAGAGTACTGTACTGTATATATTTCACAATTGAATACTGTAATGTTGTAAATATGTCTGCGTTAAAATACAATGCTGGAAGCACTATTTGTGCACGTGCACTCAGTCTTCCACGTCGTCTTTATTCGTCGTGTTAAGTGTTTTTAAAATTAATAATTAAAGCAAAAGTCAACCTTTAAAATACTCGACATGTATAGATGCAACCTCCGAAGTTGGTGGGCTTTCAACGTCACTTTCAAAGATACGAGCTCTTAAAACAACAGGCGCGCGTGGTGAATTCCAATCAATCCTATCAACTCCCACTTCGCACTCTACACGTGCTGTACTGTGTTCGCTAATGTCACGAGTACTGGTAGTGACCCTTCTCCATCGCACATCAAACTATAACGAAGGGCCCTTGCCTGAAACGTCGCCTATTATATATACTTCTCCTTTTAAGGCAAACGCATAGCTGTCAACCCCTTAGTGCCTATCTTATTACAGACCAAGTCAGACCTAATTGGTCACCCCGTGCCCTTATACATCCCAACGTTCATCATACAGTCCCATCACAAGGGACAAACACAAATAGACAAATAAATGTTTGCCCGAAAAAGATGGCTGTACACCTATGGACCTGAAAACAACATTTCCCCACACAAGAATACGGCTAAAACGTATAGGTTGACAAGTATGTAAACGTGTGATGATGAATGTATGGAGGTATTTAAAAATAAATAATTTGTCCACCAACGCAGCAGCAGCATCAACAATTGTATGCGCTGAACTTCTTTCGCACCGTACGTAGCCAACCGTGCTAATCGGAGGTGCGTCACTGGTGTTGGCCGTGAATTTTGCTTTAAAGACAGAGCGGGCAGCAGTGTCGGTGTCTCGAATGCCGCCACTGGCGGTGCTGGCCAGCTGATCGAACGTTCAGTTTCCACTCGGCGTTTCAGCTGCCGGGGTCGGCCGCTCGACCCGGATCGGGAAACGCCGTGACCACGACTCTCGCGTTCAGCTCAACCCCGCCTCCCCAGCGTCGTGCGCTTGCAAAGCGATCGGAAGACGGCGGCGCCACCAAACAGCCCCGATCGCAACACCTAAAGCTGACGACAATTCAACCGACTCGGAATTCCAAGCTCGCTTGCTCCAGCAAAAGCTGTCATTGTTAAAGCATGCCGTCAGCTCAAATCCGGGGCATATACCACGACACGAACTTGTCTGGGCGAGGGATACGGGAAGGGATGAAGAGACACTGTGCCAGGGCACGGAAGTGGTTTTGGGAGCTCGTTCTGGACTCACTGGGTGCGCGTGAGCTCCTGCACGCACAGCAGCAGCAACAGCAGAGTTGAGAAGAAGCCGCCGAGTGGTGCTGCCCTCATCACGGCCAGTGCTGGCAACTGCAAAACCCGCGGCGTTCAAACAAAAAAACTCCCCCGCCACACCAACAGAGGGCAGAGCAGACATTGCGGGTCAATGCATGCACTCACAGAAGGCCACGTGGTTGATAATTAATGGTGTAAATACTGTAATATTTGTACATACACATGGAGAGATAGCTACGTGAATTAGGCCTATTGCCGACTTGTTGATATTGTTGATTTTGTTACCACATTTCTGGGAGACGCAGCGGCCCACTTTTACAAAGCCACGCCGACTCAGTCACTCGTCCAGTCCACACACTGGACCTGTTTCAACCTTCTGGGTCTCATCAGTAGAGTTAAACAAATGCTGCTGGATCAATTGAAGTTTTTGGCAAGAGCATATGCTTCGGCACCACTGCCAATGCAGCAGTATCACCGACTAATGCCAGGAAGTGTAAACAATTACACTGGTCAACAAGAAAAAACTTTTTTTTCTGGCCTGGACTTTTGCAGCTGTTTTAGACTAATTTCAGGGTGCTGATTCCAAATCTGATCTCAGATTTACTCTATCACATCTCATTTTTATGCTATCGGCATACCCCATTTCCATTGATTTTACCCGAAATTAACTCTGTCACTTATGATTGCAAGTCGTTGCGAGTCAGTGACTGCTTTAGTGTTAAAATATGGTTCTGTATTTTTAGGATAGTGTGTTTATAATATCATTTTATGTAGATATCCACATTTATTGAATATTTTTCTTCTGCAGTTTTTATTGGAAATGCAATATTTGCTACCTCAAAAACCTGATGTGATAGACAAAAACTGATGCCAGATTTGTAATCAGCATCCCAAAATTACCTTAAAACCGTTGGAATACCTTATGCCAGAAAAGTTGTGTTGACCAGTGTTATTGTGTGCTCTTTGATCATTGTTGTGATACTACAATGCATTGATGGCTCTTCCTCACAAAATTATGGATTTAAACTAGGGTTAAAATATGGTAAAGATTAAGACTCGTTCAGCCACGAACACAGGGGTGGGTGGACCTGCGGTTCTGGAGCCGCACGCGACTCTTTAAGGACTGCTTGGTGACTTGATTCACAAGCATTCTGGTGGCTCTTGAAATATTTACGGTATTTTTTTTCTACCGAATTCGAAAAAAATTGCTCCTCTTGTTATTTTTGTTGCCGACCCCTGAACTAAGACAACTAATTTGTGTCGCACCATCGAGTTAAGCCCGTTAGTTCAGCACACGGTAAATATTGAGCTGTGTGTGGGTCTGCCCGTTGCCGGTACAAAGGGAATTGCGTATCCCATGTAGACACGTGTAGGGTTATCACAAATAACTAGAGAGCAGAGACTCTTACTGGTAGGAACCTCCTAGTTACACCAGCCCACGGGGGATTATTGTGTCCGTCCGTCCGTCGTGCAGGGAGGGGCTGGGTGGGGAGGGAGGGGCTGGGTGGGGAGGGGACGGTGGGGAGGGGCTGGGTGGGGAGGGTGGGGCTGGGTGGGGAGGGGAGGGTGGGGAGGGGCTGGTCACCCCGTGATGCTCTTATAAAATTAAACGTTTAACCTACTCACGCTGGCTTGTGCCCGCCCTCTCAGTCGGGCATATTTGCGGAATACACCACGCCGCCGTTGACCCTGGCCATTGACCGAGCAACCCAACGTTCCTACCAGCTCCCTCCCCAGGAATATGCTAGGTACCCTTCTATTTCGCCGTATGGCTGATGTTGATGTAGAGCATTGGTTCTTAACCTTTACTGCAGCCTTGCACCACCCCTTTGGTTTTGAATTGTAAAAATATATATATAATGTTAATAAACACATAGGTTTGATGAAACACAGTAGTTGTACTTACGTGCCAGTGCTTAATTTGTGTTTCGATGATTTACCTTCTAAAGAAATCTGCCATGTCTGGCACCCCCAGAAAGGGAATCTCGCACCCCCAGGAGGTGCGGGCACACCCCAGGTTAAGAACCATTGATGTAGAGCGACAACTATAACTTTAAGTTGAAGCGATTCAGCCAGATTATTTGGTCAGGAGTAGCGGAGTGGTGCATCACCGTGATGATGCCTCCATTTGTGTTTATGAATCGGGATTTGAGTCGTCAAATGTTCAATGATCGCTTCTGGGTGTCCACAGTCGACACCGGACAGTTTTAAATATTCCATCAATCCATTAAACTATAAACTAGAACATTAAGTACTGTTTCCACATCTGCCATGGTAGTCAATCAGATGGGAGCCCATTGAGACAATTGTCAAAACGTAATAATGAAATCAACTAAAGCATTCTTTAACAGTCTCGAAATGGCTTGGAATCATATACAAGTCATCAAGTAATTTTGTTCTATCTGTAACCCCGTTGCAAAAGAGGCAATATTTTCCGTGTCTCAAAGGGTGTATTTAATTTCGTAGTTAAACAATGAAAGTAAAGAGCTCGCCATGATCTGTCTTAAGCCAAACTGTTTCGTGACTCGTATTCACGTGCATTGCGGCTCTTGAAATCTTTTTTAGCCGATTTTTGTTAAAATGTCTCTAATTATTTTGATTGTCGGCCTCCTGGTCTTAGCACAGTGGCTGAAGAAGGCCCCCTCGAAACCGCCGTCACTCCGCCCGCGTTCTTCAGCCGAGCTTCACTGCGTTCATCTCCGCCACGGTGCCCGTTTCCTGAGCCACATTCATTAGTCAGCCCCCACTTTCCCTCGGCCGTTCTTCCTCCTTCACGCCCTCTGCGATCTCCTTGGCCGCCTTTTTTTTAAAAACCCGTATTCCATAGTTTCGCTTCCGCATTCACCCATTCACTCACTCGCTCCAACCCACCACCCCGACTGTCAGAGACGCGCAGCGCTCTCCTCCGACGAGAAAACCCAGAACAACAACAACAAAAACAGCTCACACAACAACAACAACCGCTGGCGAGACCAATCAAGGCAAGCGTTAATTAAGTTAGCCGCAGAGCCGAAGAGAAGATGGCCAGGGCCGCCCCACGCAGACGGCATGAACACATTCCAGCCGAAGAGATCATGGTACGAGTTGCTGTGAATTGCGATGAGCAGCTGTGCGCTCCTGTCGCCTCTCCACGTGATGGCTGTGTGTGTGTGACGTCTCGCTGGCATTCGTGTGCGTGCTCTGAGTCGTGTGATGTCGGGAAATCATTCGTTAGGCACGTGAACGTCAAAAATGTGGCTATATAATAATTGTGGATGTGCCTATAGCGTATAGAGTAATTGTGGATGTGCCTATGCTGCCCCGATGTTCATATGTTGTACCATGTAAGGTAGACACATTTGTCACGAGACAAAATCACCCAGGGATGCACCGATTTCGTCACATGTGGGAAGTTAAGGAACGTCGGCTTTCGCGACCAATATCAACCATAATAGCGTTTTTTTTGGGGGGGAGAAAGGATAAGTTCAAAGGGCTCGCATAATGCGCATGCATAATGTACGTAGCCTCAGTAATCCCCCCCCCCCCCACATTGTACAAGAGCGCAGAAGCGTGGTCAACACATCTACGCCTCTATATAAGGAACGAAACAGGTGGATTTCTCCACAAATCTGGCTATCGCCTGATGAAGCTAGTTGTAATTACTGGCGAAACGTCGTACTCAGATTGTAAATGTTGTGGATTGGCTCTCCAACACACCGGTGTGCTGCACTAGTGACGAACTGGCCACGTTCTGTTTACGTGACAACCCTTACTAGTTGGCTGTGTCGGGTGGTGGTGAGTTTTAACGACACATTTACATATTTACGCGATCTAACCCAAAAACCTCTTATGAAGGAAAGCCTTGTTATGCAAGTGTTGTTCCGAGGCGATTAAAACAACAACAGCTGGTTGTACTGTGTCCTTGACACGCGTTTTAACACTTTATTATTACAGCAATGTCAAATCTAACCACCGATTATTGACTGTGCAACAACAAAACACAGTCGAGCTGGTGTCGATAGTGCTGTGTCTGCCAAGCCGTGCGATCTGAACCGCTGATTCACCCCAACCAGATGCTCGTCCAGTTTGGCGTGCTCTGAACCAGTTGAGTTGGACTCGGAATTTGTGTTTCTTCCCCTGCGAATTCTGATGCATCAGCTGACAGGGAAAACGAGGCCTTTCTTCAGTAACAGCGTGACCTTTTGGTTACTCAGGCGTTTCAACCATTAAATAATTTGCATGATAATGCGAATAAAAAATGTAATACTTTTCCATCACAGTATTTTCAAGTATGTATGTTATTTGACATGTTCTCTTTGACAATTACGTTGTATCTTGTTTGTAGGTGAGGAACTTCAATGCACAGTACATACAATATGAGGGAAGCCACTGTTTCTGATTGGAGTATTGTTCTGGAAGAGTTTTAATTTGTCCCATTTTCCAACAATACAATGTTCTTTACAAATTACTGAGTAGACTTCAGTAAAACTCACTCTTGAGTGAGATGACAATGCGAATATAGACAACTAGAGATACGAAGGTGTCGGAACCAATCTAGAAAACAGAGACGTGGAGATGGTGTGTTGACAAGAGACAGTGAGAGCTAGAGATGAAACGCGTCGAAAATATATAAATGCAGAGAAATGCAACATTGATGTTTGGGAGGAGAGACGAGCGGTGCGGACAGTATAGCTGTGTAGTGAGATGAGAGAGATGTAAGCTGGATATGTTGTTCATAGCAGATGGTGAGAGAGCATGAATGTAGATATATTGTACTCGGCAGATATTTAGTGCACGCCTCTTGTTCCCATAAAATCTGGTGCCCTTGAGCTTCTTGTGACCCTAAGCATTTGCTCATTTTGTTTATGCTTATTTCTATCACTGCAGTATTACAAGTATAGTGACATAAATTTAGATTTAAAGCTTTCGTGACTGCAGGGATTCATATTCTTGGTTCTTTCGACGTTTCGACTGCAACACAGGCAATCATCATCAGGTGTGACTGCAACACAAGCAATCATCATCAGGTGTGATGATGATTGCTTGTGTTGCAGTCGAAACGTCGTGAGAATTTTTATTGTTCTATATTTGTATTATTATTTATTTTATTATTTCCCTTCTACGTGACTTTACCGAACGAACCAAGAATATGTAGTGACATAGTTCTGACTGCTGTCCAGCATCGACAACTGCGATGGACAGTTAGCACACACGCCATTGAGCATATACACGGGTGTGCCGGCAGGGCGGAGGAACTGGGGCAAGCGTCACGGAAGACCTCATCGGGAAGCCCAGGAACCTGCTAGTGGGTTCGAGAAGGGAGGCGCGGCCAGGGTGGAGCCAGCCTACGCCAAGTAGCATAAAAGCAGCAGAGAGCGGGAGCTCCGGGCTGCCGGTTCTGGGAGTAGACTCGTCTCATCGTCGCTGTCGTTTTCGCCGCCTTTGTCGCTGCCGCCTTCACTCGATAATTGCGCGGCCGGATAGTTGTTGGCTGTCTCGGTCAACGCCGTCAGTGTAACGCGGTCAGGGTTGTGGCTCGGCTGGGCTGTACGGCATCAGGGGGAACGAGGCGAACCTGTGAACCTAAAGAGTCCATAATAGAGGTTTTGGGTTAGATCGCGTAAATATATAAATGTGTCGTAAAAATCCGCCACCACCCGACACAGCCAACTAGTAAGGGTTGTCACGTAAACAGAACATGCCAATTCGTCACTAGTACAGCACACCGGTGTGTTGGAGAGCCAAGCCACAACATTTACAATCAGAGTATAACGTTTCGCCAGTAATTACAACTAGCTTCATCAGGCGACAGCCAGATTTGTGGAGAAGTCTTCCTGTTTCGTTCCTTATACAGAGGCGTAGATGTGTTGACCACGCAGCTGCGCTCTTGCACAATGTACACAATATGTTTTGTCGTTGTGCAATCTAGATACGGAATTGTAATTCGATCTCCCATTGAAACATTGGGAAATGTCTAAATTTCCTCTCTGTCCACCGAACAGTATAAATGGGTTACACAAACAGTCGATTGGCTGGGAGTGTGTGGTGAGGTAGAGTGTGGGCAATCCCACCTCTGCCAAGACGTCTGGCCTGTGTGGAGAGGGACAAGTAATTACAGGGCTGCACCTTAATCTTGTTTTACAGTTCGTCGCACGTAACATGAGATTGCTGTGCCACTTCCATTGTCAGTCACATCGATCATATACAGTATGTACATTGCATCGCTGCGTAAACATTCTACACATTAATTGTGCTACTGCAGCAGATTGTGAATAGTGGCCTACTGGACATGTGAATAACAGCTTCATAGCTCATCGGATTCCTCCAGTATGAATATTGATTCTGATTTTACGCTTCACAGGCATTGGGATGTGGTTTTTGTGTAAGGTAAAGTGTGATTTGTGCTGTACCGAGGGCATACTCTGCAAGACTGATAAAGGGACCTATGGAAATGCACGTTTTATACAGTAGTGTACGGTACTGTACTTAATTGACGGGGAAGTGGCACGATTTTGAAGATGAAATGTCGACATCCATTATTCATGAGCACATCTGTATATGTTAAATGGAAACCACTTCAATATGAGCAGGACTTAATTTAGGTATCGTGCCCCTGGGACACCCGAGCAGAAAAAGGGCTCCTACCACGATCTCCTCACCTTCCCTTGTTCATAACATAGGCACACTGTACACACAAGCACCCCAATCCCTCACAGCCAGGACACACTCCAAAAGCATAAACAACAAACGACAGTACCCACATTTTTCTAAAGATCGGAATGTTTCAACTTCATCCACCGCACTGCATTGCACTTGATACGCTTTTTTCATCATAATTTGCTCAAGTCTTCATTGAACCGCGTTAAAAAATGCTTTGATCACAGAATCCTATAAATACCCTCAACATTGCGGTTATAACGTACACGTAGTATGCAGCGATAGGGTTCTCTATAACGGGAATCTAGTTTTGTTTACTTCTCGGACAAGCTCGGTCGGGTTGAATGACGAGTGCACGAGTCGCGATAAAGCTCAGCTTAAAAGCTTTCACCTTCCAATAAAACCCATCACATTCGTCAATAGCACTGCCTAAATGAGACGCAGTATGTACGTAGTAGTAATAGGTGACGTTTCGGGCAATGGCCCTTCTTGGGGTCTTCAAATTTGCAACTTTCATCTTTGTGGACGAACATAAACTCCCTGCCCCTGTTCTAATCTAATCTTAAGACGTGTCGCTCCTCTTCTGCCTTGGCTACACTATATCTCTTCCATAGAATATAGACAATAATTACTTTACTGTGTATGCATGAATCGATATATTTTTTTCCCCAGAAGTTAACGTTACACGATGCGCATGTCACACATTTTTTTTGTACAGGCATCTTGAGATGCAGTTGTATAATTAGACTCTGAATAAATACAATCTAATTGTATTTCAATGAAAAGGTTTGCTCTCCAAAAGACTATTCGACACGAAAAGGTAGCGCAGTCGGGAGCACAGGTGGTTCACCTTGCCACAGTCATTTTAGTGAGTTAACGCAGCATAGCTGTCAACCCCTTATCAGTGCCCTACCTTATTACAGATCAATTCAGACCTTATTGGTCACCCTTTTCCCCTAAAACATCTCAACGTTCATCTGACAAAGTCCCATCGCAAGGGAGAAACACAAACAAATAGACAAAAAACATTTGCCCGTATTGAAAAGGCTATACGCCGTATGGACCTGAAAACTCAACATAAGATGAAGCTACCCCAATGACCAGCATGGCATGAGGAAGCCTTCATCCATTCGTGGATTGACAAAAGTTAGGTTCTTTTTTAACCCTAACCCTGGGATGAATTGTAGAGGTTTGTCCTCTATATACGTATATAGGTGGTTTTGGTGTCATTTATTGAAGATGCGTGCAGGAGAGAATGGACAACTTTGCATCGTTAGAAAGTCAGTGATTGCCACCATAAATAAAAGTGCTGTTGTAAGAAACATACAGTACAGCAAATATTTGTGGCATACAGGAGGGAAGTGGGCCACCGATAAGCATGCTCTACGGTAGTAGCATATGAGCTTGCATCCTGTTTAATATATCAAATATCCAAAACTCTTTTTTGTGTTGTTTATGAAGTAATAGAGTTAAAATATCGTGCAACTTTCCATTGTGCGATGAGCACAAATCACACGGTAATGGATTTGGCTAAAATGCCTCTGCAGGGGGGGGTTGGGGTAGATAAATTAACATGTCAATGACAGAGTTGTGTGGAAATCCTCCCCGTAGCGGCCGGAGGAGAGAAAATGGACCTATAAACAAACAAGCATGGCAAAATTTATAGAGAGAAATAGGAAGTTTGAGAAAACAAACTTAGTAAAATTTGGAAGTGTAATGCAATGCAACACAGAGAGTCGGTTAACACACATTTAACGCATAGCCTGGTTGATTACGTTCTACCAAAGATTGCTAAATTAGAAGTTAAGTGTGAGTTGTGTGGAAATACTCCCCATATAAGTAGTTCAAACTAGATTTGAAGCTTTCGTGACTGCAGGAATTACTCTTTGGTTCTTTCGGTAAAGTCTTCCCCCCCTCTCTCTCTGCCCCCCCCCCCCTCTCTCTATTTAAGGCCTCGACACGGGCGTTGTTTCTCTGTGTGTCTATGTGTGTGTCTCTCTGCTTGTGTGTCTATGTCTCCGTGTCTCTGTTTTGTCTCTCTCTTTGAAATTGATCCATCTTTGGAAGAACGTAATCAACTAGGTAGGGTGTTGACTGGTGTGTTAGCCGACTCTCTGTGTTATATTGCATTACAAGTTTACTAGGTTTGTTTTCTCATTCATTCCTACCTGATGACGGTTGCTTGTGTTGCAATCAAAACGTCGTATTCTATTATTTAATTTATTTTCTTTCTACTTGACTTTACCGAAAGAATCAAAGAGTAATTCCTGCAGTCACGAAAGCTTCAAATCAAGTTTTATACACACATCCTTTAGTAAAAAATGCTTCACTTGCTTGTGCCATAACATTTGAGAACGTACACGACTGTATATGTATAAACAATGTCAGCACCAACTTAAAACATTGCATTCGTCCTTGATTAACTTAATGTCAAGTTGGCAACACATCTGAAGATATGTACACTCTGTGTGGAGTAGATCTCTTTTCAATGTTCATAGTCAGGGTGCTGCGGTGGTGAGATGTTTTTTCCGTTGCCTAGTATGCAGGTCAGTCGGTCGATCCTAACCCTGACGCCTGGATATTTGGAGTTTGCATGTTCTCCCCGTGGTCGCGTCGAATTTTCTATGGTTTTTCCGGTTTTTCCCACCATGTTTAGAATCAACGTGCATTGAAGAGTATACTGCTGCTATAAATTTCATTGAGCTATCATTTGTGACCAGGTCACTTCTGAAAAAGTGCTAATAGCTCAGTGGGCTTTATCTGGTAAAAAATAGTTTGGTTTCATAACAATGTCGCAATATCCTATAGCCAGGACAGCCTCACTGAGTCTCAACACTCTTTTTCAGGACGCTCCTACATTAGGATGGAGGAACAATGCCAATAAATGAGTTTCAATAATTATTATTGTGCTTGTTTACCCAGAAAAGGCCCACTGAGTCTCAAGAATTGTTAACTTTGTTGCAGTTGGGTCGATGTTGCTATTTTGCCTAATCCAATTTAATAATTTACAGATTATGTTTTAGCATTGGAATGTTGACCAATACCAGTTACATTGCATGATTTTTTGAGCTATGGGAGGAAATTGTCAAACCCAGAGAAAACCCATGCAGAATGGGGGAGTGAACATGCAAACTCCACACAGAAAGGCACCCGAGTCGGGCATCGAACCCAAGGCCCCCTGTTGCTGCGAGGCACACGTGTTGAGACTGTCCTGCCGCCCAGTGCAATAGCATACGCCAATGAAATCTCCGTACCTTCCCTGAGCTGCTGTGGCGTTTTCCGAACATACAGATGGAGAAGAGTATTCGGCGGCTGCGTGAGAAAGTTCACGGGAAGGTGTCCATCGAGAAAGCGGCTGCCCTCATGCTGCGCTTCCAGATGCAGTATGAGAGCGTGGCCAAGTACATCGTCCTGGCCATGGACAGAGAAGGTGAGGAACGCATGAGTCATGCTCGACGCACACCTGGCTGGCAAACACACTCATTGTGGTAAAATTAAACTAACCTATTAACCCCTTTCCCATTCCGATGACATATGTGTACGTCATGACAGAGAAACCAGAAGTAAAAATAAAATATCTTTATCGGTTCTGAGGCTCCCACAAGGCCACGCGGGAGGGCGTGTGGCACAGTTTGGCGTCAGCTGTCATAGAGTTGCGGTCGTATATCTACAGTTCTCTGCAGTGAGTACAATGTATTTAAAAACAACCATGCTATGCCTCTCTAAATAAAATTAACGCTGAGCCGCTTGCGCGTTCCGATATTCAGATGTAAATGAGACACCCTCCCTGCAACTTGCAGATATCTTGGAATGCAAAATACCCACTGAGCTACAGTGAGGGAAAAGAGTATTTGATCCCTTGCTGATTTTGTACGTTTGCCCACTGACAAAAAAATGATCAGTCTATAATTTTAATGGTAGGTTTATATTTGAACAGTGAGAGACAGAATAACATCAAAAAAATCCAGAAAAACGAATGTCAAAAATGTTATAAATTGATTTGCATTTTAATGAGGGAAATAAGTATTTGATCCTCTCTCAATCAGATTTGTGGCTCCCAGGTGTCTTTTACACAGGAAACAAGCTGAGATTAGGAGCACACTCTTAAAGGGAGTGATCCTAATCTCAGCTTGTTACCTGTATAAAAGACACCTGTTCACAGAAGCAATCAATCAATCAGATTCCAAACTCTCCACCATGGCCAAGACCAAAGAACTCTCCAAGGATGTCAGGGACAATATTGTAGACCTACACAAGGCTGGAATGGGCTACAAGACCATCGCCAAGCAGCTTGGTGAGAAGGTGACAACAATCAATCCTAATCAAAAGGAGACCTGATGGTTCAATGAGCCACTCTGTCTACAGGAAAGCCACCCATACGGATGCTTATCTAAAACCGGATTCCCACCACCATCCATCCCAGAAGAATTCCCTCATCAAGACTCTATATCATAGAGCCCAATGCATCTCCGACCATGAACACATTGCCAGTGAACTCAAACACGTACGCCAAGCTCTTAAGGCTAATGGTTACTCCGACTACACAATCCGCAAAGCCATCACTCCATCCATCAAGAAGGATCCTGTTGAGGAGCCTTTCAAGACCATCACCTTACCCTACATTGCTGGGGTCACAAAAAAGATCTCCAAAATCCTGATTAAACACAAGATCCTTTGTTACTGCTAATCCCTGCACCCCCCCTTGGTGCTGCTGATCCTGCATAATGCATGGGCATAATATGACTTTGAAACCCCCCCGCCCAACGCCTACGCATTTTCCATGAATATGCTAAATTCCTCTTCATATGCACATTCTTTTTGTTAAGGCGCTCTTCCACCTTCAACGCAGCTTATATATAAGCTCCTAGTTTGGTAGTGTCTCATTCTTCACCTGAAGACGGCTGCTTGCGTTGTAGCCGAAACGTCGTGAGAATTATTTTATTTTATTATGTTTTATTTTTATTATTTTATTACTTCCCTTCTACGTGACTTTACCGAAAGAACCAAGAAGGTGACAACAGTTGGTGCGATTATTCGCAAATGGAAGAAACACAAAAGAACTGTAAATCTCCCTCGGCCTGAGGCTTTATGCAAAATCTCACCTCGTGGAGTTGCAATGATCATGAGAACGGTGAGGATCAGCCCAGAACTACACGGGAGGATCTTATCAATGATCTCAAGGCAGCTGGGACCATAGTCACCAAGACAACAGTTGGTAACACACTACGCCGTGAAGGACTGAAATCCTGCGGCGCCCGCAAGGTCCCCCTGCTCAAGAAAGCACATTTACATGCCCGTCTGAAGTTTGCCAATGAACATCTGAATGATTCGGAGGACAACTGGGTGAAAGTGTTGTGGTCAGATGAGACCAAAATGGAGCTCTTTGGCATCAACTCAACTCACCGTGTTTGGAGGAGGAGGAATGCTGCCTATGACCCCGAGAACACCATCCCCACCGTCAAACATGGAGGTGGAAACATTATGCTTTGGGGGTGTTTTTCTGCTAAGGGGACAGGACAACTTCACCGCATCAAAGGAATGATGGACGGGGCCATGTACTGTCAAATCTTGGGTGAGAACCTCCTTCCCTCAGCCAGGGCATTGAAAATGGGTCGTGGATGGGTATTCCAGCATGACAATGACCCAAAACACACAGCCAAGGCAACAAAGGAGTGGCTCAAAAAGAAGCACATTAAGGTCCTGGAGTGGCTTAGCCAGTCTCCAGACCTTAATCCCATAGAAAATCTGTGGAGGGAGCTGCAGGTTCGAGTTGCCAAACGTCAGCCTCGAAACCTTAATGACTTGGAGAAGATCTGCAAAGAGGAGTGGGACAAAATCCCTCCTGAGATGTATGACCTCTGTGATTGCCAACAAGGGTTTTGCCACCAAGTACTAAGTCATGTTTTGCAGAGGGGTCAAATACTTATTTCCCTCATTAAAATGCAAATCAATTTATAACATTTTTGACATGCGTTTTTCTGAATTTTTTTTGTTATTCTGTCTCTCACTGTTCAAATAAACCTACCATTAAAATTATAGACTGATCATTTCTTTGTCAGTGGGCAAACGTACAAAATCAGCAGGGGATCAAATACTTTTTTCCCTCACTGTATATAACTCTTTTTCAGAAGTGACCAGGCCACAAATGATAGCTCAACGAAGTGGCTTATCATGTGGAAATTTATAGCAGCCAAATACTTGAAATGCCTGTTTATTCTAAATGTGGAGGGAAAAACCGGAGGTGCTGAAGAAAATCCACATGACCACGGGGAAAACATGCAAACTCCAAATATACAGGTGTCAGGGTTGGGATCGAACCCACAATCTCCTGTAAACTGCTCACAGTTCTGCATATATACACATTATTTTACATTATTCATGCTATGCTTAACTGCAGGTTATTCATATTGCCCATACAATGCATTCAATGCATGATATGACACAAATTATTCTTAATAACCATTGCACAGCATTACAATTCTATTTGAAGCTTCCGTGACTGCAGGAATTACTCTTTGGTTCTTTCTTTACAGATTGCACACGAATGGATGCAATGAATATCACGTCGTGGTCTGCTTTTTGCTTGCAAATTTCAGATTTACTGCAACACACCCGTCCTTGGATGGGCAAAAGGCTAGTTTATGTTTAATTTTAAAGCAGTGTGATGGACGAATTATGTTGATACTCTTCGGTTTTTTCGGTAAAGTCACGTAGGTAAAAAAAATTAATGAAATCAACTAAATTAAATCACGACGTTTCGGAGGCAACACAAGCTTCCGTTTTCAGGTGGAACCGTTACAGCCAAAGTCGCTGTAGTAAGTGAAGCGAGCTAATAGAGAGACGCGGCTATATTGGGTAAGAGGGGGGGGAGCCAAGGTAGGGGGGGGCATTGGGGGGAGGGGGATGCTTGCCTGAAGGTAAGCCGATTGATAACATTTATTCATGGGGTACCATGATGTTGAGTTTATTGTTAATTGTGCTTGCCCACCACTATCAAAGTAGCATCGCCAAATCATTCGTTCTACGATGATGGAGCAGTCTTGGCTAAATCACGGTCACCAGCACATGGCAGATGGAATGATGAGACCTCCAAGAGGCAAACTCTGATGATCACCGTGCCTGCGATGGTTTGATTGGGATAATAGGCACAGCAAGATATGCAGGTGCATGTTCCTGCACTTTCCCTCATCATTTACAGTGGTAGGACCCGTCGCTTAGCAGCCTATTGAGATGCACATAAACAACGTTATACACATTGTAAATTACAATATATATAATTAATGACTGTTGTGCTCAGACTTGCAGATGAATGAAAGAGACAGGCAGCTCCTCAACAACCCATCCATACAGGTAAGGGCTGAGGATAAAATACCTAATTCATACAAATACGAGATGTGGTGACACACGCCTGTGACTTGGAGGTGGAGTTTGTGGATCACACCAAGATGGAGCCATTGGGTACATGAGACACCTACCTGTAGAGTAATACGACAGCACCTATAATTATATGTTTAAATCCATCAGCTTATGGGCTTTTTGTTTTAGAGTCCAGCAGTATTTGTTAAAGAAAAATTTAATAATGTTGGGTTGCCAAATGTTATTGGAAAGTGCCCTGCACCTTCAGAATGGACTTTTTTCTAGTGCTACAAAGCAATGCTGTGTTGTATAGAACTGACTAGGGGGCTATGGTGGTGAGATGTTAACTACCTCGCCTGGTATACAGGAGGTCGTGGGTTCGATCCTGACCCTGATGCCTGTATATTAGTAGTTTGCATGTTCTCCCCGTTGTCGCGTGGATTTTTCTCCGAGCCCTCCGGTTTTCCCCTCCACATTTAGAAACATGCGTTTTATAGTATTCGGCTATGATACATTTCCACGTGATGAGCCACTTCGTTGAGCTATCATTTGTGACCAGGTCTCTTCTGAAAAAGAGCTACATTTCTCAGTGGGCCTTACCTGGTTAAATACAAATACATTACAATAGTTAAGAATTAAACCACACACCATTGTGGAACATTGTACATGCATCGCCGTTTTTTGTCAAGTACACCACTAGCCAAGAGCCTCTCCACAAGTTGAAGTCCATGAATCATATTCGATCATACCTCACCGCTCTGGTCACTGTGGATTGGATAAGGTGCACTGCCCTCTACTGTCGACAGCGTATAGTACAGTGTCCTTGGGCCATGGATATCACCCATCCAAGCACTATCCAGGCTCAGCTGAGATTTGATGAGATCTGGTAATTTTTTTCTGTGGAGCATTATGGGTAATAATAACAAATATGCCTTTGTTGTGTCTGTCCACATGAAATTATTTTGGGACATCAATCTCAGAACCTTCCAGACTGTCATCCAGCAGCATTTTTTAAAGCAAGCAAACTCATGTACCATCGAGTTGATTTCAAATATGTGGATGTTTTACGTTTCAACACTGCAATATACAGGGTGTTTATAAAATATGGACCCGATTTGAAATCGCTATATCTCTGCAACCATGAACCGCCCATGAATGAAACTCTTACCACTTGAAAGGGCAGGGCATAGAGTTTCAAATGATTACTGCTAGATGCCTCTTTCAGTGCACAAACAGCCCCTAGCCTCAATCATTTGCAAGATAGCGACCCCGCAACACAAGGCATTTTACGTTCTGCAGTTCAGCAAACCTGAATCCGTAATTGCAGTGCAGCGTGCGTTTCAGCGGTGTTTTGGCATTGATCCGCCAATATCAAAGAGCATTCGTTGTTGGTACCGACAATTTGAGGAAACAGGTTGTTTATGTAAGGGGAAGAGCACAGGGCGACCACGCACCTCAGAGGAAAACGTGAGAAGAATTCAAGAGAGTTTTCTGCGTAGCCCGCGCAACTCCACTCGTTGTGCCAGCCGAAAACTTGCGATCCCTCATACGACTGTCTGGCGTGTGTTAAGGCAATGTTTAATCAAGAGGCCATACCAGTTGCAAATGGTACAGGCTCTTCGCGCAGGTGACAAAGGAAAGCATGTAGATTTAGTGATGCGATGTTACAGAACATGGAGGACGACAGCTTCTTACCGTGTTTGATTTTTAGTGATGAAGCAACGTTTCATCTAAGCGGTAAAGTTAACGGTCACGATGTGCGCATATGGGGATTAGAGAATCCACACGAAACTGTAGAGCATGAGCGTAGTTCCCCGAAAGTGAACGTGTTTTGTGCTGTTTCTCAAAGAAAGGTTTATGGCCCTTTCTTTTTCGAGGGAAACACAATTACGGGGTAAGCGTATCTCGAAATGCTGCAGAAATGGCTCTTTCCACAACTTGATGAAGATTCCGACGTTTTCTAAATGACACACTGCCTCAACATTGGATAGGTCGTATGGGACCCAAAGACTTGGCGCTACACTCTTGGCCCCCAAGATCCCCAGACATCACACCCTGCAACTTTTTCTTGTGAGGATACGTCAAAGACCGTGTTTTTGTGCCACCATTAGCGACTAATCTGGATGACCTTTTTGTGTAATTGTAACATGTTGCCATCGTGAAATATACTGCTTTGAAATTGGGTCCATAATTTTGAAACACCCTGTATTAGTCGGTTTTCTGAGACAACATACTTTACTTCTGGACTTGTATCGGTCCATTAGAATGCAATACTGGACATTGAAACTGTTTGACATTGGCAAAAAAAGAGGTGGCCAGGTGACTCAGTGGCCTAATTACCAGCAGCGCCCTGAGCAAATACAATTTGGATGTGGTGAGTAATTGTGCTCAATTCAAATTGTATCCATGCTCAAGTGAGCATTGGGTGCATTCATCTTTTATCGACGGTCCCTTGCCAGTGTTGGAAGTTTAACATTCCTTGGCCAGGCCAGTCTCCCCATGTGATGACTACCATAAAAAATAAGAATGGGTTTTATCCTTTGTGGCAAAAAACAGTTGTTAAGATGTTCAAACACCAAATAGATACATTTTACAAGGCATCAGGTCTGTATTGACCACATGTACTTGTGGTGAACATGCAAACAAACTTTCTCTGATAATATATGCATTGTCCTTGAAACTGATTGGCCTACACCAGAGACAGCCTTCCTTATGGAATCGTCTCACCAGTGTCAGACCAGAGAATGCCAAAAGGCAGACAGTACAAAGAAAATGCACGTATGAGAGCATTCATAGCTCGGGGTGAGTAGCTATATCATGAGACCTTTTTGCCAGTAAAAAAAGTATGCAAAATAAGAATAGGTTTTATCCTTTATTGTCAGGTTTTACCCTTTATTGCCAGAAAAGGTAAAACCTCTTATTATTCATACTTTGATACTGACAAAAAGGTCCCATGATATGATGACTACTGTTGACTTCCACACTATGATACGAATGTTTATCCATCTGGGAGGAATACTGGGCTGAGTCAGCCCTTGACCCGTGTTTGTTATTCTTTCAGAACATTATGCGTCGGATACGGATGAATGTCCCGCTGCCACCAGAGCCCAGGCAAAGGGATCCCATGCAGGATTTCGACGTTCAGGTTGTTAATTACATCACTGTGGAAAGTCGACTCCAGCGGCACATGGCCGTGGCATATAATGAATAGCTTTGAGATGATCTGTGCCAACATATAACACGTTAAACAAGTCAATCTAGCATGAAAATGGACACTTAATTAATAATGTGAAGAGCCCAGTCGCTGTGGCAAACATTATAAAAGCACAATTAGAAGATAAGTTGTAAAAGAAGCAAAAATATATAAACGGTGACGATTTTTTTTTTTAAATGTAGGAATGTCAATACATATGTTGGCATAAATGTAGGCTTTGTAAAACAAAACTACACTTTCATAAAAATGTAAGGTTTCTTTCATGAAATTTTGGCACAGATGTTAACTACCTCGCCTGGTATACAGGAGTCGTGGGTTCAATCCCGATACTGACGCGTTCATATTTGGAGTTTGGATGTTCTCCCGTGGATTTTTTTCTCCGGGTCCTCCGGTTTTTCTCTCCACCTTTAGAAACATTGGTTTAGATTATTTGGCTTCTATAAATTTACATGTGATAAGCCACTTCGTTGAGCTATCATTTGTGGCCAGGTTGCTTCTGAAAAATATCTATATAGCTCAGTGGGCCTTTTTTGGAAAAAAAAATGTGTTTAGTTGGATTGTACCAGAGCAGATAGAATTTCCCTAACTAAACTCATGCAGCCACTGAATTTGTTTCGTCAGGATTGCATCTGTTCAAATGTGTTTCACCTATGTAGGCGGCAGCCAACGGGCTACGCGTGCTGGAGCTGACCGAGCAGAACCTCAACATGTTCGAAAACTTGGCGAACAATGAGCTGCCGCACGATGACTGCCAGTTTGCGTGCAGCGTCTGCGACAGCGTGTGGTGGAGACGCGTGCCACAGCGGAAAATGGTCTGAACTTCAATCCCAGCACGAGACTAATCTGCACCATGCTTTAACCCGCCTGTAAATGTATGTATGTTGAACTTCTTTCGCACCGTACGTAACCAACCATGCTAATCGTAGATGCGGGGGAAGGACAACAAACTAAACACAAAAAGCAGTTTAAAAAAGAAAATTTCAATCGAGATGATTTAAGAGTGCATAGCTCCAGTGGCTTCCGTATATCATAAGCAAGAGCATTCCAGACGGTTGCAGAAGCGCATCTGAAAGCGTGTAATACAGTGACTGTATTTGTTCAATGGCTAGCCAAAAGCCACTGCGACGAAATCAGCAAGGTATTGTGGTTCATTTGTGGCAGGCACTTTGTGTGTAATGAGTGCAACTGCATCACCCCAATCTTCAGATCGCTTCACTGGCTGCCAAGCCACTGTCAGATCAGCTACAAGACTGCCCTCATTGTTTCAAGATCAATCATGAATTGATTCCCAATTGTCTTATTTGTCATCTTCTCCAGTAAATCTCTACCCACTCTGTTGATTCTTCTCCTTTGTTTCCTCCACTGTCTATAAGTAATTCCACCTGCCACCCACACTGCTCACTCTACTTCTGTTCTCAAATCTTTCATCGTCCCTGAACTAATTGTACCTTTTTTCCCTCATGTATTACACTGGTCAACACACTTTTTCTGGCATAAGGTATTCCCACGGTTTTAAGGTAATTTTGGGATGCTGATTCCAAATCTGGCATCAGTTTTTGTCTATCACATCAGGTTTTGAGATATCAAATATTGCATTTTCAATCAAAACTGCAGAAGAAAAATATTAAATAAATGTGGATATCTACATAAAATAATATTATAAACACACTATCCTAAAAATACAGCACCATATTTTAACACTAAAGCAGTCACTGACTCGCAACAACTTGCAATCATAAGTGACATAGTTAATTTTGGGTAAAATCAATGAAAATGGGGTATGCTGATAGCATAAAAATGAGATGTGATAGAGCAAATCTGAGATCATATTTGGAATCAGCACCTGAAATTAGTCTAAAACAGATGCAAAAAGTCCAGGCCAGAAAAAAATGTTTTTTTTTTGTTGACCAGTGTTATTTACTAGTCTTTCCCTCGAAGCCCATACCTTAGGTGAAAGCAAAGAGTGAGTGTGCAGTGGGTTGGAACGTTGTCTCATATAAATTAGCTTGAGTAGGATTTGCAGTTCCATTTATAACAGCGGTCGGGAACCTATGGCTCGCGAGCCATATATGGCTCTTCCAGTGACGGTATATGGCTCCCAGACAATTTTGAGTTGAAAAAAGAAAAAATAATAATAAAAAAATCAGTTTGGAACTGATTTTTAAACACTTGTCATATTGCTTAATAATACTGTGTCATTTTAAAGTAAACAGAAATTAGTTTTGAAGATAAATTTCACGGGTCACGCCTGCACGAAGCTCAACCTCACCACGTACGAACCAGACTACAAGGCCATCAGCAAAACCATGTAGCACCAGAAGTCGCATTAAAAGTAAGACATATTTAATTTATTATACGTTAAAAATACTATATGGCTCTCAATGAAATATATTTAGAAATATTTGGCTTTTATGGCTCTCCCAGTCAAAAAGGTTCCCGACCTCTGATTTATAAGGTTCTTGCCTCAGAAACACGCATCTTCCATCTCATCTCAATCATTCCAATACTTAACTTTATTTTTAGCCCAGGGGAGCCTCTGATGGCAGCTGTCCCCATATGGCACAAGGTGAACACACCCCCAAGCTGCAAGTGGGTAGTAGTTTGCCAGTTGCCGGCAATGTTTCTATGGGTTTTATCAATTGAGTAATTTGCAAATATTTGGATTTATTTGAACCATGACCCTAGTGCATGTGGCCTACTCTTTTTCCTAATCACGTCACGGGATTTGTCACATCCACTGTGGAGCATACAGCATATATTTTCTGGTAATACACCCACGGCATTAACCAGAGTGGCCACGGGGATGAATTGTGAACCTTCCAACGAGCGGAAAATGCGCCAACCGCTCGGCAATGCCACCGCCCAACAACTTCTGTTGCTTCCACCGTTGCTGATCGGGGTGTGGATCATTCATTGTCTTTGCTGTGCAGGTGTCCCAGTGCAGGCGCTGCAAAAGGAAGTACCAGCCAGTGCCACGGGACAGGGAGTGGGGGAGTGGAGCGCTCTTCAACTGCACAAACTGCAATAACACCTTCAGGTTGTCGGCGATAAAAGGGACAGCTTTTATGTGTATTGATGCATTGATTCGCAAAGCTTACGCGAGTGTGCGTGTGTGCGCATGAGAACCGGTGTTTTATAAAAAATATATTATATCGTAATACGAGAGGAGCAAACCATTGAAAAGGATGTCACCACTCAATACATTTGCATAGTGATGGAGAAAAAAAATGTGGGGGGGGGTGTGAAAGCAAACTGAGAGCAAATCGTTTAGAACTACAAAACTCGTGTTGAGGACAGATAGTGGCAGCAGTAAAGGAATGAAACGCATCTCAGAGAACATCTACTGCGGAGATGGAGTGACGACATCGGCTCGCGCACAGGTGCTAGTGCTCGGTGGATTATCAATTGTGACAGATGGTGCATGCTTGGGGGAGGCCTTCATCCGGCAGTGGATTTAACATGGCTGCTGATGATGAGAAATGAATTAAAAAAAAATAATGAGCGCAATGTATTGTGTATATGATTACGCTAGTAGTAAATATAGAGCACTAGCGGTAGTACCCGGCGTTGCCTGGGCGAAAAAGACACACACACATCGACTTAGAAACAAACACAGACATCGACGCACACACACAAACACATCGACTTACCCACACACCAGATATGGACTCACACACACATAAATCTACTTTAGATACACACACATGGAGTTACACGCACAAATCGACGTACACACATACAGCGACTCACACATACATACGTAGACTCTCACACATCGACCTAAGCACACATATGCACTTACACACACACATATCGACTAAGACAAACACACATGACTTACACACACACATGGACCCACGCACACACATGGACTTACACACAACAACAACAACCGCCATTATCCACCCGGCGCTCCGCTCGTTGTTGTGAGCATCGATCCGGCTCAATGTCTTCCAGGATTTTCGTGTAGGCTTCTATTGTACATCCCTCAGCTTTGGTTAATTTTCCTAACTAAATTTAAGAAGCCTCTAAAGCATAATAGCATATTTCACGTAGGATCTCTTGAGCAAGGGCATGCAGGTTGTCCCTGTAGGGTGTTGGTAGTCCCATATATGTGAGGTATATTCCATCAATGGAGTGCAGTTTGTCTGAAGGAGGATGAGGGCCTGTTTTAAAGATGACATCAGAAAGTTGACGTTGAGGTTTGTATTTTCTCATTGAGCTCTGTTGAGGATGTCCTCACTCATGCCCTCTTTGTATTTTTTCCAGAGTCCCATGGGGTTTAGATGGGTCTGCAAACTTGAAGATTTATGCAGAAGAGCAATGTCAGTTGGAAAGGGTACTGACCAACAGAAGCTTCTATCATAGCTTTATGAAGATGGTGATCATGCACAAGAATTGCACGAAAATTGAAAGCTTCCCTGTATGTTTGACAGACTACTCCTTCCACTGTTTAGAGGTCTTGGAAAGATTTGTGCCCTTTGGCACATGGAGAAGCATTGGGAGAAAGTAGCACTGCTGATTGTTGGGATGAACTGTGTAGACTCGTCCTAAGGCATCAGATTGAACCATCAGCAGCACGTTGCTTCCATTTATTTTAGCAGTCCATGTATAGTAGGAGGGAATGTATGGTAGAGCAGGTTGCAGCAAATGGGTCACTTGGGCACCAACAAAAAAAGCCATAAGGGTGGTATATTGTGGAGCCAGGGCCTGCTGTTGGGCATTTCCTTTGGTGACATAGATGCGTTGAGCATTTTGGAGGTGAAGTGCCAAATGGACGACTGTGGGGAGACGGTCATGGATGGGGAAGCCAATAATTCTTCAAATTGCCTCATGGTTGCTGATGTATCTTCCTTGGAAAAACTGTTTTAGCTCATGCACACTTGCCCTCTGTTTTGTAAGGCAAAGACAGCCATGTCAGAGCCTTTGTTGATGTATTGGCAAAGATATTTGATGGTTTTTTTAAGAATAGCCGAATTTCACATTAAAGTGGAGCAGGAAGATCTTGCACAGAAGAGGGCAGTAGGGAGCGATCCACGGTTGTGAACCTTAATTTGCGAGTTTAGTGGCAGGTCTGAGCGTTGTTTGAAATCCACCATGCTCAGTATTTCTGTGATATAGAGGATAGCCATCATGGGCCGACTGAGTGTCTTTCAAGTAGTTTCCGTGGATACCTCTTGGTACACCTGTGGTCTTGCATACATGGCGCAGTTAGATAGAAACTGGCACATGGGCCATGGAGCATTTGATTGCAGACCACATAGAAAAGTGCAGGGTCTTAATGGGGGTGAGGTAGCTCAGCACTGATAAATGTGTCAATGTGACTGGCATGAATTGTTTCCCTCATCATAGCGAAATGTGAGCATGAGGAAGACGACGTTTTTGCCACCCAACGGTGTGCAAGTTACTGCTTGTCTATCCAAAGATGCCGCCTTCATTGGTCGTATAAGCATCATGAGGTATAAACTTTGAGTTTTAAGAGCCTCGCTAAGATGTCATGTCTGTTTGGTGGTTTGTGGTTTGTATAAAGGTTAAACCTGGATCTCCTTTCATTTGGGATTGCAAGTGAAGGTGATGAAGATATGAGGCATGGCATATTGGCTGATGTACTCATGGCATCGTGAGTTTTATCATGCATGCATCTTGGTGAAGCTGTGAAGGATGAAGGCAAAATAACTAATCAGCCCACATTGTGACCGTTTGCATCTCCTTCGGAATTGGATGGCATCCCAGAGATGAGCATACTGTTCACCTGCAGGCGGTTTGAGTCAGTTGAATGTAAAGAAGGTGCTCACTGTCAATGTTGGCATTCTAATCGAAAACATACTGGTGAAAGAGGTTGGTGCACCATAATATGTGGTTTCCCTCCTCTGTCCATGATCACGAAGGAATACAAGTTTTTTTAGAGGAGACCGTTTGTGAGAATGTCTTTGTCCTACAGCTTTGTAATTGGAGGAATGTTGACATGGTACCCATCTTGGCCTTGTGACAGGAAAATGTGTTTATTGTAGGGCATCGTATGCTCTGTTTAGTGTCAGGAATCGTGCCATGGTGTTTTCTTGGTATGGAAGAACAATGTCGCTTTCACAATGTTCCTCACCCACCGTAAGAAAGCAAGGTCAACAATATTTGGGGCATTGAACCTCCCTGCATGCTCCCCGCTTTGGTGGAAAGTAAAGGTGTAGTACGGCAAAATTTAAATGGGTGATGTTCCTACGAATGTGACAAAACAATATACGAAATGGAATGGGCTGTAGCTAAGAAAAGTCCAACGTATTTAGCAGTATAACAAGATAATCAGCTCTCAGTACTATAGTGTGACGTGGAGCAATCGAAACAATATAAAAGCATTGAAGAAATAAGCAAAATTAGTGTACATTAAAGAGCAGCAGTATGCACAGGTAAGTTGAGAAGCAGGCTACAGTCTAGATTATAGACTGCCAGTATGTCGACTCAATGACCTAAGCATTGCTACAGTCGACATATAAAGCTAGCAATACGGTCAGCAGCTGAAAAAGCAGGATATAGTCGACATGAAAGGCTGGCAGTACACTGAGTATGGTAAAGAAGCAGGCAACAGATTATAGACTGGCATACTGACATGGACAAAAGCAAAATTAGCAGTGTAGATAATAGAGTGCCAGTGCACTGACATTAATTAATCGGCAGGCAGCAGGCCAGAGGACAGACTGGTAAATACACCGTCGCATCGTCATAAAAACACCTAAAAAATATTTAGCAACCTAATAATGAATTATTTTCTGCACACAAACATTATTGTAATATTTTGCAACTTATTAGTTTCATAATAGTAAACAATGAACTGCGTTCTTAGCGAAAGATTCAATAAAATTGTACTTTACATTGCCGTGGTGAGGCCTAGTCCTGTGCAGAGCCTGCGCTTCGCCTAGATTGCCAGCCGGAGGATGGTGACACATTGCCAGGCTGGGTGCTGGGCCGCTCTCCGCACCCACGCAGCAATGATGCTATGTAAGCGCTATAATATTAATATCTACGACTTTATATCAGTAATTGCACGCATTGGGGTGGGGGGACATAAGACTGTGAAGAATGAACCATCAGCGTTGTGTGTATAGTTTTTAAGCATTGTAACGTGAATGGAAATTCTTAGCGATCATGTGTGCGTTGCTAGGGCAACTCCTGTCCAGTGTTCGAGAAATGCGCATTTGCGTGCTTTGTCTCGCGGTCGGTGGCAAAAATATATAAATAAAGAGAAATCACACAAAAACACAATTTTAACAAATTTAAAAGTGACGGACGGGAAATGGAAATAGCGCTTGCCCACCGCGGGGCTTACGTCGTGGTACCTGTCTAATTTTTTTCACATAAACCCCACCGTTTGAGAGCCAAATGCCTCGCAAGCGCGCGTGCGCAGACGGACAGACAGACAGACAAAAAAATACTTTTATAGGTTAGACTAGCGGGAAGTACCCGGTGTTGCCCGGGTGAAAAATATATTTCAAAACTTCTCTTAAAAACCTTACATATACAGTACATACACAGATACTAAGGTATTGTGAAAGCCCGGTGAGCCGTTTGTCCATTTCTCCACCAACAAAATTATAAGAAGCTTGCACAAGTCCAAAAAGTTATAGAAAGTGGGGGGTAAATAGTTGATCTAAAAGGTTTCCGAAAATTGCGACCACCACCCCCCACAAAAAAATATATTTACCCCCGCGTAGGGATATATACCTGCATGCCCTACATACAACAGAGTAAGTAGTATCTATTTTTCGATTTAAAGCTTTCGTGACTGCAGGGATTAATATTCTTGGTTCTTTCGGTAAAGCCACGTAGAAGGGAAATAATAAAATAATAAAAATTAAACAATCAAATTCTCACGACGTTTCGGCCACAACGCAAGCAGCCGTCCTCACGTGAAGAACAGAGCTGTCGGAAAGACAGAATCCTAATAAACACTGCTGGCTGCTGCAGTTTTTTATTATTAAATTTACCTTCCTTTATTACTGGTAATCCTACATAATACACGAGCATAATATGACTTTTAAACCCCCCACCGCCTACACATTCCACAAGGAGTGACTAAACCCATATCTGCATTTGTCATCAACATGCTAAATTCCTCTGTTGATATGTAAACTCCTTTGTCAAGGCGCTCTCCTCCTCCCACCCAGCTTAAAATACGCTGCCAAGTTTAGCAGTATTTATTAGGATGCTGTCTTTCCGACAGCTCTGTTTTTCACCTGAGGACGGCTGCTTGCGTTGTGGCCGAAACGTCGTGAGAATTGTTATTTTTTATTTTATTATTTCCCTTCTACGTGACTTTACCGAAAGAACCAAGAATAAGAAGTATCTGTTGACTCTGTAGTTGTATCTACTGACTGTACAGAAGTATCTACTGAGCCAGTAGTAGCTACTGACTGTATAGTAGTATTTACTGACTGTAGCAGTATTTACTGACCGTAGTGGTATATACTGACTGTTTTAGTATCTACTAATTCTATTAGCAGTATCTACCAACTCGATAGCAGTATCTACTATCACTACAGCAGTGCATACTGACTGTGGTGGTATCCTGATATTGCTACAGCAGTGCATATCCACTGTAGTGGTACCTGATTTCACTACAGCAATGCCTACCGACTGTGGTGGTACCTGCTTTCACTACAGCAGTGCATACCGACTGTGGTGGTACCTGCTATCACTACAGCAGTGCATACCGACTGTGGTGGTACCTGCTATGACTACAGAAGTGCATACTGACTGGTGGTACCTGCTATTAAAGCAGTGCATACTGACTGTGGTGGTAACTGCTGTGATTACAGCAGTGCATACTGTGGTTGTACCTGCTTTCACTGCAGTACTGCATACCGACTGTGGTGGTTCCTGCTATCACTACAACAGTGCATACTGACTGCAGTGGTGCCTGCTTTCACTACAGCAGTGCATACTGACTGTGGTGGTACCTGCCTTGACCACAGCAGTGCATACCGACTTTGGTGGTACCTGCTTTCACTACAGCAGTGCATACCAACTATGGTGGAACCTACTTTCACTACAGCAGTGCATACTGACAGTGGCGGTCGCTGCAATGATTACAGCAGTGCATATGTTGTGGGACCTGCTATGATTACAGCAGTGCATACTGTGGTGGTACCTGCTATGATTACAGCAGTGCATACTGACTGTGGTGGTACCTGCTACCACTACAGTAATACATGCTGACTCTATAGCCGGATATATCGACTCTATAGCAGAAAGTACTCACCTGACAGAGTGGCGTGGTGAGGCCTAGTCCCGTGCAGAGCCCCCGACCTCGCCTAGATTGCCCAGCCGGCAGAGGCTGGGGGCTGGGCCGCTACCCCCCCACCATCCTCCCGCTTGCGCTACAATCATACTATCTAAGCGCTATAATATTAGTATCTACCGACCCTATAGTATTAAGTGCACACATTGGGGTGGGGGGGAGAGAAGAGGACATGACACTTTGATGAATTTAAATCAGCGTTGCGTGTATTTTTTGTAGCATTTTGAACGCAGGGATTCATCTTCTTGGTTCTTTCTACGTGACTTTACCGAAAGAACCAAGAAGATGAATCCCTGCAGTCACGAAAGCTTTAAATCAAAATTCAACCGCCTCTACGGGGAGGGTTTCCACATAACTTTGAGATCCTTTCAAATTCCTTTGTCAATGCGCCCAGCTTATATATGCTCCAAGCTCATGTGCTGTTTCATTCAGACTCTGTCGCCTCGACGGACCTGGTTTTCACCTGAGGACGGCTGCTTGCGTTGTGGCCGAAACGTCGTGAGAATTGTTTTATTATTATTTTATTACTTCCCTTCTACGTGACTTTACCGAAAGAACCAAGAAGATGAATCCCTGCAGTCACGAAAGCTTTAAATCAAAATTCATGTGTTTCTGCTTGTTTGTGAGCAGCGGCTGGGGACAGATGGGCGTGCCATCGCCGTGCTACCAGTGCCAGGTCGGCGTGTGCCCCACGCGCGTGCAGCGCCCCAAAACGCACAGTGCCGCGCGCCCTTCCGGGCAGCAGCACAGCTGCATGGCCGAGGACTGCTACAACCGCCAGGGTGAGCGCAGCCGGAGGGCCACAACGCCACTCCGTCGCCTCTCGCGAGCCGCTAGCATTTATAAGCGACGATCGAATCGAATTTGCTCTGTCTCGCAGACCCGCAGGAGTTTCGCGGGTGAAGGTGGGGGGGGGGGGCGATCTTGCTGTGCATTTCTCCCAATGAGTGTTTTTTGCAGACAATTTCCAAAATTTTGACCGTGATGCCGGCATTCCCTCCCATCATCTCTTTCACAAGATCTTGTAACCTCGCTCAATGCAAGAAATATATTAATTATTTTTTTCTACTTCAGGAGTGATGTTTGTTGATGGCCGATGGGAATTGTGGGCCTGTGCTAAGCAACTGTGATAGAAAAAAAGATTTGGGCAAGGCAGCATATTGGTCCGGGGGTAGTTACCGACAGATCCCGATGAAGAAATTAACACTTAAGTAAAGCGTGTGAGTGAATCGACATAATTCTCTGATCCGTTCTCTATACCGCTATCGTTTTATCAGCATAATATAAACACAAACCTCACTTTAAAATATCACGACATGCATAAATAACCAACTCAATAAGTTTTGTTGCTGTAATTGTTTGGGTGGAGCAATACAGTAGCATTTAACACGTACCACTCATGAAAACTCCGTGACCCTAAGTTTAATTCTCAGCCAAGGTTAACATGAGCGACACTTAAACTAATCCTATTTAGTTTGTTGTCCAACCCCCGCACCCCCGATTAGCACGTGTTCTACGTACGGCGGGAAAGAAGTTATGATTATGACGACAAGTCTCGGCAGATGGTTGACATTGGATGACAATCATGAGAGACGGAGATTGGCTGCCTAATCATGGGGGTGGTGAGGACAGACGATAGGAATTGGCTGACGACGATGGCGGTGAGCATCTTTGTAATGATGGCAGTGGTGATAGAACTTCTTTCGCACCGTACGTGGCCAACCGTAGATGACTGCGATACGATGATGGTAGTGCGGCGAGAGGCTAACATCCGTGTGCTGTGTGCACCATGAACGCGCGTGGCAGGCCCCGGGGTTACCGGGACGCACTGTGTGCACCCGCGCACCTTGCAGGTGAGGCGCCGGCGGCGCGTGTTGCACGCGAGCGAGCCGCACATCAGCACCGCCTCCACGGTGGCCACGTGCATCAGCCAGGGCAGCCTCGTGGAGCACGAGGACGTCCTCATCGAGCAGGACCTCTTGGAGGAGGACGAGAATCGGCACCACTGACCGTGCCGCGAGCAGGGATCGAACACGAGTCGCGCGCGAGCCTCCTCCGCTCCTTTGCGTTGGGTCGTGTTTTTAACCCAACGATGATCCCTTGTTTATCGAAGATGGGGGTGGATGAACGGTGCGGTGGTTTTTGTCCATTGCGCTGTGAACCCAGCGAAGCAAGTTCGATCCCCGGCCACCACTAAAAAGCAGTGTGGAGTGGTATCTGAACTGGTCCTGGATGCCCCCTTTGTTAAACCGCACTGACAAGCTGAGTGGAGTATGGTCAAACATTCCTCGTGAACAACACTGCTTTACGATATTTGACCATTTTTTTGTGTCCCAAATTTTTCATAAAAATATTTTATTCCACATCCTCCCTCGCATCATACATTGCACTATTTTGACACTCCGGGCACAATTCCAAGGGGCATCAAAGGTATCGGGCATACCGTACTTATCAGGGCAGGCAGGAGGTTTTTTTCCCCCTTTTTAAAGTGCTCTTTTAATTGTTTTGATTTAACCTTGTTTTGGACTTTTTGTGTTTATTCACATTATAAACAGTGATGTGCACGAGGTGAAAAATGTTCCGAAAAAAAAGTATTTGCAGTCGGCATGTGAGACGTGATAACAATGGCTCTTTCATGCATCATGCTATCGTGCTGTGTAGCCAGATGGAAATTCAGTAGGTACCTTGAAACACATACTCTTATACTCTTAGTTCTTTCGGTAAAGTCACGTAGGTAAAAAATGAAATTAAAATTAATAAAAATAAAACAATAAAAATCACGACGTTTCAGAGGCAACACAAGTCTCCGTCATCAGGTGGGACCGGCACAGCCAGATTTGCTGCATCAAGTGAAGGAGGGATTCAAGATGTAAGCTCTTAAGTACCAGTAATTGTTTCTGTGGGGTGGTTTATTTTAAATGTATCGGTTAGTGGGGGTCCACTGGCCAACTGGAGAGCATCTACTCTATACGCGACTAATCTATATGCTTGGATGTATGTTTGTTTCTTTCTATACTCTCCACGAAATTCAATGAACAAGGAGTCTTTTGAAAACTAAAGTAGTTTATATTATATTAAAACAATACAAATACTTTTTAAATTTCGATTCAAAGCTTTCGTGACTGCAGGGATTTATCTTCTTGGTTTTTTCGGTAAAGTCACGTAGAAGGGAAATAATAAATTAATAAAAATAAAACATAATAAAATAATTCTCACAACGCAAGCAGCCGTCCTCAGGTGAAGAACAGGTCTGTCGGAAAGACAGACGTCGTGAGAATTATTTTATTATGTTTTATTTTTTTATTTTATTATTTCCCTTCTACGTGACTTTACCGAAAAAACCAAGAAGATAAATACTTTTTACCTGATAAATCTGCTTAGCTGCTCTATCATTTACAATAGCTTGGCATGTGATGGCAAACTCTTGTAAATTCGTACAATGGATAGGGTTATAGAGGGCGGGGTGGCACAGAGAGCTGTTGAAACTTAATGGCTTCTCTTTAGTCTCCAATAAAACCACCTCCATAACAATGATCAACAACATCTATACAGCATATCTCAATGTAAAACCAAATACACTTGTATGTGCGTGTAGCGCAAGGACGTGCGGTCAGGGGAGACAGAGCCTCACCTGTTATACTCCAATGAAAATAGCTGTTACGAAAAAAAGAATCGTCAAATAAAAAATTTCATTTTCCACTGATCTGTGTTATAAATGTCATTTCTGTACGATTACAATAATTTTTATAGTCAAAATCGCCAAATTTGCGAAGCTCCGCTGCAAATACAGGAAGAGACGAGAGGTGAGGCAGCGACGCGCTCAGCCTCCCCTCTGATTGTGCAACCCCTGTTCTGTAATGCTGCGTGTTTTCATAAGGCGAATTGGATATAATTCGATGAATGTATTAGGGAATACATTTTTATAACACGTATACGAGTGAACAGAACTACGTTACGCGAGTAGGAATAAGCAGTTGTAAGGCTACCTCGGTGTAGCATCACACAAGGTGGGATGCTGCTGGATGCTCTTGATGCTACCCACGCCTCAGGCTTTGTTCAGCCTGCGTACGCACATCAAGTGTTATCGCAGACCGTGGCTTACCCTATATTGTACAGAGTGCTTCAACATTTTTTTAACACTTATATGGGACTATCGTTTTTAAGGGAAAAAGAACGGATAATACACTGTAACATGATACAAATTTTTTATGTTAATAGCTTCAAAAAGTCAAAGAGTCTCCACTTGTTCGCCATCATTGTCAATACATGCCTGGAATCTTCTTCAGGTGTACTCCAGAGCCCGGAGGCGCATTTCTTGTGGTATTGTTGCAAATTCTCACAAGTATTAATATTTTTTAAGCACCCTGTACATTATTTATTGTAACGCGATTTTCCAAAACGCGGTGTTCTTCAGGAACGCAACTACTGCGTTACAGGAGAGCAGACTGTATAATCATGCAGGGTCTCGAACTCAGGACACTGCTACATCTTCCATATCGTTCGTCTCCTGTCTTTATCTCTTCTGTCGTCTCACAATGATTTTATAGATAGGGAAGGGGTGGGGGTAAAATTATTTCTGCTCGGGGCCACCAAATAGGCCAGCACCACCACTGCCTGAATGTACCACGAGGAGGCGTTTCAAATCTTGCGCTCGCAGTCTCAGACTCGCATATTTGACATGCCCCTCAACCATCGCCCACAAACACCGCCTTGTTGTGAAAGAGCCAACGCAAGAAGATCCCTGGGTTTGATCTTCCACGAAGCTCATGGTCCACCCTAAACTGTATTCACTGCACAAACCACGGCAGTAGATTTGGATACCTGATGCACAAGTGGAAAATGAAAAACTCCCCAGTAGTGTGTGACTGTGGTCATCCAGAACAGACCGTACAGCATACACTGATGCAACGCCCGATCCACAAATACGAAAGAGACATCTCAGTGATGATGATACACTCCACTGCTCTTGGCGCGGTTGTCTGGCTTGACCACCTGAATGTGAGATTGCAGTTGTTGCTCTGCGTCTACATTAGCCATGCGAAAGAAGATGAAGACCCATCGCCCAGCTTGAGCGCAGGGTGGGGTCTAAATAAGGAATTCACCATAAAAACACATGGTTTCAATAAAACAAATCCATATGATCTCGCACATGCGTGTCGCACAACGGCATATCAAACAGAATGTGACAATGAACTCACCTGCGAAATAGCAAACTCAAGGTATCCGTGTGCTACCGATTTTGTCTTTATAGTATTCGCTATTCATGGTTTCCTGCTGCAACAAAAACACGTTATAGCAATTGTTTTTACCTTTAGCAGGGTCCAATAGTTTGATTCCTGGCCATGGCTGACATCGGTGACAAGTGACATCTGAACAGATCCTGTACCCCCCCAACCCATACCGAGCAGCATGGTAAAGTATGGTCGAACAGCCCAAATGACCGACCAGAGGCGTAGCTTAGGGGGGGGGGGCAGGGGGGTACATATGTCCCCGGGCGCCAAGGTAAAAGGGCGCCAAAATGAGGCTTACAACGTTACATTATAACGTATTGCGGTGGGCGCGGCAGCCTGAAACTATTGCACAAATCTACACCTCAACCTAAAAGTTTATGTATCCAAGCCACACACAACCTACATGTCATGTAATTACATTTGGTACGCACGCCTATTAAGAACTTACATGGAAGAACGTTGCCGATCATTGCTACAACTCTGTGGGCTCTCATGAAATTGTCTTTTCCGAGACCAAGGTGCTCTGCAAACCTCCTGGCTACCATCAAAGGTTTGTACACGAAGCCATACAATATACAAACACAGACATAATTTCAACCGTGATGATGGTTACAAACTGAGTAATCATTGGAAAGATGTGATTAACCATGCAAAAAAGATTTAACTACACTTATTTGGACCATCTTATTTGACAGACAACTATTACAGGCTATTGATAGACCGCCAGTCTTGTTATACCAGGTTTAGTTTTTTATTTTTCACACTTTTGTTATGTAGGCTAGGCGTAGTCACAAACCGTACCTCTCCATAACAAAGGCTCAGTCTTTTGTTATGCAGTCTATTCTTAGTCTTAAGCCTCACCTTACCATATGAATAAAAAGTGTGCCGTACTTGGCCCTTCCCCTCTTCAACCATTATATATACGGAGTGGTAGATCTTGTAATCTCTCATTTACTTGATACAGCTGTCGTGGCTGTGACGGTTCCACCTGAAGACGGAAGCTTGCGTTGCCTCCGAAACGTCGTGATTTTTATTTTATTTTACTTTTATAATTTTTTTACCTACGTGACTTTACCGAAAAAAACCTAAGAATATGGAAGAACGTCCCAAACAACAGACAGGCGCAGTCTTTCAGCCTTAGTCACTGGGCTGTTTTTTGGTGGCGGAAACTACGACGGCCTGAAACACGCTGGAGTGCACTATCAGAAGCTGTTAAAGTTATCTATGAAGGACTGGATGAACTGGTAGGGCTGCTAGATAAATTATCAGAGGACTAACTATGACGCCTGAAACCAGAAGTAATGCAGAACAGTTACAGGCATGCGTATTCAATTTTAACTTCATGGTTTTATTACATTTCTGGAATTTCATTCTTGGAAAAAATGATCGTGTTCAGAAGCGCTTATAGGATCCTACTATGAATTTCAAGGAAGCAGCAACTGATCTTGAATTATTGGAGCATGAATTTGTCAAGCTTCGTGATGATTTGAGCCAAGTTGC